GCTCACAGAACAGAGCTCCGGCCAGCGGAGAGGAAATGGAAGAAAAACTAAACTCCCTACCGACCTGGCATCTTTTCACTCCCTCCTCTCTACATTTTCTTCATCTGTTTCTGCTGCTAAGGCCACCTTCTACCACTCTAAATTCCAAGCATCTGCCTCTAACCCTAGGAAGCTCTTTGCCACATTTTCCTCCCTCCTGAATCCTCCTCCCCCCCCCCCCCCCACCTCCTCTCTCTCTGTGGATGACTTCGTCAACCACTTTGAAAAGAAGGTTGACGACATCCGATCCTCGTTTGTTAAGTCTAATAACACTGCTGGTCCTGCTCACACTGCCCTACCCTATGCTTTGACTTCTTTCTCCCCTCTCTCTCCAGATAAAATCCTGCGACTTGTGACTGCAGGCCGCCCAACAACCTGCCCGCTTGACCCCATCCCCTCCTTCCCTTCTCCAGACCATCTCCGGTGACCTTCTCCCCTACCTCACCTCGCTGATCAACTCATCCTTGACCGCTGGCCATGTCCCTTCCGTCTTCAAGAGAGCGAGAGTTGCTCCCCTCCTCAAAAAACCAAACACTCGACCCCACTGATGTCAACAACTACAGACCAGTATCCCTTCTTTCTTTTCTTTCCAAAACTATTGAGCGTGCCGTCTTTAGCCAACTCTCTTGCTATCTCTCTCAGAATGACCTTCTTGATCCAAACCAATCAGGTTTCAGGACTGGTCATTCAACTGAGACTGCTCTTCTCTGTGTCACGGAGACTCTCCGCACTGCTAAAGCTAACTCTCTCTCCTCTGCTCTTGTCCTTCTAGACCTGTCTGCTGCCTTTGATACTGTGAACCATCAGATCCTCCTCTCCACCCTCTCCGAGATGGGCATCTCCGGCGCGGCTCACTCCTGGATTGCGTCCTACCTGACCGGTCGCTCCTACCAAGTGGCGTGGCGGGAAGCTGTCTCCGCACCACGTGCTCTCACCACTGGTGTCCCCCAGGGATCGGTTCTGGGCCCTCTCCTTTTCTCCCTATACACCAAGTCACTTGGCTCTGTCATATCCTCACATGGTCTCTCCTATCATTGCTACGCTGACGATACACAACTAATCTTCTCCTTTCCCCCTTCTGATAACCAGGTGGCGAATCGCATCTCTGCATGTCTGGCAGACATATCAGTATGGATGACGGATCACCACCTCAAGCTGAACCCTGGCAAGACGGAGCTGCTCTTCCTCCCGGGGAAGGACTGCCCGTTCCATGATCTCGCCATCACGGTTGACAACTCCGCTGTGTCCTCCTCCCAGAGTGCGAAGAGCCTAGGCGTGACCCTGGACAACACCCTGTCGTTCTCCGCCAACATCAAGGCGGTGACCCGCTCCTGCAGGTTCATGCTCTACAACATTCGGAGAGTGCGACCCTGCCTTACACAGGAAGCGGCGCAGGTCCTGGTCCAGGCACTTGTCATCTCCCGTCTGGACTACTGCAACTCGCTGTTGGCTGGGCTCCCTGCCTGTGCCATTAAACCCCTACAACTCATCCAGAATGCCGCAGCCCGTCTGGTGTTCAACCTTCCCAAGTTCTCTCACGTCACCCCCCTCCTCCGCACACTCCACTGGCTTCCAGTTGAAGCTCGCATCCGCTACAAGACCATGGTGCTTGCCTATGGAGCAGTGAGGGGAACGGCACCTCTGTACCTTCAGGGTCTGATCAGTCCCTACACCCAAACGAGGACATTGCGTTCATCCACCTCTGGCCTGCTGGCTCCCCTTCCTCTGCGGAAGCACAGCTCCCGCTCAGCCCAGTCAAAAACTGTTCGCTGCTCTGGCACCCCAATGGTGGAACAAGCTCCCTCACGACGCCAGGACAGCGGAGTCACTCACCACCTTCCGGAGACATTTGAAACCCCACCTCTTTAAGGAATACCTGGGATAGGATAAAGTATTCCTTCTAACCCCCCCCCCCCCCCCCCCCAAATTGTAAAGTGGTTATCCCACTGGCTATAGGGTGAAACGCACCAATTTGTGAGTCGCTCTGGCTAAGAGCGTCTGCTAAATGACGTTATGTGCCCTTGAGCAAGGCACTTAACCCTAATTGCTCCTGTAAGTCGCTCTGGTTAAGAGCGTCTGCTAAATGACTAAAATGTAAATGTAAATGTGTGTGTGTCACAAGTAGTGCACTATAGGGATAGGGTGCCACTTCAGAGTTTGGTCTGGAACTCAGAAGGGAAGAAGGGCCTGGAGGTTTTCCTCAACTGGTAACCTGACCATGAACTGACCATTAGTTTGTCACCAAACTACCCTTTCTCCCCCCCCCCCCCCCCCCCCCCCCCCCCCTCTCAACCCTCTCTCAACTCTCTCTCAACCCCTCTGTCTCTAGCAGCTTCTCTCTAAGCCAAAGTTCTGTTCTGTGGAGAAGATTAAGACTATTGGCAGCACCTACATGGCAGCTGCTGGTCTGTCCAATCCTGCTATAGGGGAAGAGCGAAAGGTTGTATACAGCTCTGTTCTGCCTCACTGGGTTGAGATCAAATACTTAAAAAAAATACACCCTTACTTATTCCCTTCTCTGAGGTAGTCAGTGATCTGTCCGTGATTGCATAAGCGAAAGAAATGTAACTTATCATGCTAGTGTTTTCACCAATCAAATCTTGGCAATGAAGTGGAAGTGTTCTCTTGTTCTCTGTCTCCCCCTGTAGGGCTGTGATGTGTCCTACAGCCATGTACGCAGCATGGTCGAGTTTGCCATCGCTCTGAAGAACAACCTGGAGTCCATCAACCAACACTCCTTCAATAGCTTCAAGCTACGCATCGGTGAGTCGGTCTGGCTGGTTGGCCAGAGGGAAAATACAAATATGGACTTACTAATTCAATCTTTACTCGATTCCTTGCATCCTCTCCTTGCCTGATTCTCAAAATGTATTGGAGAAGAAAGTCAGAGGGAAGAGACCTTGGACCCTCTACTTCAATACAGTTGAGGATGCACAGAATCAAGGAAAGACAAAAAGAGATTGAGGCTTTTACACCTAAACTCCCTTAACTTGATAACCATCTCCCCCTCCCAACTAACTTTTTAATCTTCTCCTCTCCTTTACCTTATCTAGGGATAAACCATGGTCCAGTGATTGCAGGGGTGATCGGAGCCCACAAACCACAGTATGATATATGGGGGAACTTTGTGAACGTGGCCAGTAGGATGGACAGCACCGGAGTACTGGACAAGATACAGGTGAGAGAGAGATGGGGAGAGAGTTGGAGAGGGGAGGGAGGGAGATTGAAGGAGGGAGGGAGGGAGGGAGGGAGAATAATCTGATCTATTGATTAACATTTTTGAGAGAGAGAGGAGGGAGGGGGAGAGGGAGGGAGAGAGAGAGAGGGAGGGAGTGAGAGATTGTTAAATGGGTCTCTGTCTCCCTTTACAGGTGCCAGAGGAGACAGCTCAGGTGGTGGATACCTTTGGCTTCAGTGTGACCAAGGGAGGAGTCATCACCGTCAAGGGAGAACTCAACACCGACTGACCAAACAGCTCCTCTTTTCTGACCTCTCCAACCAATCATAAACACTCATCTGACCTCACATCACAGACACTGACCAATCACAATCATCCTTATTTATTCTCATGCTCATGGATTAATAACGTTAGACTAGACAGTAATGCTGTGAACGGTGACACTGTGCCCTAGGAGGAAGGAGGCAGGGGCGGACTGGCCATCATAGGGCATTTGAGCAAATGCCAGATGGTCTGGTCCTTTTTTAACCCAGTGGGCCTGTCTCACTTGGTGTTTTTGCGCAACATTATCATTATTTTGATAATAATGGGGGCTTCGAGGATAGAAAATGCACTGGTGTGTTAGAAATGCCCGGGTCGATTTCTGGTCCCAGTCCGTTCCTTTTTGCTGTCTTTTGGATGAAGACGTTAAACCAAAATCCAGACTGTCAAAGGCGATTTGTGATAATTTATTAATTGTGTTTTTAATGACTCTCTATTCATTTACTACTGTATCTATCTATGTGTGAATTGTGAATGACAGACACCTAACCAAGGCCTTTAGGAATATCCTCTTACTAATGACAGACACACAGAGTGGGTTCAAGGCAAGAAATGACATTGAAAGGGCCTTATTAGGAAATGACAAGAGTATAGAGAAACACAAGATGGTGTGCTCTTCAATGGTTCCCTTAAAGGGATGTTTGAAATCATTTGTGCTGCCTATAATAAGAATAAGAAGGGTGTTATGTTATGTTATTGCAAAGGATGAGGAGGTTCTGGCCAGTAGGCTTTCTCTGCCAAAGGTATTGATGCATTCACACATAGCTACACCTTTTTGAATCCATCTGCCGCCACTTTAGTGCCCTGAAAAAGCAATATAACTTATATACCTTTTAATAATGTAATTATTTGTTTTGTATTTAGTTTGTATTAAAAAGATTCATATATTTTGTCTATTCTGAACTACTTTATAATATAAGCATGCCTGAGTATAAATGAATGCACATAAAAATGAACTAAGATGTGGGAGGTTGTGTAATTGATTCTAAGCTACCAAATTCTCTAAATACTATTAATGCATTATTACTTTAGTAAGATCATAATATGTGTAGCCTATTAGTTTGTACTCATAATGTGCCATGAAGGACTAAACCTGTGTCATGAAGGACATGTGAATGTAGAAATATGCTATATTTGTACATTATTTAGCTCTATGGCAGCAACAGAATGTGAATTCACTATTAAACTCTATTTCAAATGACTCATTTACTTCGTATACATTTGAATTGATTTCACAAAATCACACGAACTCAAAAATATAATTTTCTGAGCATCTCTCGACCTCAAAGAACCAGGCCTACCTTTTTATTCTTGATACGTCAGTTTCCGACATGAACCGAGAGCTGTGGAATTTCCCCTCTATCGAAGCCACACCCACAGACCGCTCTGAATGGCCATAACGATTTATCTGTGAAACGTTTCTCGCTCGTTATTGGCCGTCTCTCCTCGTCCTGTTTTGGGGCGTTTCGTGAGTAAAGTTTGATGAAAGTTTTGGTTGATCTAAAAGTTGAGGAAATCGGTAAGTGTTCGTATTATTAACTGTCAAATAATGTGCAAATATATCCGTTGCAGTCGAGTTTTGAACTGAGATGGCACCCGTTTTCTTTTCGTCATTTGTGTGGTAGAATGACTCATTTTGGTAGCTAGCAAAGCGTCGGAATCGTCAGGTAGCGAGACCATAGCTAGGTGATCAGAAATGTTCAACATTGCGATGTGGGCTGTTATAGGGTCATGGCTAGAAGGAAATCAGCCTTTGTTAAATCTACGTCGAAAGTAATGTTTTTTTTTTGTTGCATTTTAGCTAACCCTAACCCCTTTCCTAACCTTAATTAACCTGATTCTCATAACAGCTACGTTAATTCTCCTAACCTGCTGCGAAATGTCTAATCTGACGGTAATTTAGTCCCGTGTAGCTCAGTTGGTAGAGCATGGCGCTTGCAACGCCAGGGTTGTGGGTTCGTTTCCCACGGGGGGCCAGTATGAAAAAAAATAATATGTATGCACTCACTAACTGTAAGTCGCTCTGGATAAGCGTCTGCTAAATGACTAAAATGTAAATGTAATTTGACAAAAGCTGGATCCCTTCTAGCCATGACTCTGTAGCTAGCTATACGTCCAATATCCTGTAGCTACATTCACGCGAGATTTGGCTCTGGTCCGATATTAGGTTATCATAATAATAATAATAATAATGCCATTTAGCAGACGCTTTTATCCAAAGCGACTAACAGTCATGCATGCATACATTTTTGTGTATGGGTGGTCCCGGGGATCGAACCCACTACCCTGGCGTTACAAGCGCCGTGCTCTACCAGCTGAGCTACAGAGGACCACCCATAAAATGTACAGGTTATGTTTTATATGTAGGTTATAACCTACCTGTTTGAGGCTATGTTGTGCCATTTAGTGACAGCACCATCAATGCCACGAGATACACTCACCTGCTCTATTCACTCAGGTTGGGGCTGATGGATAAGTGAGCTCACTCAAGACACACACTCCCACACCACAATGTCTGGGGCCCAGGAGCACAAGAGACGGCGACCCCAGAATATGTACTTGGTAGCATCCGACCTAAAGATTCAGGACCAGTTGGAAGGTACCATCCGACTGCTACGGGGGAATCTCTGTCAGGAGCAGGAGGGGGGAAGGAGCAGGGGCGACCAACTGTGGGTAAAGGTAAGAAAAGGAATTAATACTTTATCACGCCTGTCTTCACTCATTCCTCTCTTCCTTGTGTTTGAAACTTCTCAACTCACGTCAAACAAACCACACCACCTCTTCCTTCTATCTCTAGATCTCAGGCTCTCCAATACATGAAATCCTCTTCCAATTCCTTCCTCCACTACCAACCATATATACCGGTTCCGCGCTCAATTCTCTCCCTCCCTCCCCCTCTGCTCCTTCCCTCACCTCCCTCCCATCAAACCCCTGTCCTCCCCTCCCCTCCCTCCCTTCCTCCCTCCCTCTCCTTGTTCCCTCCTCTCTTGCTCCCTCTCTCCCCACTCTCTCTCTCCTTGTCCCTCTCCCTCTTTCTTGCTCTCTCTCTCTCTCTCCATCAGGTATTTGACAATGCCTGTATGGTGAAGACTGTCAAGCAGCTGAAGATTGACAAGTTATACACTCCTCTCGTTTCTCCCCCCCCTCAGGTATTAGACTATGGTTGTATGGTAAAGATTGACAAACAGCTCCTTATAGAAGTCCCCACCGACCTGACCGGCCTATTGGAGCCTATATCTGATCCGGAGTCCCGCCTCAAACTGCTCAGTAACCCCAAGCAACTTCACCGATTGGCTGCCTTGCCCCTAGGCACACCCCTCTATGTCCAGATGGGCCAACCAGGAGAGCTGGCGGAGGCGGAGCTGAGGTATCGAGGACCGCTGACCAGAGGAAGTACTGCTGTGTTGTTTGGGGTGCAGCTGAAGGTATTGTTGTTGACATGGTGTTTTTAACTAATGTGGTGTTTTTAACTAACGTGGTGTTTTTAACTATAGACAATAGATCATAACAACAAACGTACACTCTTTGATGGTTCTCTTGAATGTCATTTTACTTGTGTGTTAGTGAGCCACTGTCATACAGTCGTACCCAAATTGTGGAATGACTCGGACCTACCTCTTCACTCTCTCTGTCTCGTCTGTTTGCCTGCCTCTCTCCCTCTCGCTTTCTCTCTCTTAGGACTCAGCAGTGGGTAGAGGCAACACTAACGGTTCGTACAAAGGCCACCAGCTCTTCACCTGTCCCGAAGCCTCCGCCCTCTTCCTACCGGCCGATCAGCTCAGGCTGCGACGCCGTGCCAACGACGACCATCACAACAACGTCCTTCCTCCTCAACCTCAATCCCCCATTGGTAACATCATTGCTAGAACGGCTGAATCGGCTCCCGGCCTGGCCCCAGTCCCAGTCCTGGCTCAAAACCCCAGCTCCCGACCTCCCCTCCAGGTGGGCCAGAGGGTGTGCTTCCCCCTGGAGGATACAGTCCATGGGGGAGAGGTGAGGTTCTGTGGGGCCCTGCCTGGACGGACCGCCACTGGGGTGTTCGTAGGAATCCTGCTGGTAAGTATCACTGCTGGAGTGTGCAGCTGTATTTAGAATTGCAATCAGTGTATTTGTATTTATTATGGATCCCCATTAGCTGCTGCCAAGCCAGCAGCTACTCTTCCTGGGGTCCAGCAAAATGAAGGCAGTTCATACATTTTAAAAACATTACAATACATTCAGAACAGATTTCACAACATATTAAGTGTGTGCCCTCAGGCCTCTACTCTACTACCACATATCTATAACACAAAATCCATGTGTACGTGTGTATAGTGCGTATGTTATAGTGTGTTTGTATGCATGTGTCTATGTTTGTGTTGCTTCACAGTCCCCGCTGTTCCATAAGGTGTATTTTTTATCTGTTTTTTAAATCTGATTTTACTGCTGGCATGAGTTACCTGATGTGGAATAGAGTTCCATGTAGTCCTGTACGCCTCCCATAGTCTGTTCTGGACTTGGGGACTGTGATTATACAGACTTAGATTTATAGTAATTATTGTGTTATAAGACACCTAAAATATAGTGTTCAGTGGATAACATTCACAGACATGTTTAGGCTATATTCTTCATCTAACAGTCAATGCTTCCTGTATATTTGCGCTAATGAGTTTGTTTATATGCAGGACAATGCGGTTGGTAACTGGGATGGTTCATATAAAGGAGAGAAGTTGTGCTCCATCCCCTCTTCTCTCTATGGTTGCCTGCTACCCATCTCCAAGGTGTCCCCTGGTACGTCACTCCCTGGTTCAAATGTTACGGCAGAGCAATGACACTGTTTGGTTTACTGTTATTAATATGACACTAATGAGAGCGGTGCAATTGGAAAACAAAACATTGTGTTGTGTTTGACCGCTGACCTCTACTGACCCCCCTCCCCCACAGAACCGAGGTCACGCCGCCATACTCCTCCCCTCCAGAACCCCAAACCAGTCCTCAAACCCACCCAACCACCCGCCCCTAAACTTGCCATTGTATCCTCACCTGCCTCCACCCCAAAGATCGCTCTGATGCCTCCTCAACTCCTCTCAGCCAAACTGGCCTTAAAACCTCCACCCCTCCCCAGCCCCAAGCCTTTCACGAAACCTCACCCCCTTCCCCCAACCCCTCCCGCCTTCAAACCCCAAACCCTGCCCTCCCCGACCTCCACCGACCAACCACAGCTCTTGAATGGTTCGCCCAGTCCCCTCTCTCCGGGTCGAGGTGAAGGATTGGACGCTGAGGAGAATGGAGACGCGGGATTGGAGGTTGAGTTGGAGGTGGGGTCCATGGTGGAGGTGAATGACCCGCCCCTTTTTGGAGTGATTCGTTGGATTGGACGAATCAGTGGAGTTCCACAACTGGTGTCAGGAATCGAGCTGGTACGGTAACACTGTCACCTCCGTTACTGTGTGTCATCAACTCACTGTAATTCCATCAACTCTGTAATTGTGTTGGTGTCAATGTATCATGTCAAGTCAATCAGTGTATGACAATGTTGTAGAGCAGTGGTATTCAAGCATTTTCAACTAAGGCTGCCTTGAAAACTCCAAAATGTCTAGCGTGTGTTTGTAACATATTTAGATGCATACTTTCCTCTCTCAGGACCAGGAGCTGACCGCTGGAACAGACGGCAGTTACCTTGGCGAACGCCACTTCCGTTGCCCCGCCAACAAGGGGCTGTTCGTCAAACTCCGGAACTGTAGGCGGGACTCCAGATTCCCTGCCCCCGAGACACCGGTCAACCAGGTGGAGCGCTGCAACTCCATAGGTGTGTTATCTGTGTGTGTTGTCTTGCCCGACTCACGCCTCTCCCTTGAGATTAATGAGCTAGCCTAGGTTACCACTATTACCTACAGGCGTTGCCCTTCCAGCCCAGTCCCGATCCCAGCAACCCATTGATACCAGCCATGGCACCGGCGTAGCGCTCTGCGGCCGACAGCTGGAGTGGGAGAAACCTTTTTTGTTAAAAACCACTCAGCGGGGCGTTCAACTCGGGGCTCTCCCAGAACTATAAGACCAGGGGAACTATTAAGACCAGGGGAACTATTAAGACCAGGGGAACTATAAGACCAGGGGAGCTATAAGACCAGGGGAGCTATAAGACCAGGGGAGCTATAAGACCAGGGGAACTAGAGGGTGAGTATAGTTTCTCCTTTCTGCAACTGTTATTAACATTATTACCTTAGTTTTACACCCACGGGCGTCACAAAACCTTCACCTGTGGACCTGGAGTTACTCACCGTAACGGGACCTAGTGTCCCACGAGACGGAAGAGGTATAGTCACTGTGTCATGCCTTAGCCTAACACTCTAAGACATACACACCCCAAGCATGGACCCACAAATTTACCAAGAGAGGAAACCCTCTGGTCTATTTCGGTCATTGGCCCCTCGAGAGGAAATACACCGCCTGTATTTATTCAAGCAAAGCCCTTTACAAAGAGTCTACTTACAGTGAGGGGAAAAAAGTATTTGATCCCCTGCTGTTTTTGTACGTTTGCCCACTGAAAAAGAAATGATCAGTCTATAATTTTAATGGTAGGTTTATTTGAACAGTGAGAGACAGAATAACAACAAAAAAATCAAGAAAAACGCATGTCAAAAAGGTTATGAATTGATTTGCATTTTAATGAGGGAAATAAGTATTTGACCCCTCTGCAAAACATGACTTAGTACTTGGTGGCAAAACCCTTGTTGGCAATCACAGAGGTCAGACGTTTCTTGTAGTTGGCCACCAGGTTTGCACACATCTCAGGAGGGATTTTGTTCCACTCCTCTTTGCAGATCTTCTCCAAGTCATTAAGGTTTCGAGGCTGACGTTTGGAAACTCGAACCTTCAGCTCCCTCCACAGATTTTCTATGGGATTAAGGTCTGGAGACTGGCTAGGCCACTCCAGGACCTTAATGTGCTTCTTCTTGAGCCACTCCTTTGTTGCCTTGGCTGTGTGTTTTGGGTCATTGTCATGCTGGAATACCCATCCACGACCCATTTTCAATGCCCTGGCTGAGGGAAGGAGGTTCTCACCCAAGATTTGACGGTACATGGCCCCGTCCATCGTCCCTTTGATGCGGTGAAGTTGTCCTGTCCCCTTAGCATGTTTCCACCTCCAAGTTTGACGGTGGGGATGGTGTTCTTGGGGTCATAGGCAGCATTCCTCCTCCTCCAAACATGGCGAGTTGAGTTGATGCCAAAGAGCTCGATTTTGGTCTCATCTGACCACAACACTTTCACCCAGTTCTCCTCTGAATCAACTTCAGACGGGCATGTATATGTGCTTTCTTGAGCAGGGGGACCTTGCGGGCGCTGCAGGATTTCAGTCCTTCACGGCGTAGTGTGTTACCAATTGTTTTCTTGGTGACTATGGTCCCAGCTGCCTTGAGATCATTGACAAGATGCTCCGTGTAGTTCTGGGCTGATTGTAGCTCAACTGGTAGAGCACAGCGCTTGTAACGCCAGGGTAGTGGGTTCGATCCCCGGGACCACCCATACACAAAAAATTTATGCACGCATGACTGTAAGTCGCTTTGGATAAAAGCGTCTGCTAAATGGCATATTATTATTTTTATTATTATTCCTCACCGTTCTCATGATCATTGCAACTCCACGAGGTGAGATCTTGCATGGAGCCCCAGGCCGAGGGAGATTTGACAGTTCTTTTGTGTTTCTTCCATTTGCGAATAATCACACCAACTGTTGTCACCTTCTCACCAAGCTGCTTGGCGATGGTCTTGTAGCCCATTCCAGCCTTGTGTAGGTCTACAATCTTGTCCCTGACATCCTTGGAGAGCTATTTGGTCTTGGCCATGGTGGAGAGTTTGGAATCTGATTGATTGCTTCTGTGGACAGGTGTCTTTTTATACAGGTAACAAGCTGAGATTAGGAGCACTCCCTTTAAGAGAGATGTTCTAAAAACCGGCTCTACAGAAAAAGCAGAAAAGAAGCGATCAAAAAGAACCAACAAACTAACTTTCTAACTTGCAAAACATTTACTTATATACTGTCATGCCTCCCTTATTCACTCCTCCCCACAACCCAGTTACATCATATTCATACCATACTAGCGTTTCCCCTTGTATGGAATTTTCCCCTCATAGGGCTGCATCCCCTTTGTGTGGCCGTAATTATCCCTAAAAAAAAATCCATGTATTTTGCGGCCAGTGGCTGTTGTGCCCTTGGGCTGAATATAATAATTATAATTCCCTTTCCCGGCTGCGTGCCGAAGCACCTCTCACTCACATGGCTCTCAGTCGCATGATCAGGTCTTTCTCACAGGCTACAAGTGAAGACAGGCACATCAGGGACACAACTGCGCGCGTCCTTATCCAATTCCGAGGCGCATATTGAAGATATTGGAAGAAATGTCCACATTTACTTTTGGTCAGCCAACAAGATGAGTAGGCTTAACGAACAGCAAAAGCACTAGCCTATGTCAATCTACTATCCCCCGTAGTACAAAAGTTGACCTATTCTGTGAGATAAATAAATATTCCAAAGATAGTCTGGGACAGTTGTGGGATGCGATAGATCCCAAATTAATACAACCACTAGCATCAAAAAAACTATTTTTAAGCAATGAGCCTGACGCAACAGATCAGAACGTTTAGCTTAAAATGTTGATAAAATATTAGGCTATTTCTTCACATTATAAGCGCAGCAAGGCGCACACGGCAGTAGGCTATATGCACGAATGTTCCATTAGCAGGAAAACACCATTCTCAAAAGTGACCACAAATGTGATTATGCATGTAATGCTTTTATTATAAAGGTGCATTTTTATGGTGAAAATTATCTTCCCCAAACTTGAAACTCATGTATGCCAGTTAGGCTCTACACCCCTTGTAAAGTGGATTAATGTGCTTCATTTTAAGAAGTTATTTGGCCACTTTAGTTGTGATACAAACCTTATCAAAACATATAGGCCTATGGGCTAGGCCACATGAGGTCTGCGACTATGATTTGAAAAAGTCGCCAAAAAAAGTATGCACTGTTTCTAGCCTTAAGCTGGGCATCATCATTCACAAGTGATAATATATCATTCATAAGTGAAAGGCTAATATTGTCACCCATCACACTATTCTTGATTTAATCATGTCTTAACGTATACTAAATTATATATGTGTGACATTTTTATTTATTTAGTATGGGCTATTATCATGCACCTGTATCGAAACAGGGCAGCGGAAAAAAAAAAAAATACATCTATGAACTTCAATAGCGAATGGAGGACGCTTTTCCCGGGGTTCATTTTCATGCCAGCCAGGTAGGCTATACTCCTGTGGTAATATAAGCAATGTGCATAATATTAGGAAAGTTGAGAAATAAATATAGTAGGCTATAGAAAGCTGATGGGAACCTCCTCTTTTTAATAGAGGCCATCACTATAGAAATGTTGCGCAACATGAGCTCGTGCACTTATGAAGTGTTTGATTACATTTTTGATTACATTTGCATTGATGTCAGAGGGATTAGAGGGACAATAGAGTGCTGAGTACCAGGCAGTTAGCAAGTTTGGTAGGCTACTAATGACCATCAGCAGCATCAGAGCTTGGAGAAGCCTAATCAGACGTCATCTGAGCGCGACGTATGTTGTTTGTTGTTGAACGCTGAAAGCTGAACGAGAGACCTCGGTTTTTTGTTTTTGTAAAGCTGACAGTGTTTCCTTGTACATTTTGTTTACTGTTGGGCTTAGCTGCTGTGAGCGCTGCTGTCTGTCCTGGATCCTGCCAGATTCCTCATAGGGGGAGAGACACGGAAGCTGTGAGCGCTGCTGTCTGTCCTGGATCCTGCCAGATTCCTCATAGGGGGAAAGAAAGCGTCCTCTGGTAAAAGGAGATGTTAAGTCCAGACCTGACACAGACCAGAAACGGCTTTGCCGCCCTGGATCCAGAGGTTCCGGCGCCTTCTTCCTTAGGGGCTTCCCACTTGAGATCGGATCCGGAGGTACTTGCGTCTGTGTCTTCGTCCTCTGTTCTGTCTCCCTCTCCGGTGGCTTCTACCTCGGGTGCATATCCTCTGAGCTCCCACCCTCATCAGACCGTGAGGCTGCCTGAGAGTCCGGCCCATTCAACTTCACCAGCTGTCATCATCGGCAGCTCTATTGTGAGAAACATCTCGGTTCCCAATGCAAAAACCCTGTGCTACCCTGGAGCACGAGTACAGGACATCACAAGGCTGCTTCCGACTGTTCTACGACAGATGCCGGGAGTTGATGCTGTCGTAGTCCATGTGGGGTCAAACGACATCAGGAGGGCTAGCTCGGTACATCTGAAAATGGGTTTTAAAGAACTGATTTTAGCATTAAAAGACTCAAAAAAACGGCCAATCATTTCAGGTCCAGTACCAACATTGGGCTGCGGGTTTGTAAGATTCAGCAGGCTACTGGCATTACACATCTTGCTAAAAGATTACTGTAGCTCTGGTGGAATCACTTTTATAGATAACTTTGACACCTTCTGGAAACAGAAGATACTCTACAGGAATGACGGAGTCCATCCAAATCATTGTGGTTCCTGAACTCTTTCCACACATTTCAAGGCTGCGATGAAACAATGACTTATCAATGACCCAAGACCAGCTCAGTTAATCCCTACCATTGTGACAATGAGTCGTCATAATGCTGCATCAAATGTACATCATCGTAGGGGCGTTGGCAGACTGTAAACAATGTAAGTAATTTAATTTATGTCCCCCTAATTGTAGTCCCCTGTAGCTCAGTTGGTAGAGCATGGCACTTGCAACGCCAGGGTTGTGGGTTCATTTCCCACAGGGGGCCAGTATGAAAATGTATGCACTCACTAACTGTAAGTCGCTCTGGATAAGAGCGTCTGCTAAATGACTAAAATGTCAAATGTAATTTCCCTGAATACCTCTGTTGATCCTACAGCTATTGTATGCAGTAATCATGAGCCCAGAGTTACACTGTTAGCACTGAGGCAGTGTGTGCCCAAGTAGGAAGACCATTGTGTGCAGCTCACCCTGCACTATCAGCGCCAATATAAATAACATGAACAAGTCTACTTCTGATAAGCTTCCCAGTAAAGCATTAAAAACAATCAAGCAACCCAGAAAAGTGCTAAAAATAGCCCATATTAACATATGCAGCCTGAGAAACAAGATCCATGAAGTCAAAAACTTGCTTGTAACAGATGACATTCATATTCTGACTATCTCTGAAACGCACTTAGATAATACATTTGATGATACAGTGGTAGCAATACATTGTTATAACATCTACCGAAAAGACAGAAATGCCAACGGGGGGCGGTGATGCGGTCTATATTCAGAACCACATTCCTGTAATGCTTAGAGATGATCTCATGTTAAATACTGTTGAAGTTATATGGCTACAGGTTCATCAGCCTCACCTAAAGCCCATTCTTGTGTGAAGCTGCTATAGACCACCAAGTGCTAACAGTCAGTATCTAGATAATATGTGTGAAATGCTTGATAATGTATGTGATATCAACAGAGAAGTATATTTTCTGGGTGATTTAAATATTGACTGGCTCGCATCAAGCTGCCCACTCAAGAAAAAACGTCAAACTGTAACCACTGCCTGCAACCTGGGTAAGGTTGTCAGTCAACCTATTGGGTATTTACAAACAGCACAGGAATGAAATCATCAACATGTGTTGATCACATCTTTACTAATGCTGCAGAAATTAGCTTTAAAGCAGTATCCAAATCCATAGGATGTAGTGATCACAATATAGTATCCATATCTAGGAAAACCAAAGTTCCAAAGGCTGGGCCTAATAAGAGGTCATACAATAAGTTTTGTAGTCATTCATATGTTGATGATGTAAAGAATATTTGCTGGTGTGTAATGAGGAGCAACCAGACGCTGCACTTGCTTATTCCAGTTACTAATAAGCACGCACTCATTAAGAAAAAGACTGTAAAGACTGTTAAATCCCCTTGGATTGATGAGGAATTGAAAAATGGTATGGTTGAGAGGGATGAGGCAATAGGTATGGCAAATAAGTCTGGCAGCCCAACTGATTGGCAAACGCACTGCAAATTAAGAAATCATGTGACTAAACTAAATAAAAATAAACAATACTATGAAACAAAAATAAATCATATAAAGAATGATAGTAAAAAGCTTTGGAGCACCTTAAATTAAATTTTGGGAAAAAAGGCAAACTCGGCTCCATCATTAATTGAATCAGATTGCTCATTCGTCACAATACCCACTGATATTGCCAACTACTTTAATGACTTTTTAATTGGCAAGATTAGCAAACTTAGGCATGACATGCAAGCAACAAACACTGACACTACACATTCAAGTATATCTGACCAAATTATGAAAGACAAGAATTGTACTTTTGAATTCCGTAAAGTCAATGTGGAAGAGGTTAATTTTTTGTTGTTGTCTATCAACAATGACAAGCCACCGGGGTCTGACAAACTGGATGGAAAATTACTGAGGATAATAGCGGACGATATTGCCACTCCTATTTGCCACATCTTCAATTTAAGCCTACTAGAAAGTGTGTGCCCTCAGGCCTGGAGGGAAGCTAAAGTCATTCCGCTACCCAAGAATAGTAAAGCCCCCTTTACTGGCTCAAATAGCCAACCAATCAGCCTGTTACCAACCCTTAGTAAACTTCTGGAAAAAATTGTGTTTGAGCAGATACAATGCTATTTCACAGTGAACAAACTGACAACAGACTTTCAGCACGCTTGTAGGGAAGGACACTCAACAAGCACAGCACTTACACAAATGACTGATGATTGGCTGAGAGAAATTGATGATAAAATGATTGGGGGGGCTGTTTTGTTAGACTTCAGTGCGGCTTTTGACATTATCGATCATAGTCTGCTGCTGGAAAAACGTATGTGTTATGGCGTTACACCCCCTGATATAACGTGGATAAAGCCTTTGAGAGGCTTCTTTAATGGAAGCCTCTCAAACATTTTCCAGGTAGAATCAGGAATTCCCCAGGGCAGCTGTTTAGGCCCCTTACTTTTTTCAATCTTTACTAACGACATGCCAGTGTGTCTATGTATGCGGATGACTCAACACTATACACGTCAGCTGCTACAGCAACTGAAATGACTGCAACCCTTAACAAAGAGCTGCAGTTAGTTTCAGAATGGGTAGCAAGGAATAAGTTAGTCCTAAATATTTCCAAAACTAAAAGCATTGTATTTGGGTCAAATCATTCACTAAACCCTAAACCTCAACTACATCTCCTAATGAATAATGTGGAAATTGAGCAAGTTGAGGTGACTAAACTGCTTGGAGTAACCCTGGATTGTAAACTGTCATGGTCAAAACATATTGATACAACAGTAGATAAGATGGGGAGAAGTCTGTCCATAATAAAGCGTTGCTCTGCCTTCTTAACAGCACTATCAACAAGGCAGGTCCTACAGGTCCTAGTTTTGTCGCACCTAGACTACTGTTCAGTAGTGTGGTCAGGTGCCACAAAGAGAGACTTGGGAAAATTGCAGTTGGCTCAGAAGAGGTCATCACGGCTGGCCCTTAAAAGTACACGGAGAGCTAACATTTAATGACATGCATGTCAATCTCTCATGGCTCAAAGTGGAAGAGAGATTGACATCATCACTACTTGTTTTTGTAAGAGGTGTTGACAAGCTGAATGTACCGAGCTGTCTGTTTTAAAATATTAGCACACAGCTCGGACACCCATGCATACCCCACAAGACATGCCACCAGAGGTCTCTTCACAGTCCCCAAGTCCAGAACAGACTATGGGAGGCGCACAGTACTACATAGAGCGATGACTACATTGAACTCTATTCCACATCAAGTAACTGATGCAAGATTTTAAAAAAACATGTAAAAATACACCTTATGGAACAGCAGAGACTGTGAAGAGACACACACAGGTACAGACACATGCAAACGCATACATTGTAATATTGTTGTATGGTGGTATTGTACATTTTGTATTGTAGATATGTAGTGGTGTAATAATGTTATTTTATGTACTGTTTTTATATTTTGTTTTATATGTAATGTAAGTGCTTTAATGTGTTTGGACCCCAGGAAGAGCAGCTGCTGCCTTGGCAGAAGCTAATGGGGATCCCTATCAAATACAAATACAAATTACAGTGACTAAACGGTCACGTGGAATTTGACTGCTGTCATGACTCATGACCGCCGGTGTGTCGGTAATACGGTCACCGTAAAAACCCTAGCTATCTCCTCCTTTCTCTGCTGGCTGCGGTACCTCTCAGCTCTCCCCCTTCTGTTCCTTTTTCCGTCCCGTTGAGTCTCTGTTTTCTTGGCCTCCTGCTCTCTCCATCCCAGAAGCCGTTGTATCTCGGTGGGGGTGAGAGTTACATCCATCCCATGGTTCGTGTGTGTGTGTGGTGCGTATTTCTGTCTCTATGAGTGTGTGTGTGTGTCCATAGCATGTAACATGATGACGACTCCCACCCCCAGCGTTTGCAGAGTGGGGCAGTGAGCGTGTGGTGGAGCACACCCCTCCAGTCCAGGGGGATGAGGCCAGAGATATGTACCAGGGCTGGAAGAGAGGCATCCAGGGACACCTCAACTCCTGCTACCTGGACGCCTCACTCTTCAGGTGACTAACGCTGGCATTCTCACTCCCTCCTGTTTGTAATATTATTAGGCCAATAATTGTTATCAAATTATGTAATTTGACCTGTAAGTAATAGGATGTTGAGAATCAGAACACTCCATTAGAACCAGAACACTCGTTAGAACCAGAACACTCGTTAGAACCAGAACACTTGTTAGAACTAGAACACTCGTTAGAACTAGAACACTCCGTTAGAACTAGAACACTCCGTTAGAACCAGAACACTCTGTTAGAATCAGAACACTCCGTTAGAACTAGAACACTCCATTAGAACCAGAACACTCTGTTAGAATCAGAACACTCCATTAGAACTAGAACACTCCATTAGAACTAGAACACTCCGTTAGAATCAGAACACTCCATTAGAACTAGAACACTCCATTAGAACTAGAACACTCCATTAGAACTAGAACACTCCGTTAGAATCAGAACACTCCGTTAGAATCAGAACACTCCGTTAGAATCAGAACACTCCGATAGAATCAGAACACTCCGATAGAATCAGAACACTCTGTTAGAATCAGAACACTCCGATAGAATCAGAACACTCTGTTAGAATCAGAACACTCCGATAGAATCAGAACACTCCGTTAGAATCAGAACACTCCGTTAGAATCAGAACACTCCGTTAGAATCAGAACACTCCGATAGAATCAGAACACTCCGATAGAATCAGAACACTCCGTTAGAATCAGAACACTCCGTTAGAATCAGAACATTGCGTTTATTAATAGGATGTTGAGAATTAAGGGTTAGATAATGCAGTCAGGCTCTTTTTTTTGTGTGCAAAAATGTAAAATTGGGGAATGTTGTCGTATCGAATCTAAGGATGTTTTTTATTGAACTAGAAGGAATGCTGGATGCATTAATGTTAATTAAACTCTCTATTTTCTCCCCCTCTCTCTCGCTCAGTCTGTTTTCGTGCTGCAGTTCAGTAGACTGGGTGTTGCTGTGGCCCACGGACCCCTCAGACGGCTCCCGCTGCAGCCAAGCCCAGGACCTGCTACGCTGTGAGATAGTCAACCCCCTACGCAGGTGTGTGTGTTCCTTCGCACTGGGTGTTTATGTATAGGCATATATTGTGATTTACATTTTTCTGTATTTATATAGTTATAGTGAATTTGAATAGCTTTTATGAATGTACATCTTCGTGTGTGTGTCTCTCAGGTTTGGCTATGTGTGTGCCAGTAAGACTATGGCCCTGAGAAGACTCCTGGAGGCCGAGAGTAGTGATACAGGCTTCACCAACCAGGAGAAAGGTGTGTGTGTGTCCGTCAGTCTGTCTGTCCGTGTGAGAGAGACTGGCTGTCTGTCCATCCATCTCTCCGTCCATCTTGTCTGTGTGAGTGGGACGGGGGCGCGAGGGAGAGAAAGGGACTGGGTGAGAAATGTTCCCTCTAATTTGTTTTGTCACTGAGCAAATTTCAGGTCTGCTGAGTGCAAACTTCAAAGTTGTGAAAATTCTGTGCAACTTCCGGCGCACGTTTACTGTGAACACTGAGGCTGTACCCTCTTTAAGTTACAGTTTTAACAGTGGCCAGGTAGGCTATTGTGGCTGTTTTGATCATAATGTAGGCCTACCAGAGTGGCCTACCATCAATAACAATGGAGAAAAAGCATCTGATAACATTTTAACATGGAAATAGCTGTTCTATCATTCAGCCTACAGTAGCAGCCAATGTGTGGTGTTCAGTGTAGGCCTACATTCCATTAGACTTTTGGGAAGAAAACATGCAGGGCTTGACATTAACCAGTTTATCCACTTGTCCTTCAGACAAGGAGGTGACTGAAAATGTTGTTGTGTTGTTTGATGCAAGAAACCACTGTACAAAATAAAATGCATTATTATTCCCATACCATTATTACAGAGAATCAGACAAATTATTCTACCCTCTGCCTATTGGCTACTTAGCTTATTCAAGCTTGTCTCAAAATACAACACTTCCCCTTTAAAACTAAAAAAGCTCTTTACCTGACTCGCTTTTCAAAGATGTCTAGAAATGTACACATTTTGTGCTCTTGTAGGAAGTAATCACTCCCCTATTGCTGACTACAAATGATCTATAACTGGGCTAATAACTCACTAACTAGCAAAGGATATGATCAAATGTGCACACGTGATCTCAAAACAGGCACATCTACTCACGACCGCGCAAGCTGTCCATTTCAAAGGGAATAGCACAGATCCATATATGGCAATGGTCTATTTGCATATAGGCCTACTGCAGCTCTGATTAGTTATGGCACATCAGTCTATTTAGAGTAAGGGCCTGAGTCGTGCCTGTCAACGCAATAGAATCCTACTCCAATGTATTCTGCCTACAACAAAATCTCTTGCATAGTTCATTTTGCATACTAAGTATTGCATAGTTCGTTTTGTTTCGGTATGTTGCTTTGAAAGTGGCTAATAATGCTTTGATTCGATCACAATTCCCACAGTAAAGAGAAACGTTGATAATGTTAACTAATGGGGAAAACTAGAAAGTTGAGTGAAGTTCAATCTTGTGCTTCTCTGCACAGGCTGATATTTCTTCTGCGCGGCAGTCCCGGGAAGCATAGAGGGAACATTGGAGTGTTTTTAAAGACGTCTGTCTTGTCTTGTCTTTCTGTCAGACCCAGAAGAGTTCCTCAACAAGCTTTTCCAGCTCCTCCGGGTCGAACCTCTTCTGAAGATCAGGTATACTTTCTCTCCTTCCCCCTCCCTTCTCTCTCCTCTCTAATTTCTCTCTCTCCTTCCACCCCTTATCTCTCGCGATCTCTCTCTAATTTCTCTCTATCCATCCACCCTTCTCTCTCTCGCGCTCTCTCTCTCTCTCCTCTCTAATTTCTCTCTCTCCTCCCCCCCCCCTCGTTCTGTCGTTCTCTTATTCTTTCTTACTCACCCACCTTCTCTACCTGTAACAGTTGTTTTCCTCTCATGCTCTCCCTCGTTCCTTTCAGGTCAGTGACACAGAAGCAGCAGCCTCAGGAGTGTCACCTCTACCAGCTCTTCCCCCCATCCGTTCCCCTCTCTCCCTCCTCCCCTGTCCCTCTGTCTCCGTCCCTCTCTCCCATCCCTCTCTCCTCCCCTGTAGTACTCATGAGAGTGGCCAGTGTTCAGACTCTGCTAGAGACTTCTTTTCTCCACGCGGGACTAAAGTTTGCTGAGGTAACAACACGATATAGTAGATACACAAAGGAGGACTGTTTTTATCCCCCATCTCTCCTCCTCCTCTCCATCTCTCCTCCTCCTCTCCATCTCTCCTCCTCCTCTCCATCTCTCCTCCTCCTCTCCATCTCTCCTCCTCCTCTCCATCTCTCCTCCATCTCTCCTCCTCCTCCTCTCCATCTCTCCTCCTCCTCCTCTCCATCTCTCCTCCTCCTCCTCTCCATCTCTCCTCCTCCTCCTCTCCATCTCTCCTCCTCCTCCTCTCCATCTCTCCTCCTCCTCTAATCTCTCCATCTCTCCTCCTCCTCTAATCTCTCCATCTCTCCTCCTCCACTAATCTCTCCATCTCTCCTCCTCCTCTAATCTCTCCATCTCTCCTCCTCCACAAACTCAACTCAACGTTGATGGGTTGACTCTCCCCTCCCCCAGGCCCCCTCCTGCCTCCCCCTCCTTATGCCTAGGTTTGGGAAGGACTTCAAGATGTTTGACGCCATCTTGCCGTCACTCACAATCGACATCACAGACCTGCTGGATGACAGTAAGGACCAATGATATAAACTCATGGAAATATACACTGAGTGTACAAAACATTAGGAACACCTGCTCTTTCCATTACATAAACTGACCAGGTGAAAGCTATGATCCCTTATTGATGTCACTTGTTAAATCCATTTCAATCAGTATAGATGAAGGGGAGGAGACAGGTTAAAGAAGGATTTTTAAGCCTTCAGACAATTGAGACATGGATTGTGTATGTGTGCCATTCAGAGGGTGAATGGGCAAGACAAAAGATTTAAGTACCTTTGAACAGGGTATGGTAGTAGGTGCCAGGCGCACCGGTTTGTGTCAAGAACTGCAACGCTGCTGGGTTTTTCATGCTCAACAGTTTCCTGTGTGTATCAAGAATGGTCCACCACCCAAAGGACATCCAGCCAACTTGATACAACTGTGGGAAGCATTGGAGTTAACATGGGCCAGCATCCCTGTGGAACGCTTTCCACACCTTGTGGAGTCCATGCACTGATGAATTGAGTCTGTTTTGAGGGCAAAAGGGGAATACAGCTCAATATTAGGAAGGTGTTTCTAATGTTTGGTATACTCAGTGTATGTCTATGGTAAGAACCCTGATATGTTAAAACATGAGGACATTTTATGAGGCGGGTTTCCTGTTGATGACCTTTCTCTCTCTCTCTCGTCTTCACTCTCGTTCCTCTCTCTCACTCCCTCTATTGCTATCTCTTCTTCTCCCTCCCGCTGTCTCTCTCTCCTCCCCTCTCTCTCTCCAGCTCTCAGACAGTGCAGTATTTGCCAGGCAGTAGCAGAATGGGAGTGTCTAGAGTGTTATGAAGACTTGGACATCACACCTGGTCGTCTCAAACAGTACTGCCACACCTGCAACACTCAGGTAACCACGGCACACCATGGGATGACATCACTGCTATTATTACCTATAGTACAGCTCTCTAAGTTCCTTCAAAAGTCCCTTGCATCCACTCATATTGCAGGACCAACATTGTCCTCTCCCTCCCTCTCTCCCTCCATCCTTCCATTAGGTGCACATCCACAAGAAGCGCCAGTCCCACAATCCGTGTCAGGTGGGTGTGGCTGGGGGTCCGTGGACCGGCCCACTACATGGAACTCGTCAGCGATTGGCTCTCTTTGCTGTGACGTGCATCGAGACCAGCCACTACGTGAGCTTCGTCAAGCACGGGCCCCGCCCCGATGACTGGCTGTTCTTTGACAGTATGGCCGACAGGGAAGGTGAGAGATGTCAACTTAAGGCCTGCAATACTTCTACTTTTCTTCCTGTTAGTCAATTGATTGAATAATGTAATTGATTGGCCAGAGAGTCTACTTACCTGGTGTTCCAGATCTGAGTCACTCCCTGATTACAGGGCAAATGAAAATATGTAGTACTGCAAATCTCGAATAGCCCTTGGCCCCTTGAAAATCACAGAAACATTCTATGAAACTCTTCATTGTATGATCGTAACATCCCATAACAGTTGCCATGTTCTGTCTCCATGGTTACGGCCAGGCGGGGAGAACGGTTTCAACGTTCCCCAGGTAAAGGCGTGTCCAGAGGTGGGCCGCTACCTCAGCCTATCAGAGGAGGAGCTGGGCAGGCTAGACCCCGCCTCCTTAAGAGAGTCCGCCCGCCGGCTGCTGTGTGACTCCTACATGTGTCTCTACCACAGCCCCGAGCTCAGCCTGTACAAATAACACACACACACACACACACACCAATGTGCCTTCAGGATTAGTGACATGCAGTATTGTACATAACCACTGTTGTGTCTGTTCAAGTAACACACGCACAAGTTCCAGTATTGCACCAATGTGCCTCAAACAAGCAACACAGAAACAGACTCCTACAACGACCACTGCCCAAATGTGCCTTTCAACACGGAAAACCAAGCAACACAGAAACAGACTCCTACAACGACCACTTCCCAAATGTGCCTTTCAACACGGAAAACAAAGCAACACAGAAACAGACTCCTACAACGACCACTGCCCAAATGTGCCTTTCAACACGAAAAACCTGTTTTGCACTCTTCTGTTTACTTTATCCTTATGTCATATGGAAATCTGAGAAGAAAATTATGAATAATTGTATATAATAAATGTATATAATTTAATTATATATAAAATTATATATAATATACAATTATATATACAAATATAATTTGCACTTTTTTGGGGGGGACACAACTTTTTAATTCCGTATTGGTTATGTTGTAATACATAGAAAGAGGAAATGAATATATTAAAGAGAATTATAATGAAATATCTTGTTTGAAATATGTTATTGTCAAAGTATCATTCTTGTGAATGAAAAATAGCCCTAAATGCTTATCATAGTCATTGCCAGTTAGTCTCGCGATTAGAGTGTTGGGCCAATAACTGATAGGTCGCTGGTTCGAATACGAGAGCCGACAAGGTGAAAAATATGCCTCTATGCCCTTGAGTAAGGCACTTAACCCCAATTGCTCCAGGGGTGCTGGACCATGTTGACCCTGGCCTTGACGACACTCCCTGCAGGTGTCTCAGAAGGAGTTGGGATATGCAAGAAAAACATTTCCATTACATACTTGTGTGTAACAGGACAAATATATGCACCCCCCACCCCCACCCCCCCAAATGATTATTATTATCATCGATCATCATCACGTTTTATTTTAGTAGAGCCACCACGACCAGTGAAGGTTTCTCATCAAACGAGGGATAGTGAAGTGCTACATGTTAAAAAGGTGGACTTTGTATTTTTTATTGCAATGGTCATAAACTGTACAGCACAAGCAGAGAAGAAGTAAAAGAAAATTGGAATCATTGTGAATGAGGCTGAACGTTTTTTGGTTCTTCGTGATTTCACAGCCGAGGCCGTGCAAGAAATCCTGCCTGTGAATGCACCGCCATCATAGGCCCCTGAGGCTGCGTAGGGATGTATTTTGGAGTGGACTGTGATTGAAGAAGTGGGATGGGTTTTGTTAGTTGACGTGTCTAATTTTATATTTTATATGAAACAGTATGAGAAAAAAAAAAAGTATGCACTCACACTCTGGATAAGAGCGTCTGCTAAATGACTAAAATGTAATTATCCCCCTTTTCCGCAATGTTTTTTTATTTTCTCATTCAACACCCCGTCCAGCTGGTGGCTGTAATGCACCATTAACATTGGATGCCAACCGCCTTTAAACCTCTATTGAAGAAGACGTTTTATTTTTCTACTACTATGTTTGCCCACAAGAGGGCAGTGAAGAGCGACATCAATACTGAAACGTCATCATTTTTAGACCATCGTACGTCGTCGATTCAAGTTGTGTTCACTGCTTGTGATTAATTTGACGATAGTCCATTATTTGTCGGCTAATTCTGCACAATAGTAACATAAAAGCATATTAAACAGTAGTTGGAACGTGTCTGTAAGGTAAGGAGTGTTGTCATTTCATATATTTAACCTCTAATGTTTACTAGATGTCTGAAACTAGCTAGTAGTTAACTAACATTGCATGCTATCAAGCTAGCCAGCTGCTTCAGCACATTTATACGCTGTTAGCAAAAGTCCCAGTTTACATTAGGGACATGTCTTGACAGCGCCTTTAAATGTAAACGAAGTCTATACACGTATTGTTCACATTCAAACACAACATCGTAAGCAGATACTTTTTTAAAGATCCTATTCTGGATGTTCTATGTCTTGCCTCTGATATTGAACTCTGCATTGTTGAAGAGTTTGTAAGGAAACATTTCACTGTATGGTTTACACATGCTGTAATCTGTCATGTGACAAATACACTTTGATTTGATTTGGATTGTAGCCAGATATAGCGTTTCTTTGCAATTTAAAAACCAATACATTTCACCCCTGTAATATTCTTGTTTGCTGTATGTCAAGTCAAACCAAGGCCTTTTTGCCTAACTCAAAATGTGTTGTTTTATAATAGTCTCTAACCAGCAAGATCTTCTATGAAGTTCGGCAAAAACAAAGATCTGTGTTTGTTTTGGTCATTGTCAATATGTACTTCAGTTCCTTTTCATGTAATAATGTGTTTTCTCTTTGCAGGGTTTGCAGTGCTTCTTTGTATGGTTGTTCAGCAAAGTTCTACGTTGCCATGGCGACTCCGGGGGGACAGGGTGGAGGGGCGTTGTCAACTAGAGGAGGAGCTAGGAGGATGAAATGGGCTCTGGAGCTGACCTTGGGCAATGCCAGGTAAGAAGAGAGACCCATTACACCATTGCCAAATTCCAAATCCCTTAAACCCTACAGGTGCGTAGGGTTTAGTGGTCGATTTTGGATTGGAACTTTATCAGCCATGTTGATTTTACCTGACAAATGGCGGATACTTGATTATTGTGCCCAGAGCCCACATTTGATGATGAACTCAGATACACAGACATGACTTGCTTAAAGAGCTAGCTACCTTGTTAGAACTATGAATAACCTGAATATCCTATACTACAGCCTCTCACCATCTATAGCCCTCTGAATAAAGTGAACTGAACTGACCTCTGTCTCTTCCAGGGGTCGTGGTGACCGACAGAGTAACCAGGGAGATGTGATGTATCCAATTGGCTATTCAGACAAACCAGTCCCAGACACCAGCATCCAGGAATCAGACAAAAACCTGGTGGAAAAGGTAGGTAGTGTAGTGGAGGAATTGAAATGATCTGTTTGTGCTTTTGCCAAATGCGTTGCTGTCAATGAGTGATGAGAAGTTTGCATGGTAGCACAAACAGACTGGCCCTCAGGCTACATATGATCAGGATGCATTAACAAATCTCCCTTTGTACATTGTACTAAAAAGTGCCTTAAATGTACAGGTAACTGCCAAACTAAAGGAAACATTTGAGTAAATGAGGGATACAAAGTATAATGAAAGCAGGTGGTTCCACACAGGTGTGGTTCCTGAGTTAATTAAGCAATTAACATCACAACCTGGTTAGGGTCTGTATAAAAATACCCAGTTGCCCATTATTTTGGCTACTGTGGCTAGAAGAGATCTCAGTGATTTTGAAAGAGGGTCTCAAAGGAGCATAGGGGGTTTAAAGTGTGTGTGTGACTCAGTCACCAGAGCTCAACCCAACTGAACACTTATGGGAGATTCTGGAGCGGCGCCTACGAACAGCGTTTTCCACCACCATCAACAAAACACTTAATGATGGAATTTCTCGTGGAAGAATGGTGTCACATCCCTCCAATAGAGTTCCAGACACTTGTAGAATCTATTCCAAGGCGCATTGAAGCTGTTCTGGCGGCTCGTGGTGGCCCAAAGCCCAATTAAGACACTTTATGTTGGTGTTTCCTTTATTTTGACAGTTACCTGTAGATTGTTATTAACATTTACATTTACATTTTAGTCATTTAGCAGACGCTCTTATCCAGAGCGACTTACAGTTAGTGAGCGACTTACAGTTAGTGAGTGCATACATTAACTTGCTTTCTCTCCCCCCTCTATGACAGCGTTGCTGGGACGTAGCTCTGGGACCCCTGAAGCAGATTCCTATGAATCTGTTCATTATGTACATGTCTGGGAACACCATATCCATCTTCCCCATCATGATGGTCTGTATGATGGCCTGGAGGCCCATCCAGGCTCTCATGTCCATGTCTGCCAGTGAGTATTTATTTAAGCAATGAGGCCCGAGGAGGTGTGGTATATGGCCAATATACCACGGCTAAGGGCTGTTCTTATGCACGGATACAGCCCTTAGCCGTGGTATATTAGCCATATACCACAAACCCCCGAGGTGCCTTATTGCTATTATGAACTGGTTACCAACGTAATTAGAGCAGTAAAAAGAAACGTTTTGTCATACCCGTGGTATACCACGGCTGTCAGCCAATCAGCATTCAGGGCACGAACCACCCAGTTTATAATTAATCTTTTACCTTTATTTTAGCAGGGAGTCTTATTGAGACCAAGGGATCACTGCATCTCACAATCAATACGAATGAAATTAGTTTAACAGGGACCAATCAACATTTCAGTTTCCACATCCAATGTATGTGAAAGAGTCAGTTAGCAAAAGCGCTACTTTTAATCCATATTCCATGGGCAAGTTAAAACAGATATAGGTCATCAACAATACAATATCAATAAATTTGTACAAATACACAAAATAGCAAAAGAGTAGCTCTGCCTTGCCCTCTGAGACTACAGCAGTGGTCACCTCAACTTTATTAAGGAGAAATTGACTTACTATGACTGATATGTGGTTGTCTCACCTAGCTACTTAAGATGTAAGTCGCGCTGGATAAGAGTGTCCGCTAAATCACTAAAATGTCGTCAACCTTTCTCCTGGAGCTCTCCTGAACCTACATATCATAATTGAATTATTATGTAGTTTTATAAGCATGTCACCACTGCTCACTCTTACCGTTTTTCTCAGCATTCAAGCTGTTGGAGAACTCTAACCAGCAGTGGCTTCAGGGGCTGGTCTATTCTGTAGGGAACCTGCTTGGCTCGGCATTGGCTATCTACAAGTGTCAATCAATGGGGCTTCTGCCAACGCACTCTTCTGATTGGCTCGCTTTCATAGAACCGCCTCAGGTGAGATTTTTTTTTTTTGCTGCGCTGTTATCCGTTCAGTTTCCTGTTTTATCACTTGTTTTGTGTTATATAATGTTTTTCAGGTTTATTTGTCATGTGTAATGAATGCATTGGAAATCTTACTCACACCTGAGTTGTTGTGCTATATAAAATACCAAAAAATTGCAAGGAAAACCGCAAGAAATATAGTCATAGATATACCATAACGTAATATGCATAAACTGGTACGATATCTGTTGTAATGTGTACAAATATATGAACTTTCTCCTTTTCTGTTCTCTGCAGAGAATGGAGATTATGGGTGGAGGGATGGTGTTGTGAAGACGACAGATTCGCACACACTCTGAAATATGCTGAACTGTTCTATTAATTAAGAATACATTAAATCTCTTCCAAGTCTTTACAATTCTCTGGCTTTCAGGTTTTTGTCAAACCCCTCAAGGTTTGTATTTATCCCTACACTTTGTTGCTGTCAATTGTGGGTTTTTATTGCAATTTTCACAGGTGATCAAACATTACAGAAATGTTACAACAACTGATAATATCAGGAGGCAAAACATGGTCACCATCCTACTAAATCCACATTGGGTTAAATTAAGATGTCACTATAACATGGTTTTCATTTCCACTTTTTGTCAAATAAAAGTGTCAAAAAACAGAAGTGTCAAATGTATTTGTTGGATATGTATAGAAAACTGAAGAAAAACTTGCACAGGACAGAATAGTTGTTACAGTGAGAATTGACTTCACTGGCAAATGTGTGGGAATGTCACTATTCTAGAAAAGTGAATAAAAGCATAATTCAGAAATAGATTTTCCCTTTTAGCCTTGGACACACCCCTGTTTCCAAACTAAAAAAAAAAAAATCCTGTGCTGGACACAGGCGCGCGGACCACGCAGTGAAGGAAACGGAAAGTGGGGCACGTTGGTGAAGAACGTGGAGAGTCAGGTTTTTGCATTGTATCATCAGGCCATTTCTTCCCAATCATCCACTTTGTCCAGTCAAAAGTAATGTCGACATTTCATCAGGTGATATTTGCAACAATGGTTACATATTACTATTTCATCTCATGCATGTTGCACACTGCAAAGTCTTAAATTGATGGAAATTAGCAATGGCATTCTAATACTTGTTACACTTGCAATTTTCAAGCTACAAGCTTGTAAACAAAACGGATTAGAAGAAAATGAATGAGATTACTAACGGAAATTCCAGACAATCATTGAGCAGCACTTGCACTGTTAAACCAATTAATCCCGTGTTTTCGTATTTGTGCCCCCCGCCTCCACACATGCAGTTCTTTCCAAGAGAATACCCCGCTTCAAAACGTTGTCAAAAATAGGCGATGGTAGCCCATCCACGGAGTGTAGGTAGCAGATAAATTAAAACGAATTTAGACTGCAGGTAAGATTTTCCTCACCATTTGCTGTCATCAATATGTAACTGTCATCATTATTTAACGAGAGATAAAAAGATGATCAATTCTTGACCGCAAGCTCTCACGTGACATTGGTCAGTGTTGTTGATCAATTGCATTGGCTAGCTATATTTGGCTAGCTATATTTAGCTAGCTATTTAGGGTAGCTAGCTAGTGAAGACCTACATTTTAAATATAATGCACTGCAGAGTGCATGGAAATTGTATTATATATGGTCGTACAAGGCGAGTTGCACCTGGTGCAAATTTAACTTGACATTTCCAATGGTCAATCAGTAAACATTGCTTTACTTCAAAACTGAACAAATATAAACGCAACATGCAACAATTAACGATTTTACTGAGTTACAGTTCATATAAGGAAATCAGTCAATTGAATAAATAAATAAGCCCAAATCTATGGATTTCTCATGACTGGGCAGGGGTGCAGCCATGGGAGGGCATAGGCCCACCCACTGGGGAGCCAGGCCCACCCACTGGGGAGCCAGGCCCAGCCAATCAGAATTAGTTTTTCCACTCAAAAGGGCTTTATTACAGACATACATTTTCATCAGCTGGCCTGATGCCTGGTCTCAGATGATCCCGCAGGTCAAGAAGCCGGATGTGGAGGTCCTGGGCTGGTGTGGTTAGACATGGTCTGTGGTTGTGAGGCCGGTTGGATGTACTGCCAAATTCTCTAAAACAACGTTGGAGGCAGCTTATGGTAGAGAACTGAACATACAATTCTCTGACAACAGCTCTGGTGGACAGTCCTGCTGTCAGCATGCCAATTGGACGCTCCCTCAACTTGAGGCATCTGTGGCATTGTATTGTGATGGTAATCTGTGGGACCTTATATAGACAGGTGTGTGCCTTTCCAAATCATGTCCAATCAATTGAATTTACCACAGGTGGACTCCAATCAAGTTTTAGAAACATCTCAAGGATGATCAATGGAAAAAGGATGCACCTGAGCTCAATTTCGAGTCTCATAGCAAAGGGTCTGAATACCTATGTAAATATGGTATTTCTGTTTTTTTATTTTTCATAAATGTGCAAAAATGTCTAAAAACCTGTTTTCGCTTTGTCATTATGGGGTATTGTGTGTAGATTGATGAGGAATTTGTTTTATTTAATCCATTTTAGAATAAGGCTGTAGCGTAACAAAATGTGGAGAAAGTGAAGGGGTCTGAATACTTTCCAAATGCACAGTACATATACACTACCAGTCAAAAGTTTGGACACACCTACTCATTCAAGGGTTTTTCTTTATTTTTTACTATGTTCTACATTGTACAATAGTAGTGAAAACATCAAACCTATGAATTAACACATATGGAATCATGTAGTATCCAAAAAGTGTTAAACAAATCAAAATATATTTTATATTTGAGTTTCTTCAAAGTAGCCACCTTTGCCTTGATGACAGCTTTGCACACTCTTGGCTTACCCAACCATGTTACTGTAATTGGTGACATTTGTCCATAAAAAAAAAAAAATCCTATAGAAACAAAGGTTGTATCCTATACTGTAGATTACATTTTTTCCAATAACCGCTGAAACTCCAGACACTTTTTACTATTCTGAATTATATGGTCATTTAAGAAAACGGTTATGTGGACACCCCTTCAAATTAGTGGATTTGGCTATTTCAGCCACACCCGTTGCTGACAGGTGTATAACATCCAACTGTAACGTTTGGAGGAGGAATAATGGTCTGGGGCTGTTTTTAATGGTTCGGGCTAGGCCGCTTAGTTCCAGTGAAGGGAAATCTTAATGCTACAGCATACAATGACATTCTAGACGATTCTGTGCTTCCAACTTTGGCAACAGTTTGGATAAGGCCCTTTCCTGTTTCAGAATGACAATGCCCCCGTGCACAATGCAAGGTCCATACAGAAATGGTTTGTCGAGATCGGTGTGGAAGAACTTAACTGGCCTGCGCAGAGCCCTGACCTCAACCCCATCACACCTTTTGGATGAATTGGAATGCCGACTGCGAGCCAGGCCTAATCGCCCAACATCAGTGCCCGACCTCACTAATGCTCTTGTGGCTGAATGGAAGCAAGTCCCTGCAGCAATGTTCCAATATCTAGTGGAAAGCCTTCCCAGAAAAGTGGAGGCTGTTATAGCAGCAAAGGGGGGACCAACTCCATATTAATGCCCATGATTTTGGAATGAGATGTTCGACGAGCAGGTGTCCACATACTTTTGGTCATGTACCAAAATGACTACATGTGGTCCTCTGTAGCTCAGCTGGTAGAGCACGGCGCTTGTAACGCCAAGGTAGTGGGTTCGATCCCCGGGACCACCCATACACAAACAAAATATATATATGCACGCATGACTGTAAGTCGCTTTGGATAAAAGCGTCTGCTAAATGGCATATTATATTATTATATTATGTATGGACACATTGTAATGGCTGGAATGGAATAGCTGGGAACGGTATCAAACATATGGAAACCACATGTTGACTCTGTTCCATTTATTCTATTCCAGCCAATACAATGAGCCCACCTATAGCTCCTCCCACAAGCCTCCCCCTGACATATCTTATCTCTCTTTAAGCTGCTTTGTAGACTGTATGAACATACCCATTCAGAATGGTTCTACCTCATAACAAGGCCTGTTTAATAGGGTGGTGTTCAGTAGAGCACAACGTAGCAAAACATTATGAAACAGAAAGCAAAAAGGAATGGTTCATATTGGACAAGTCCAAGTAGTGCCTCCCTGTTTCAGTCCGTTTTCTCCTGTTTGGTGCATATTTGAACACAACCCAAGTACTGTATTGGATACAGAGAGAAGAAGAGTTGCATTCAAACATGCAGGTAATTTCTACCCCCTATTCATTTATACTGTTCAGACGTTACACTTTTTATAGGGTTCAACCAATCCCTCAATCTATCTCGAATTTGTCAAAAGACCAATTAGTGAACAAAAATATCAGAATTAGGCTGCCTGTGTAAACGCAGCCTAATTAATCTGCAATTATAGATAACCGTTGTAACACTCTCTGTTTAGTCATACCATATATCTGTTGGTTTGTTTCCAGTTTTATGTGAGTGAAAGCACTCTACTATAGCCTACTGAAACTTTTTTTTAACTTTTAAAAGGAGAAAAAGCATATTTAATTCAATGTGTGTTGATGTGTCTTGACTCTTCACTGATAACAAGAGCCTCTCTCTATAGAGAGACCCGTCTGGTGGATGACATCAGGTGAATGTACACCAGTGGGTGCGAAACTGGTTTCACTGGGTGGATGCACGGCTACATTGGTCAGTTTAAAGTAAGTTTGGATTTGTGAATCGATTTAAAAAGGCTTTATTGGCATGGAAAGTGTTAAACATACATTGCCAAAGCAAACATATAGCAACATACCAAATTAATGATGACGCAGATAGATAATAATATGAAAAATAATAATACTCAATGAGTAATAATTAACAGGACAATACGGAATGAATGAGGACAATAATGAAATAATGATAGTAAGCAATGTTATTACTCTGGTTGTCGTTCCACTGGCTGTGCCTACGGGTGTGGCAGGAAGCTACATATTGTGCTGCCAATATGGCACAAAGGGGTATTTCTCCCAATCGATATTGGATCTTTGTATTTGCTTTCAATTTTGGGGAAGAAAAATGTCTTCATAGTTCTCACAGTGTAGGAGAACATGCAGCTCTGTCTCTACCTCTAAGGGCAGAGTGAGCACACAGCCTGTCCTCTCTGGGTAGCCAGATCTGCCTGTGACGGCTGGTCTCTACGGCCAGGCTGCGTTCACCGACTTCTCTTTCCTACACATGCGTCAAATCCTATAACCTAAACCTTAACCCCACTGGCACTGACAAATAACATGATGCATTCATGTTCCAAACATGTTACTACATGATTCCATATGTGTTATTTCATAGTTTTGATGTCTTCACAATTATTCTACAATGTAGAAAATAGTAAAAATTAAGAAAAACCCTTGAACGAGTAGGCATGTCCAAACTTTTGACTGGTACTGTATATATAACATTAGAAACACCTTCCTAATATTGAGTTGCAGATAACATGATGTATTCATGTTCCAAACATGTTACTACATGATTCCATATGTGTTATTTCATAGTTTTGATGTTGAGTTGCAGATAACATTATCGGTCTCGCCGTCTCTTTCCCACAATCAAAAACATCAGTCATCATGAGAAAAACAATCATCACCCTTGACTACAAAAGTGGTGCCATTGTCCCACACTGATTTATGTGATGTAATTGCCTGAGGGTTGGGAGACTGTTTGTGTGTGTGTGTGTTTCAGCACCTCCACTATGTCTTCAGTTCAATAATAGAGAGGGTAGGCTGGGCACTACTGTTTTTGGCACAAGTGATATTTCCTCATTCCTCACTGTCAGACTAGTGGGTCTAGCATATATTTAAGGTTGGAAAGGTGATGCATTGACTAGGTTTACATTGCTTATCATGATCAAGCTTGATGCCAATTATTATTTTTTTATTTTCAGTGCGTAAAACAGCCTCCTTAAAAACCTTGGGGTAAGTGGGTGATGGTGCTGGTAGGTCAAAGTTTAATTCATGGAATGGGGTTGTGGTATATTGTGTATATATTAAATGTATACCTACATTCAGAAATAGATCTCTCTGTTCAATATCACTTACCCTTCCATTTCTTGACCAGTTAGTTGCCCTATTTCAGGCATGTTGTTTCAATGTGCCAATTCGTAGGCAAGTTCTCTGCATATGAGGCTACTAAGCCCATTATACTGGTCCACGAGATTCTTGATATGTTTATCAAGCTCAGACTCCACGTCATCAGATAAGACCTTGTGTGCCTCTGCTACTCTATCATATCCTCTCTTGCGCACCAGTACATGTTGGTTAAGGGCTGTAAGTAAGCATTTCACTGTAATGTCTGCACCTGTTGTATTCGGCGCATGTGACCAATAACATTTGATTTGATTTGATTTGATTTTCTTTTTTGTAAATTTATTTTTCTTTTTTATTGTACCTTTATTTAACTAGGCAAGTCAGTTAAGAACAAATTCTTATTTACAATGACGGCCTACACCGGCCAAACCCGGACGACGCTGGGCCAATTGTGCGCCGCCCAATGTACCTCTTCATTCAGTAAAACATTTTTAGACACCTGCTGCTGCACAAATTGACTTTTTTCCTTCTCTCACTTAATTGGGTGCTCTCTCTCAAGAACCTCAAGGGGGGGCTAGACCCCTGCTTGTTTTTGTTGTTGTTGGGGGGAGTATTTTTTACAATAGAGTCAAGCTGCTGCGTCATCAGCGCAGTCATCCCTCAGGGTCTCCATGCTGCCACATACTGTTTGTCATCTCTCAGTGCACCTCTCAGGAAAAGTGTGGGTGTCGAAAGGAGTGGGCGTTTCGAAAGGAACCATATAATGAGAAGTGGGCGTTTCAGAAGGAACCATATAAGGAGAGGTGAGTGTTTCAAAAGGAACCATATAAGGAGAAGTGGGCATTTTGAAAGGATCAATATAAGGAGAAGTGGGGGTTTCAAAAGGTGTCACTCAAGACGTCGTTTGGGTTATCCGACATTAATCATGGCCAGTCATCACAAGGGATGATAGTACTAAATTACCTAGACGATTGGCTAATCTGCGCTCAGTCACGAGAACAGGCAGCAGCTGACACGACATCTCTCCTGAAGCACATCTCAGAGCCATGCCTCAGGTTGAACACGCAAAAAGCCACCTGGTCCCCACACAGGAATGGGAGTGGTGACTACATCCCGAATAATGAGTCGCATGTGGGACCCCCCCCCCCCCCACCACCACCACCACCACCAGGTCCTTCTGATTGCCCCGAGATGGCCGAGACGCAACTAGTTCAGCACAATACTGTCACTCCTAGCGGGGCCATCGTGGGAACTACCTCAGAAGCGAATCCCTCCCGCCTGCAGCTGTGGGCCTGGCCACTGAACAGCGAAAATGGTCTGGTTTTGAGCCCTCTGTTGTTAACATCTTACAGAGTGCTAAGGCCCCGTCCACCACATCAACCTGTGACACAAGGTGGCGCGAGTTCTGCCAGTGGTGTGGGGAGCAGGGGCTTGCTCCAGAATCTTGTAGCATACATGTATTCATCAATTTATTTATTGATCTATTTGTATGCATTTATGCATCTATTTATCTATTTAAATGTGCATTTATTTATTTATTATGTATTTATCTATTTATAGGTGCATTTATTTATTTATTTATGTGTGCATTTATTTATTCATTTATTTCCGGCAGGTAGCTTAGTGGTTAAGAGCGTTGTACCAGTAACCGAAAGGTCGCAGGTTCTAATCCCCAAGCCGACTAGGTGAAAAATCTGTCGATGTGCCCTTGAGCAAGGCACTTAACCCTAATTGCTCCTGTAAGTCGCTCTGGATAAGAGCGTCTGCTAAATGACCAATTTATTTATTTATTTTAATTATGGCAGATTTGGTCCTCCATACAATTTACCTTGTTGTTGTTTGTTTTATGTTCTATAGCATATCTCATTTTGCTATGTAGGCCTAAATATTGTTGACTGAGATTGGATGATGGAACATGATGTTACACTGACATTCTAATCGAACACAACATTTCTCCAATATTAGGTGTATGAGAATAGACAATGCGTCATTTAGCAATGCAACCTAGGGTGACTTTTCTCAAAACATGTTTACTGGCAAGCTTATTAAATAGGCTAAGTTATCAATCGTTTTTTGGCATGATACATTAACTTTAACATCCTAATTAGATGACTGTCGTTCGATTGGGCGTAGGCCTATAGGCTAAACATGTTGTACAAGTGACCGAGCTTTATCCCTTGAGACTTTTTAACCGGTTCGACTTGTTGGTACTACGGCATGGCTGTGGTGGTTGCAGGGTTGTCCGTGTGGGGATTCGATTAATCTGCCTCGGGTGCCCGGTGAGGCGTGTTTTGCACCGGGTGAAAGTTGATTGATTGCATTCGTTTTGGAACCGGAGTGCCTCCTAAGCGTGAGCCATGTGCCCGGTTCAAAGCCCACGACGACGTCTGCTCAAAACAAAAGTGACGTAATTAAGCAAGTGGGGTAATGAGTAGGATTATGTGTTTCCACATGCAAAAGTGATTGCCATATCTGCCTTCCCAATGAAAAGTCTTTTGAAAATTCAAAAATATACTTTATGAAAACGATATGTATGTTTCTGGACGAGGCACCATGCTGCCTTGTTGACAATGACCAAGCCGCGCAGATTACTGTTCGATTTGAGAAGGGCGCTCCTCCCTTGCCGCTTTTACCCGTTCACGTCACGGGCCATAGGCCGGTGTCCCGCGGCTCAGCATAATCGAATCCGCCCATTGACGGCGTGACAGGTGTGGTATGTTAAAAGGATGGGCTAACTACCCAAGTTGTTGTTATTCTTTTACGCCATGTGCAAGGACGCTAGCGCACCTTTCTTATAAAGTTCATTGTTTTGGAGTACAATAAGTCAACGTTTGGTAATTTGTTTTTACAGTTTTGAACGGGTTCACATCTTCGTTTTCACTTGGCTAGTTTTAATTTTGAACTTGTCTTTATTAATTTTTTATCCAACCAGCTTTCGCACTCGATCTCCTGTCCTTCGCACTGGCATTCTCTCTCTGTATCTTGATCCATTTTGAGAGAGACACTTTTGAGATATCAGGTTTTACGCAAAGCAAAACAGTTGCAGTGAAATTAAACTTTCGACGCACCGGCATATTTCTTACCATTCAGTGAATACTTCGCACAACAAACTTGAAAGGGTTATTTTTAAATCTCTTTTGGTCTGTCAAGGCTTGCCTAGTCGCCATGGAGAGGCGGAACAGTCACCAAGCAACGTCTGATTACCCACACCCATTTGTGCACAAGTTGAAACTGACCAGGGCGCAGAGAATAAGGGTGAGTTGTCTTATTATGCTTGAGGAAATGTGGTAAGAGATGCACGAAGATCATACCCCCAGCCTGGGCAGCCGCTAGTGGGCGTTATGGATCTCCACTGTCCAAACATAGCGGCTGCCCGGCAGGCTACATTATGATATTTATGCCACTTACTTTCACACTGATCATTATTCACGATTGATTCATGATTATCCGTAATCATGGTAGCAATCACATTAATGTACAAGTGTTCAGAAATATATTATGTATTCTTATTTACAATAAAAGTGACTCAAACGACACAATACATTATTCACCATTCAGTTTCTATTGGGCACAACATAATCCGAAAACACAACCAAAACAAATTGCAAATGCGTCAACAAGCTTGATGTAGTCATTGCGTGCTAGGAATATGGGACCAAATTCGAAACTTTTGACTACTTTAATACATTATAAGCGAATTTGGCCAAATACTTATATGACACCTTCAAATAAAACAGATATGTATGAAAATACCCTCAAATAAAAGGTGACATTATGTACTGTCGCCTCATATGAAACATTTTATTTCAAATCCAAAATGCTGGAGTATAGAGCCAAATTAAAAGTTTTAGCTTCACTGTCCAAATGAATAGAAAAGGGATGTATGTCTCTGTGTGTGCAATGCATATATGATACATTGTAGCCTGCCCCATGCAACATAATATCCTCCATATGTGATCATGTCCCTGTCCCTCCCATCCACAGGGCATGGTGTTGGGCTCCATCCTGTTCCCCATACGATTCTTTCTGGCTGCCCTCTGCTTCCTGATCATGTGGCCAATTGCCCGGCTCCGATTGGCTGGCCTCTCAGAGGAAGAACGGTCCCGGCCAGTAACGACTGGGTGGAGGAGATGGTTACTACACCCCATCATCCGTTTCCTTAGCCGGGCAGTGTTTTTCTTCCTGGGGTTCATCTGGGTCCGGGTCAAAGGTCGTAGGGCGGGGCATAAGGAGGCTCCTGTGCTGGCGGTGGCGCCGCACAGTAGCTTCCTGGATATGTTGGTGCTGCCGGAAACTCAGCTGGCTACGGTGGTGTCTAGATCGGAAAACCAAAGCATTCCTGTTATAGGGGGTGAGTGTTATGTGGGAGACTGGGAGAGGCTTTGGGTCAAAGTTGCCCTTTTAAAGACACACATCCAGGATCCGATTACCCTCTTCAAATCGTTTCCTTAATCACTATGGATAAAATGCCACGCTGTGGGCAACATCATTCTGCTCTGTTGGGGTGAGATGGAGAATGAGAGAGGGGGAGGGATGGAGGTTGGGAAAGGAAGGAGAGATGGGATGGAATTGGAAAGTTGTTAGTAAGACTAAATATGGCAAAGGTGGTATTGGAAAGTGTATTGAGAAAGTATGAAAGCAACTCCTAAAACAAACTATTGCCATGACTCTTCTGTATGTGTGCTTAAGTTCTATTTCTCCCTCTTTTTCTTTAACCTTTTTCCCTCTTATTCTCTTGTCCTCTCTTTCTCCACCTTCCCTCTTTCTTTCACCTTTTCCATCCCCTTCTCCTCTCCCCCCTCTTCCTCACCCTCTCTCACATTTCCCTGTCTGTTCTCTCTTACTCACTCTCTCTCTCTCTCCCTCTCTTTCTCCCACATTTCCCTCTGTTCTCTCTCTCTATAGAGTAAGAATCTCTCCCTCTCCTTTCTTCAGTAGCACAGGCCTTCAGTGGCATTTGTGTCCTAATGAATATAATGATCATATCATTATGGCTATGTCACATTATAACAGTGTTGTGTATGGTTTATCTTCTCTCTCTCAGCCCTCCTGGAGTTTAACCAGTCAGTGTTGGTAAACAGGAAGAATCCAGAGTCCAGGAAACAGGCTGTCGTTCAGATCAAAGAGAGGCTCACCTCCAATGGCTACTGGCCGCAGGTAAGCAGGAATCAGAGGGCAGGGGTCAAAGGTCATTAGGGCCAATGGGGGAGCTGGTGTAACGGAGTAGCTCTGCCTGAGACATGTAAACGTGATTGTTGCTAGCAGACTACAAGGATTTCCTCTTGGTCTAATGGTTAAGACATTGGATCACCACATGGGAGATGTGGGCTCACATCCCGCCAGTTACACATATGTAACCTCACTGCATCAGTCTTGCGTCATATAGCACGATGACTTTGTTTAGACTCTTGAGTTAACTTGCAATACCGGTATGTCACGTTATAATTGTTACTGTCGGCGAAGAATGGATCTTACTGATGACGAGACAGCTTTCATAGAACTGGTTTAACACACCTCTCTATTCATCAGTCACTATCTCGCTTTCCCTCCGTCCTCCTAATGAACCTTACTGATGGGACAACATAGAACTGGTTCTACCAACTCCCTTGCTTTCTCTCTTCCCATCTCTGTCATTGGCTCTCTCTCATGGTCAGATGCTGATGTTCCCAGAAGGCACCACTACAAACGGCACCGTTCTCATAAAGTTCAAACCTGGTGAGATCTAGTTCTGGGTTCAAATACTATTTGAAATCTTTCAAATGCTTTTATCCTTTGCTTTAGCTTGCATAGGGTGGCAGATGGGTGGGGTTTGCACTTTTGTGACGGGTTGGTGAGAACATAATTAAGAATGTCACTTCTTCTGCTAAACCTAAAGGAATGGATGGCATGTGTTACATGGGGGGGGAGCTGACTGGTTTACTGTCCTCTGCCTCTCTCCTAGGTGCCTTCCTGGCTGGAGTCCCAGTCCAACCAGTTCTGCTGCACTACCCCAACAAACTGGTGAGTAGACTGGACTGTGTCAGTATTGGTATACAGCAGAGAAATTGAACGGAGGGATCGAACCGCTGCCTCCAGGGAAGTATGTTGTCCGGGTGCGGCAGCACTGTCACTAGTAGTTTATATGCTGACGCAGCGGAAGGTGTAGGGTGAAGTTGCAAATACAGTCAGGTCCATAAGTATTTGGACAGTGATACAATTTGCATCATTTTGGCTCTGTACACCACCACAATGGATTTGAAAGGAAACAATCAAGATGTGCTTTAATTGTAGACTTTCATCTTTAATTTAAGGATTTTGTCAAAATTATTGTATGAACCGTGTAGGAATTACAACCATTTTTATACACAGACCCCCAATTTTAGGGGCTCAAAGGTAATTGGACAAACTAACATAATCATCAATTAAATGGTGAGTTTTAATACTTGGTTGCAAATCCTGGAACCCATAGACATCACCAGATGCTGGGTTTCTTCCCTGGTGATGCTCTGCCAGGCCTTTACTGCAGCTGTCTTCAGTTCCTGCTTGTTCTTGGGGCGTTTTTCCGTCCGTTTTGCCTTCAGCAAGTGAAATACATGCTCAATTGGATTCAGGTCAGGTGATTGACTTGGCCATTGCAGAACATTCCACTTCTTTGCCTTAAAAAAGTATTGGGTTGCTTTCGCAGTATGCTTCAGGTCATTGTCCATCTGCACTGTGAAGCACCGTCCAATGAGTTTTGAAGCATTTGGCTGAATCTGAGCAGATAATATAGCCCTAAACACTTCAGAATTCATCATCAATAAATACAAGGGAAACAGTTCCATTGGCAGCCATACATGCCCACGCCATAACACTACCTCCACCATGCTTCACAGATGAGGTGGTATGCTTCGGATCATGAGCAGTTCCTTCCCTTCTCCATACTCTTCTCTTCCCATCATTCTGGTACAAGTTGATATTTGTCTCATCTGTCCATAGGATGTTGTTCCAGAACTGTACAGGCTTTTTAAAAATGTTTTTTGGCTAACTCTAATCTGGTCTTCCTGTTTTTGAGGCTTACCAATGGTTTACATTTTGTGATAAAAGGGTGAAGTCTTCTCTTGATTGTTGACTTTGACACAGATACGCCTACCTCCTGGAGGGTGTTCTTGATCTGGCCAACTGTTGTGAAGGGGTTTTTCTTCACCAGGGAAATAATTATTCTGTCATCCACCACAGTTGTTTTCCGTGGTCTTCCGGGCCTTTTGGTTCCTGAGCTCACCAGTGCGTTCTTTCTTTTTAAGAATATACCAAATAGTTGATTTGGCCACACCTAATGTTTTTGCTATCTCTCTGATGGGTTTGTTTTGATTTTTCAGCCTAATGATGGCTTGCTTCACTGGCAGTGACAGCTCTTTGGACTTCATATTGAGGGTTAACAGCAACAGATTCCAAATGCAAATGCCACACTTGAAATCAACTCTAGACCTTTTACCTGCTTCCTTGTAAATGAACTAATGAGGGAATAACACACACCTGGCCATGGAGCAGCCAATTGTCCAATTACTTTTGATCCCTTTAAAAGGGGGGGACCACATATAGAAATTGCTGTAATTCCTACACCGTTTACCCAATTTGGATGTAAATACCCTCAAATTAAAGCTGAAAGTCTGCACTTTCAGCTCATATTCATTATTTAATTTCAACTCCAATATGCTGTGGTAGACAGCTAAAATAATAATAACTTGGTCAATGTCCAAATATTTATGGACCTGACTGTATATTTATACGGACTCTACACACAGCCACTCACATACAATCATCATATACGCTGCTGCTACTCTGTTTATCTTATATCCTGATGCCTAGTCCCCTTACCCCTATACATATCTACCTCCATCACTCCAGTATCCCTGCACATTGTAAATATGGTAGTGGAACTGACCCTGTATATAGTATGCTTTCTTACTTTATTGTGTTCCTAGTTCTTATTTGTATATGTTGTGTTTTTGTTCTACCTTGTTATTTTTAGTATTACATTGTTATTGATTACTGCATTATTGGGGTTAGCTTGCAAGAAAGGCATTTCACTGTACTTGTGCATGTGACATTAAAATTTGAAGTTGGCCGTAGATGCTGATCTTGGGTCAGTTTTCCATTTCCCCCCACTAATGGCTGAGGTTGGGATTGTGGAGCGCATTGGGCCTGAGAGCACCCTAACTGGTCGTAGGAAAATACCATGTGGTTTGGTTTCTAATCATAGTTAATGTTTGTGGATGTTGGAACTCCCATGTCACCACAGAATGCCTGTACAGCAGGTATCATCAACTAGATTCAGCCGCGGGACGATTTTTTTTTCTTCTTTCTGGAGCAGATGGTCGGGGGGCCGGAACATAATTGCAAATAATTTATTAAATTAAAATCACTTGGAGCTGATTTCCTGGTGTTTTTACAGTCTAATGTCCAACAATGAAAATTGTATTTGTTGCTCAGAAAACTTGAGGGGCCAAATAAAACCACCGGCCGCCAGTTGGGGAACCCTGCTGTACAGGGTGTATTTTGAACTGAGTCTGAGTCACATGTAGGCCCATGTAATGTTCTGAACAGAATCAGGTGATGTACTGTCTGCACATGTGAGTTTACCTTCTAGAGTTATTATTTCTATGCGTTTTTTTTAAAACATGCTTGTTTTCTAGGATACTGTACGCTGGACCCACACGGGAACTACCTGGTAAGACACCATCTATATGAAATAAAAACATATGATAATCATTCAACTTCATTATCAAATCTCCATTTAACATCCATATTATTGGAAACAAGTTGTCGATATATGATATTTCACTGATTGGTGGTGGTGTTTTTCCCTCCAGGGTTGAGGCATTGTGGCACACCTGCTCTCAGTTCTACACTAACGTTACTATTGAGGTAAGGCCATATTGTCCATAATCAGAATGACCACTCACAGAAGAAAAATGTCCTGTTTTCTCATTGGCTGTAATACCTGTCAGAAAAATGTAATGTGCTCTTATTGGCTACAGTACTTGTCAGTATTAATATCCTGTACTCTGATTGGCTACAGTACCTGCCAGTATACACCCCCTCCCAGAAGGAGAAGGATGACCCTAATCTGTATGCAGACAATGTCCAGAAACTCATGGCCAAGTGAGTCTACACAGCATTTCTACCTCAGTGTGTGTGTGTGTGTGAATTTCATCTTACGGCTCACAGTATTCCTGAAGACGGTGGGTGTGTGTGTGTGTGTGTGTGTGTGTGTGTAGTTTCTTTGTGGACGTTTCCCACTGTTTGGCATGTTGTGGTCAATTTTGCCTCAGTATTTGCATAATGTATACTTGGCTATCTGTTTGCTTTGGATGCATGTATTTTATGAGGGTGTGTAGATGATTCTAACATCTCTAACCTCTTGTGTCTATCAGGGCCCTGGGCATCCCAGCTACAGACCATGTGATGGAGGGGCGTGTTCTTACCAGAAAACTGGGGGGGCTCTCCCTCCCCCTAGAACCGCCTGCCAGAGAAACTCTCTCACTGCTGCACAAAGACGGGTAAGAGACTTGTGTGTGTGTGTATATATGTGTATGTACACTACATGACCAAAAGTATGTGGACACCTGCTTGTCGAACATCTCATTTCAATATTATGGGCATTAATATGGAGTTGGTCCCCCCTTTGCTGCTATAACAGCCTCCACTCTTCTGGGAAGGCTTTCCACTAGATGTTGGAATATTGCTGCGGTGACTTGCTTCCATTCAGCCACAAGAGCATTCGTGAGGTCGGGCACTGATGTTTGATGATTAGGCCTGGCTCGCAGTCGGCGTTCGATGAGGTTGAGGTCAGGGCTCTGTGCAGGCCAGTCAAGTTCTTCCACACCGATCTCGACAAACCATTTCTGTATGGACCTCGCTTTGTGCACGAGGGCATTGTCATGCTGAAACAGGAAAGGGCCTTCCCCAAACTGTTGCCACAAAGTTGGAAGCACAGAATCGTCAAGAATGTAATTTTATGCTGTAGCATTAAGATTTCCCTTCACTGGAACTAAGAGGCCCAGCCCGAACCATGAAAAACAGACCCAGACCATTATTCCTCCTCCACCAAACTTTACAGTTGGCACTATGCATTGGGGCAGGTAGCGTTCTCCTGGCATCTGCCAAACCCAGATTCGTCCGTCGGACAGCCAGATGGTGAAGCGTGATTCATCACTCCAGAGAACGTGTTTCCACTGCTCCAGAGTCCAATGGGCAGAAATTTAACGAACTGACTTGTTGGAAAGGTGGCATCCTATGACGGTACCACGTTGAAAGTCACTGAGCTCTTCAGTACGGGCCATTCTACTGCCAATGTTTGTCTATGGAGATTGCATTGCTGTGTGCTCGATTTTATACACCTGTCAGCAACGGGTGTGGCTGAAATAGCCGAATCCACTAATTTGAAGGTGTGTCCACATACTTTTGGCCATGTTTGTGTGTAGGTAGACTCTTGATCTATGGCTGTGTGTGTGTTTGATGGTGACTAAGCAGGTGCTTTCCTTCTTGTGTGCATGACTTAAATGATTGTCTGCTAACCTCAGCTCCTTCCCCCAATCTCTCTCCCCCTCTCATCTCTCTCTCTCCCCCTTCCCCTCTCCATCCTCAGTCTCCGTGAGTCTGAGGTGGAGGCAGCACTGAGTAACATGATTGACAGGTGTCAGTCAGAACAGGGTTGGAGGGCTGGTGTGGATGAGCTGGCCCCTCTCCTGGGACTGACAGACAGACAGACTGCTGCTAAGATCTGTGGACTCTACTCCAAGGTAAACTACTCCAAGGTTAAACTGGCCACCACCAACCAGCGTCAAGTGTGGCGTATGAACTTGTCCGTTTGAGAGAGCAACAGACGTGTAGAGTACTGAAGTAGTAGATTTCTATAAGTATTCCTTGGTGTTGTGTACTTCGCATAACTTGTGTGTGTTTGTGTTAACCGTGTGTGTGTGTGTGTGTGTGTGTGTGTGTTCCAGGATGACATGGTGGACCTCAGACAGATCTATCTAAGTGTGACATCAGTCTCTGGCCTTCTGGGCTTTAAGTCCCTCCTTCACACTGCATTCACTGTAAGTTCTGCTCCAAGTGTGTGTAGAGTAGATTTATAACCCCAGTGTTTGTGTAGAGTAGATTTATAACCCCAGTGTTTGTGTAGAGTAGATTTATAACCCCAGTGTTTGTGTAGAGTAGATTTTATAACCCCAGTGTTGGTGTAGAGTAGATTTATAACCCCAGTGTTTGTGTAGAGTAGATTTATAACCCCAGTGTTTGTGTAGAGTAGATTTTATAACCCTAGTGTTTGTGTAGAGTAGATTTATAACCCCAGTGTTTGTGTAGAGTAGATTTATAACCCCAGTGTTTGTGTAGAGTAGATTTAAAACCCTAGTGTTTGTGTAGAGTAGATTTATAACCCTAGTGTTTGTGTAGAGTAGATTTTATAACCCTAGTGTTTGTGTAGAGTAGATTTATAACCCCAGTGTTTGTGTAGGGTAGATTTATAACCCCAGTGTTTGTGTAGAGTAGATTTATAACCCCAGTGTTTGTGTAGAGAAGATTTATAACCCCAGTGTTTGTGTAGAGTAGATTTATAACCCCAGTGTTTGTGTAGAGTAGATTTTATAACCCCAGTGTTTGTGTAGAGTAGATTTTATAACCCTAGTGTTTGTGTAGGGTAGATTTATAACCCCAGTGTTTGTGTAGAGCAGATTTATAACCCTAGTGTTTGTGTAGAGTAGATTTATAACCCCAGTGTTTGTGTAGGGTAGATTTATAACCCCAGTGTTTGTGTAGAGTAGATTTATAACCCCAGTGTTTGTGTAGAGTAGATTTTATAACCCTAGTGTTTGTGTAGAGTAGATTTTATAATCCTAGTGTTTGTGTAGAGTAGATTTAACCCCAGTGTTTGTGTAGAGTAGATTTATAACCCCAGTGTTTGTGTAGAGTAGATTTATAACCCCAGTGTTTGTGTAGAGTAGATTTATAACCCCAGTGTTTGTGTAGAGTAGATTTATAACCCCAGTGTTTGTGTAGAGTAGATTTATAACCCCAGTGTTTGTGTAGAGTAGATTTAAAACCCTAGTGTTTGTGTAGAGTAGATTTATAACCCTAGTGTTTGTGTAGAGTAGATTTTATAACCCTAGTGTTTGTGTAGAGTAGATTTATAACCCCAGTGTTTGTGTAGAGTAGATTTATAACCCCAGTGTTTGTGTAGGGTAGATTTATAACCCCAGTGTTTGTGTAGAGTAGATTTATAACCCCAGTGTTTGTGTAGAGAAGATTTATAACCCCAGTGTTTGTGTAGAGTAGATTTATAACCCCAGTGTTTGTGTAGAGTAGATTTTATAACCCCAGTGTTTGTGTAGAGTAGATTTTATAACCCTAGTGTTTGTGTAGGGTAGATTTATAACCCCAGTGTTTGTGTAGAGTAGATTTATAACCCCAGTGTTTGTGTACGGTAGATTTATAACCCCAGTGTTTGTGTAGAGTAGATTTATAACCCCAGTGTTTGTGTAGAGTAGATTTATAACCCCAGTGTTTGTGTAGAGCAGATTTATAACCCTAGTGTTTGTGTAGAGTAGATTTATAACCCCAGTGTTTGTGTAGAGTAGATTTATAACCCCAGTGTTTGTGTAGAGTAGATTTATAACCCCAGTGTTTGTGTAGGGTAGATTTATAACCCCAGTGTTTGTGTAGAGTAGATTTATAACCCCAGTGTTTGTGTAGGGTAGATTTATAACCCCAGTGTTTGTGTAGAGTAGATTTATAACCCCAGTGTTTGTGTAGAGTAGATTTTATAACCCTAGTGTTTGTGTAGAGTAGATTTTATAATCCTAGTGTTTGTGTAGAGTAGATTTATAACCCCAGTGTTTGTGTAGAGGAGATTGTATAACCCCAGTGTGTGTAGAGGAGATTTTATAACCCTAGTGTTTGTGTAGAGTAGATTTATAACCCCAGTGTTTGTGTAGAGTAGATTTATAACCCCAGTGTTTGTGTAGGGTAGATTTATAACCCCAGTGTTTGTGTAGAGTAGATTTATAACCCCAGTGTTTGTGTAGAGAAGATTTATAACCCCAGTGTTTGTGTAGAGTAGATTTATAACCCCAGTGTTTGTGTAGAGTAGATTTTATAACCCCAGTGTTTGTGTAGAGTAGATTTTATAACCCTAGTGTTTGTGTAGGGTAGATTTATAACCCCAGTGTTTGTGTAGAGTAGATTTATAACCCCAGTGTTTGTGTACGGTAGATTTATAACCCCAGTGTTTGTGTAGAGTAGATTTATAACCCCAGTGTTTGTGTAGAGTATATTTATAACCCCAGTGTTTGTGTAGAGCAGATTTATAACCCTAGTGTTTGTGTAGAGTAGATTTATAACCCCAGTGTTTGTGTAGAGTAGATTTATAACCCCAGTGTTTGTGTAGAGTAGATTTATAACCCCAGTGTTTGTGTAGGGTAGATTTATAACCCCAGTGTTTGTGTAGAGTAGATTTATAACCCCAGTGTTTGTGTAGGGTAGATTTATAACCCCAGTGTTTGTGTAGAGTAGATTTATAACCCCAGTGTTTGTGTAGAGTAGATTTTATAACCCTAGTGTTTGTGTAGAGTAGATTTTATAATCCTAGTGTTTGTGTAGAGTAGATTTATAACCCCAGTGTTTGTGTAGAGGAGATTGTATAACCCCAGTGTGTGTAGAGGAGATTTTATAACCCTAGTGTTTGTGTAGAGTAGATTTATAACCCCAGTGTTTGTGTAGGGTAGATTTATAACCCCAGTGTTTTTTGTAGAGTAGATTTATAACCCCAGTGTTTGTGTAGAGCAGATTTATAACCCCAGTGTTTGTGTAGAGTAGATTTATAACCCCAGTGTTTGTGTAGGGTAGATTTATAACCCCAGTGTTTGTGTAGGGTAGATTTATAACCCCAGTGTTTGTGTAGGGTAGATTTATAACCCTAGTGTTTGTGTAGGGTAGATTTATAACCCCAGTGTTTGTTTAGAGTAGATTTATAACCCCAGTGTTTGTTTAGAGTAGATTTATAACCCCAGTGTTTGTGTAGAGTAGATTTTATAACCCTAGTGTTTGGGTAGAGTAGATTTATAACCCCAATGTTTGTGTAGAGTAGATTTATAACCCCAGTGTTTGTGTAGAGTAGATTTTATAACCCTAGTGTTTGGGTAGAGTAGATTTATAACCCCAGTGTTTGTATAGAGTAGATTTATAACCCCAGTGTTTGTGTAGGGTAGATTTATAACCCCAGTGTTTGTGTAGAGTAGATTTTATAACCCTAGTGTTTGGGTAGAGTAGATTTATAACCCCAGTGTTTGTGTAGGGTAGATTTATAACCCCAGTGTTTGTGTAGAGTAGATTTATAACCCCAGTGTTTGTGTAGGGTAGATTTATAACTCCAGTGTTTGTGTAGAGTAGATTTATAACCCCAGTGTTTGTGTAGGGTAGATTTATAACCCCAGTGTTTGTGTAGACTAGATTTAAAACCCTAGTGTTTGTGTAGGGTAGATTTATAACCCCAGTGTTTGTGTAGAGTAGATTTTATAACCCTAGTGTTTGGGTAGAGTAGATTTATAACCCCAGTGTTTGTGTAGGGTAGATTTATAACCCCAGTGTTTGTGTAGAGTAGATTTATAACCCCAGTGTTTGTGTAGGGTAGATTTATAACCCCAGTGTTTGTGTAGGGTAGATTTATAACCCCAGTGTTTGTGTAGGGTAGATTTATAACCCCAGTGTTTGTGTAGAGTAGATTTTATAACCCTAGTGTTTGTGTAGAGTAGATTTATAACCCCAGTGTTTGTGTAGGGTAGATTTATAACCCCAGTGTTTGTGTAGACTAGATTTAAAACCCTAGTGTTTGTGTAGGGTAGATTTATAACCCCAGTGTTTGTGTAGAGTAGATTTTATAACCCTAGTGTTTGGGTAGAGTAGATGTATAACCCCAGTGTTTGTGTAGGGTAGATTTATAACCCCAGTGTTTGTGTAGAGTAGATTTATAACCCCAGTGTTTGTGTAGGGTAGATTTATAACCCCAGTGTTTGTGTAGGGTAGATTTATAACCCCAGTGTTTGTGTAGGGTAGATTTATAACCCCAGTGTTTGTGTAGAGTAGATTTTATAACCCTAGTGTTTGTGTAGAGTAGATTTATAACCCCAGTGTTTGTGTAGGGTAGATTTATAACCCCAGTGTTTGTGTAGAGTAGATTTATAACCCCAGTGTTTGTGTAGGGTAGATTTATAACCCCAGTGTTTGTGTAGGGTAGATTTATAACCCCAGTGTTTGTGTAGGGTAGATTTATAACCCCAGTGTTTGTGTAGAGTAGATTTAGCAGGAATAGACTGGCACCCAGGCGGTATGTACAGTTACTACGGTATAAAGAGGACGCTTTAACCTATAAACTGAATTAATATATTTGATATAAACTACATGAAGATATTTGACATAAACACTATATAAATGGTATATATTTACATAAATGTATATATTTGAACCCAGTGTAAACTGTCTGCAGCTGTATGACCGAGAGTGTAGTGGCAGTCTGACTGCAGTGGACGTGTCTGACCTGATGGGGGCGCTCGTGGGGAGTCCTCAGTACCACACAGAGGAACTGTACACCGAACTGTCCAGGAGAGGAGCGCCCACTGAACGTAAGCCAAGGCACCCATCCATTAACAATGTTGACATTCAAATACATTCACTTTAAACTTATCTTGATTATTAGTGGTGTATTACAAACTTCTCTACCTGTTTGTTGGGCACAAACCAAGTCTGTGATTTGACCCTAGTTATGGCTGTTTGTCAATTCGTCTTTCTGCGATCCCTCGCCTCCTTCTCAATAGTATTCGAGAAGTTCCAAATACCTTTTTCTCCAATGAGAAGGAGGCAAGGTGAGCGAATGCAAGGAATCGAGGAAAGATGAATTGAGAAAGCAATGTCCAGTTGTTCGTCACACTGTCCTGAACTACAGTCTTGTCGACAATAACCCTAATGCTATGTGGTTGTATCTCCACAGAAGACCTGTTTAGAGTGCTGACCACCCACCCCACCTATCAGAAACTGATCAGCGAGTACTTTACACCTGAGGGGGCGGAGTCCACACCACCACCCTCTCTGACCAAAGGGAAATTGGGGAACAACAATGAAGGATCACCTAGCGACAACGGAACGGCTTTGTCTTACAAAACGGCTGATAACGGCTCTCCTCTGCCCAGTAAGAAAGACGACTGACTGAAGGACCTCTGAAGCATAGTGATATAATTCCTAGAACGGACTGGGCAGTTATTACAGATTCATCTATATGGATGGGCTTACTCTTAAAATGGCTGCCGGTTCAACAGTGACTTGAATGGGGATACCCCTTCTAGAAATTCTATTTCTATGGGGCTTACAGCGTTTTGAGAAATTGAGGAAAAAACTAAGGCAGCTCAACAGTATCTCTTTAAGAAATCAAAGGGAATTACTCATAGTAAGCTAGTGTGTTTGTGTGTCAGATGGGTTATATAGTTGAAGTCGGAAGTTTACATACACCTAAGCCAAATACATTTAAACTCAATTTTTCACAATTCCTGACAATTAATCCTAGTCAAAATTCCCTGTTTTAGGTCAGTTAGGATCACCACTTTATTTTAAGAATGTGAAATGCCAGAATAATAGTAGAGAATGATTTATTTCATATTTTTTTCTGAGGTCTTGGCTAATTTCTTTTGATTTTCCCATGATGTCAAGCAAAGAGGCACTGAGTTTGAAGGTAGGCCTTGAAATACATCCACAGGTACACCTCCAATTGACTCAAATGATGTCAATTGGCCTATCAGAAGCTTTTAAAGCCATGACATAATTTTCTGGAATTTTCCAAGATGTTTAAAGGCACAGTCAACTTACTGTATGTAAACTTCTGACCCACTGGAATTGTGATACAGTGAATTATAAGTGAAATAATCTGTCTGTAAACAATTGTTGGAAAGATTACTTGTGTCATGCACAAAGTAGATGTCCTAACCGACTTGCCAAACTATAGTTTGTTAACAAGAAATTTGTGGAGTGGTTGAAAAAAACGAGTTTCAATGACTCCAACCTAAGTGTATGTAAACTTCCGACTTCAACTGTATATGGTCTCTAAGACTTGTTTACAATGTACATGGCTAGCTGTGATTGTTAAACAATTCTCTGGATCTGTCTGTCAAGATGCTGGAAAAATAGTATCATGATAGTTATTTATAAATGTAATACATTTTAATAAAAGTACGAGTTTGTCTTATTTTGTATTGCTTGAAATGGGATGTGGTATGTGCATTTGTAATGTTTTAAAGAAAAAATATACAAACCAAATGATTTGATGTAAATGACTATTCTCCGGATTTTACATTGTATTTTACATTTAATCTATTAAACTAAATATTACATATGTACATCTGGCTCATTTTGTTTCACTGTAGCCTTCTTTTAAAGACGCCATCTTCCTTTTCCTTTGATGGTTGTTTCTCTCCTCCTTCCACCCTCTCTTCTCACTTAGTCTCTACCTTTTACCCACTCTCTGGCTCCATCTCTCTCTCGCTCTGTCCATCTCTTCCTTTCTCTTGGGCTCCACTTCCTCTCTCCTCTCGTCAGGAGTGTGACCCCCTGCCTGTGTTGGTTCATCCTCCTCCAGTTTACTGAGCTTGGCTGGGATGGGAGGATGAACGGTCTCTCCCTTTCTTTTCCCCCCCTCTATTTTTCCTGTCCTCCGTTCGGTTACAGGGGACATGACTGTTTCTATCTCCCTTTTCCCTTCACTGTGTTTGGTTCTGGATGCTGGAATGGTCTCTTCCTGTCTTTTGTTTTCTGTTGTCCCTTCGTTTCCCATTATCTTAGCATCTGTTTCTACCTTCTCTATTTTTGCTTTGTAGGAGGTGGTGGGTTCCTCTGTTAGTCCTCTCCTGTTTTTAGTTGTAAGCTTTTTTAACCCTAAATAGCTCCCTTCTTCAGATTGAACCACTACTTGTCGTCTTTCCCCCTTCTCTCCCATATCCCCACTCTCTCCCGCCTTCCTTTTCATCCCTTTACCGTTTGGACCCCTGTTGGTTACGAACGTATCATTCTCGATAGTCCCGCCCCCCTCAATAGTTTTTATTTTCAGCTTTTCTGTCAGGTGCTCTTCTACCTCGTCCCCGTGTTTCCCCGTCTCCTCCTCTGCAGTGTTTGCCGTTTCCTCCTCCTGCTCCTTCTTGGCCATTGCGGCTTTAGCATGCCTTGATCTTGTCATGTGACTTGTAATAGGAAAGGACTTTTCAGTCCTCTCCTCCTTTGTCTCGTTCCCTTGTTTTCCTGTCTCTTTCTCTGCTGGTTTTGGTTTCTCCTCTTTCTTTCCCTCTACATCCTTCCTTCTTGCTCTAGTCACAGGACTTGTTCTAAGACCAGGCTTTTCAATCTTCTCACTCTCTTTGTTCTCCAGCTCTCCATCTATCTCCATATTTGCTGTTCTCGGTTCCTTCTCCTTTTTCCTCTCTACGTCATTCTTTTCCCATTTTGTTCTTGTCATAGGACTGGGGTCTTTCAACGCCACCCTCCCTGAGGTTGGAACGTCCTCCCCCTCTTCCCTCTCTTTATCAGTGTAGATATTAGGGGTGGTAGCCTTGGCTTCTTTTTTAGCTGTGTGTGGAATCTGTTCTTTCTTACTCTCTTCAGCTTTCCTGTTTCCTCTGGTTTTTATCATACGTCTTGTCGCAGTACTAGTCATGGGACAGGGCTTTTCAGTGCTCTCCTCATCCCCTTGTTTCTCCGTCTCTCCACCAGTTTCTTTCTTTGTGTTTGACTTCCCTTCTTTTTTCCCTTCTGCATCTTTGCTTTTCTTTCTTGTCACAGGAGTTATCAAAGGACTGGGCCTTTCAGATCTTTCCTCTTTTCCTTCGTCCTCTTCTTTATATGTCTCTACTGATGTCACTTTATTTGTTGTGTTTTCTGGTTTCGGCTTCTCTTTCTCCTTCTCTGTTGCTTTGCTCTTCCTTCTTGTGGTTATCATAGGACTTGGGATAAAACTGGGCTTTTCTGTCCTTTTTGCCTCATCCTCTTTCTCTGCCACGTTTTCCGTTTTCGATGACTCCTCTTTCCCCTTCGCTGCAGCTTTGCTCTTCCTCCTTGCTCTTCTCATAGGACTTGTCATGGTACTTGGCTTTTCTGTCTTATCCTTTGCTTCGTCCCGTTGTTTCGACGTCTCTCTGTCTGCCTCCGTTTTCTGTCGTTGATCTGGTTGAGGCTCCTTCAGTGTCACCTTCACTTTATCAGTGTTAATATTGGGAGCAGTAGTAGCCTTGAACACCTCTTTGTCACTCATTCTCAGTTCTTTCTCTTCAGACTGTTCTCTATTCACTGCTTGTATCTCTTGTCCTTTCCTTGACTGTCTCTGTTTCTTTTTCTCTGTTTTCTCTTCCATCTTGTTTTCGGTTGCTATCACTTCCTCCTCTTCTTCTCCTCTAACTGCTACTTCACTCGTTTCTCTTTTCTCCGTTTTCTTTACTACCTCCTTTTCATTTTCTATTTCTTTCTTCCCCTCTTCTGTTTTCACGGTGTCTTCCCTGCGTCTACTATCGCTATGTTTCTGATGTCTAGTTGACCTCTTGCTGCTTCTGCTTGGATTCGCATTTGACGTCTCTTCAAGTCTTCCAACCATCTCGTTCCTCTCCTCCTCCATTCTCCCTTCTTCTTCTCTTTCTCTCCTCTCCGTATTCTCTCCATCTGCATCAGTCCGTTGACCAGTTTGGGTGGTCTCAACCTCTGACTCAGTCTCTCTCTTTTTCTGCTTTACCTCTTTTCTCTCCATCTCAGCCTCCTCTCCTGTCTCCACCCCGTTTTCTCTCTCTACATTACTCTCCATCTGTCCCTTGTAGCCACCCAAAACTGTCTCTCCCTCTGTCTCTGCACTTCCACGAGGCGTTGGGGTGAGGGAGTGCTTCACCTCAACCTGCCCCAGGGTGAGGAGGGTGTGTGCGGCAGAGATGTTGGCCGTCTCCCTTGTGCTGTCCCTGGACATGTATGACTGGAGATGGTCATTTTTTACCCCTGTAGCATCCAAACACAGGGGGAGTGGAGTGGACTCATCCCAGGCAGAGTGAGGGTGGAGCAGCCCAGGTATGGGAGCCTGACTATCGGACATAGACTCATCCAAGTTCACCCCTTCTATAGGCTGGTTCCATGTTTCCTCCATTCTAGGATAGGCTTCCTCCACTGTCTCACTGACACAATCTGACAGTAGGGCTGATCCAGGATCTGTGCTGCTTATGGATGGCGGTGAACTCTCTGTGTCTGAGTACACCTGAGTGATAATAGGAACTGTACTGAGGTCAGCAAACTCTTTCACACAGTCAATAGCAGGAGAGTCTGGCAACGGTTTGTTGACACCATCTGAATCACATGACTCAGTGATACTAGAGGCTTCGGTGGCAGTGATCACGTCTGTTAGCTTTTCGTTGACACTGTCTGAACTTTCAGAGTTAGTGACGCGAGGTGCTTCAGTGATGGTTGTGTCTGTTGCTTGAACAAATGCACTGTCAGTTCCCTGAGTGTTGGCATTGTCTGGAGGATTTGTTTCAGTCACATTTGTCACCTTTAGATCAATTATATTTAATGCTTTAACATTGGCACTGTCCAGACCTGAAGCTTGAGAACTGTTACGCATGTCTGAAGCTTCAGCATTGTTGCCATCTGAAGCTGAACTATTCACACAGTCTAACATTTTCGCATTGAAACTATCAGATGTTTCAGTGTTGGGCCCGTCGGATGACGAAGAGTCTATCACCCTCCATTCCTCCTTACCTCCCTTGTCAGCTGCCTCCACCTCCATTCCTCTCCCAGTCCCATCCTCTCTAGGACCTTCCTCCACCTGAGGCCTGTGCTCCAGACTCCCTTCCCCAATTTGAGGCTCCTCTGTGGGGCCTGAGAGAGAGGCAGGGGCCCATAGAGGTGGAGGCTGTGGATCTCTCTCACCTGCTGGGTTCGGGGTGTCCCTAACCCAGCCTGTCAGGTGAGCATCCAGGAAGGGGTCACCTTTGGGGGTGGAGCAGGAGACAGCCATGATGAAGGACTGGACAGGTACGGCACAGGGGGTATCCCCATCCCAATGGCCTGAAGGGGGGGTGACCCTGTCCCTGTCCCGGGGAGGGTGGGACAGCTGAAAGGGGCAAGGGTCCTGGGGCTTCCAGTTCAGCTGACCCTCGTCATCGTTGTCTTCTCCTTGGCCCTCCGGGGGCGTTGAAGAGACAGAGTGGACGAGGGCAGCCATGGCTAGGAGTCTCAGGTTAGGGGGGCAGGACGGCGGGTTGTCCGTCAACATCCTCCTGCCACCATGATAGGCCGCCAGAGGGAAATGGGCGGGGGATCCAATCGGAGTGGGCGGGCCTAGATTGGAGACGGAAGGAGGGGAGGGGAATGGATATGTCTGGATGGGTGATAATACTACTCCTTCTTCTTCTTCTCTTCCTCCCTCTTCTTCTTCTCTTCCTCCCTCTTCTTCTTCTTCTCTTCCTCCCTCTTCTTCTTCTTCTCTTCCTCCCTCCTCTTCTTCTTCTCTTCCTCCCTCCTCTTCTTCTTCTCTTCCTCCCTCTTCTTCTTCTCTTCCTCCCTCTTCTTCTTCTTCTCTTCCTCCCCCCTCTTCTTTTTCTCTTCCTCCCTCCTCTTCTTCTTCTCTTCCTCCCTCCTCTTCTTCTTCTCTTCCTCCCTCCTCTTCTTCTTCTCTTCCTCCCTCCTCTTCTTTTTTGTCTTCCTCCAGATCCTCCTGTTTCGGGACGTCTCCCACTTGCCCCGCGGTGAAGTTGTCCGAGTCCTCTTCTTCTTCACTCATTCCCTCCATCACTCCATCTTCCTCTCTTTCCAGAGGCAGGATCATGAAGGTTATCCCATCTTTACTAATATTTAAGGGGACAGAAGAGTTTGACAAGTTTGCCTCTGTCTGGGAGATGTAGTTTTGTTGACCTGACTGGTTGTAGTTCTGTTGATCGGACTTAGGCCGGTGCAGGTTGTTGAGTTCCCCAGACGTGGTTGAGGTTGAGGCAAGCTCGGAGGCTAGAAGATCCCCTGGCAGAGGACCGCCCTGGAGGTCAAGGATTGAAGTGATTGAGAGTGGGTCTTTTGATTCCTGAATCACGAAGTTTGAGGCTGAATGGCCTGTTATATATTGACCACTGCTGCCCATAACAGGCAAGATGGCTGCGGGTAGTTCTATTGACGAGCTATGACCATGTGACAATGTAGCTTCATAGGCTGTGTTAGACCCAGTCGTTATATAAAGATTCTGATTGTTTTGATTTTCACAAGGCAAAGCTCCTGGGGGATAGTAGACATCACTCACAGCAATAGTATTGTTTGGATGATGGTACTGTGTCTGTTGGAAAGTCTGGTTCCTTTCCAAGAAAGGAAATGGGGAGGGGGAGTTCATCATCATCGGAAGTGGTGCATTGTGGGGGATGTAATCTCCCATTGGAGTAAACACGAAGGTTCCACCCTCAGGGCTGTCCTCACTGAACACAAAGTGCCTGGGACGTTGTGGAGGACACATCTGAAATGCATCCTGGCCTGTCATAGGGATAGGGTGTGGGGAATAGTTTTCCGGTAGGACGAAAAACCCTTGCGGTGGTGGTGCATTGTGGTAGTTGTAGTTTTTGTGACAAACAGGTAGAGGTGGGAGAGAGAACGCTCGGAGGTGTGGAGTGGGCATTGGGAATGGTGCATTGTGGGAATTGTTCCCAGGTTGAGGAGGAGGGTAGGGTCCTTGAAGCTGAAACAAGCCGTCCTGTGAGGTTGCCAGTTGGAAAGTTTCCGACGGTGAAGGGGTAGGAATAGGAGGGATGAGGTAACTAACAGTACAACCGTCCTGGGTCTGTATGAACAATGGAGGCCCATGGCCAGGTGCATTGTGGTTATCATAGTTTGGAGTTGAATGGCTCTTACGATGAATACTGGACATAGACATGCAGTGCCTCTCGAACTGTAATTCATATGATGTCATAGGTAGGCTCAGAGCTTCTCTGTGTTCTGTGAGTGATGGGGCCAGTTGTTGTGTAGTACAGCCTTCAGATGCAGTGTGGGTAGTGTAGTCCTCTGGGTCAGTGCTAGTAACACTGGCAGGTACGTCTGGCATCTCCTGATCCACCTGTGAGGATAGAGGGAGAGAGGGACAGGAGAAGACAGAGAGTGAGCGAAAACCGACACACCAATGAAGTCGGCTACATCAAAGCATTTCTTTGTTTGACTTTTACTGAGAGAGAGAGTGAGAGCACGGTGTAATACCTGTGCCTCCTCCTGTGCCAGGAGGTCGATGGTATCGGGGTCGAAGGTGAGGAGAGAGGACAGGTACTGTAGATCCAGCACTGCTTCGACCTGCAAGGGAAACACAGAGGGGTGGTGTTATCAAAACCCCAAATATCAACTGCTGCAACCTACAGGAAAGACAGAATTAAACTGTTGTTTGAATACTTGCTTATCATGTGTGAAAAAGAAACAACAACACCATCCACAATGGACGGAGGACCACAATGGAAAACAAGTCTATTGACTTTATTGTGTTTACATCAGTGGAGGCTAGTGGGAGGAGCTATAGGAGGACGGGCTCATTGTAATGGCTGGAATGGGATAAAACATATGGAAACCACATGCTTGACTCAGGTCCATTAATTCCATTCCAGCCATTACAATGAGCCTGTCCTCCTATAGCTCATCCCACCAGCCTCCTCTGGTTTATATCCCCAACAGATGTTGGTAAATGTAGCTGTTGCTGGGTGTAACATGTTTTTTTTTAATGATCAAATAAAATAAAACCAGCACATTATACTATTTAAAAGACTATTAGGAGACAAAATCCACTACTGATCTGTGAAAAAAATATATATATATTGACAAATTATTTTAACTGTTGTTCATTCAAAATTCAAAAGGCACTCGCACATCTGAGCTATCTTTGTTGCAGGTGCATGGTAACAGTTGAACAAGATGAGAAAAAATAAGAAACCTGCACACTGCTCTTTATAGTATCACTGCTCTTTATAGTATCACTGCTCTTTATAGTATCACTGCTCTTGATAGTATCACTGCTCTTTATAGTATCACTGCTCTTTATAGTATCACTGCTCTTGATAGTATCACTGCTCTTGATAGTATCACTGCTCTTGATAGTATCACTGCTCTTGATAGTATCACTGCTCTCTATAGTATCACTGCTCTCTATAGTATCACTGCTCTTGATAGTATTATTGCTCTTGATAGTATCACTGCTCTTGATAGTATCACTGCTCTTTATTAAGCTTTACCTATCAGCCTCAAGCCCTTCATCAGAGCTTTTGTGAGTGTTTATAATTTGCACCCTTATGTAGACATTGCTCCACCCACATCTGTTCAATGCATCGAATGGGGTTGGAGTCGAGGAGAAAATAAGCAAGTGTTACCAAATATAACAATGTGCATTTCATAAGTATTCTAATAAAGTGTGTACATAACATTTATTAAACACATCTGTAAAACCACAATGAGGACATCAACCTATCAAGTAAGCTTTCATAAATCATTGGGTACAGTGCAAGAAAAAACGTCAGAGTAATCTGAAGTGGCGGCATTAACTCATGTTCACATTTACAACATAACATGCATGGGCATTTCATCATTAAGACCTTTTGGGAATAATGTCTGGAGGGTGAAAATCCAAAAACATTATATTTTGCTCAGAGTATTAATTATATCCCCTCCACTGTCTGATATCTTAACTTTCTCTATGCCACAAAATCTAAAGGTAGTAATGTCATGTTTTTGGTCATTAAAATGTACTGCTTCTGGATAATCCCTGTCGTTTCTCCTGATTGAATTTTTGTGTTAATTCATTCTCTGTTTGAGAGAATGAGAGGTTTTACCAACATAACACAGCCCACATGGACATTTAATCATGTAGATAACATGGGAGGTGGAGCACGTAATAATGTCATTTATTTGGAACCGTTTTCCTGTATGTGGGTGACACTGGCAGAAGTATTCACACTTCATCATACTGTTGCACTGTGCGCAACCTCTGCATTTATAGCTACCATTCGGAAGAGGGCGGAAAAGAGCCTGGCTCATTTTCTTTTGTGGCTGGCTGTTGGCATGGACCAATTTGTCGTGTAAATTGCGACCTCTCCAATATACAATAACTGGTTGCTTCTTAAATTCAGCTGGCAAAGCTGGGTCCGATGATAAAACATGCCAGTGTTTTTTGACAGTATCTCCCACTTTGCGCAAGTTCAAATTATAGGTGGTGGTGAACATTACAGCGTTCTTTAGCTCTAGTGGGTCTTTTTTTTGCATGTTTTCCCCACCGGCGAGACGTCATTAAAGGCCCTTCCAAGAAGGCTCAAGGTCATTGGCCACAGATAAAATGAAGTCAAATCACATTATATTTACAGTAGCTTTGATTGGACTGATCATGTCAACATCTTACTTTCAAAATCTTAGCTAGCAGTCATCATCATGAATCAAGTCGACAATCTACTGGCAAATCCTTTTTAATCCGTGTCATATGAAGATAAATAATGAAGATAAATGATAGATAAAACGTATCGGTGCTCATCGGCCATTGGACATAAACTAATTGGAAATCGCAAATTCAACAATGAGTGGTTTGGAAGGAATCGGTAACAGTGGCTAACTGCAAGCATTGCAAAGCAATCACTAGCCTGCTATTCATTAGAGTGTCTGTGTTGTCCCTTTTCCAAGTTTAAAATGATGAACATTCAACATTGGCCATGCTGTCAATGAAGCATGATTTGTGCCGCGCTCAAAACAACTGTTAACTCGGAACTGCGAAAACTTGACTTCCAGTGAGTTCAAGAAAACTGGGAAGTCGAGAATAAACGAGCTCCGACTGGGAAAATACGTTTTGAACCGTCATCCAACTCGGAATTGTAAATCCAGCCTCTTTCTTTGATGACAAAATTTGCCCAAGAAGGACCGCCGCGCCACCTTCCAGTTCAAGTGAGCACAACAACGTGAGTCCAAAAATGTACTGTATGCTGCTGCATAAATGATGTATAATGCCAGGGAGATATGTATACTGTAGCTAAGAAGTGTATGTTGTGTAGTAAGCTGTTAGTAGCCCATGTGCCTCACCCTAATAATTTGGTATATTTCCACCTCTTAATTTCGCCTACTGTTCTGACTTGGTGGTGCACATGTAGCATATAACCTGTTTTAGAGAAATGTAATCATCGAATATTGTAAGAGCTTTCATTGTCTGCTTATATGCCCCCTTTATTTATCCTACGGTTCTGACTTGGTGTACAGGGAGAACACTGTAAGAACGGCCCATGTTCTGAATTATGTCGCTGTACATTTCAAAAGTGCTGAACAAATAGTTATATTGACTACCTCCGTCCTAGCTCGCTCATTAATGTCTTAATCGAAATTACGGATTTCCTCTTAACAGCTTGTCGTCCCGTTATGCCATAGTTTGTACATCGCAATTGTCTGTAGAAACAACATTTGTTTAAAAAAAAGTCTGCCATATCGTCTATGTTTTTTAAAAGGCAGTAAATGAGGCTGAATGAACTGTTTCGCTGCCAGACAAGGCTCCGCTGATAGCCAGGTGTAGCAGTGGTAAGGTGTTGGGACAGCTTTATGTAGGCCCTAACAGTTTGGGGGCACCGTTTGTCACCGTTATAGTGCGATTAATGTATTGTTTAGTGTTGTGTAGTGTAGTGGCTTTGCTGGCATGCATCCCACTTTATTTTTTTGCCCCACCAAGATTTACATGCTAAAATCGCCACTGGTTTTCCCTAATACCAAATTAAGAACTTCATCCATACATTGTGGAGTAGCGCCTTCTTAGAAACCTATTGCGCATCTCCGCTGCTTTTTCTAGATAGTCCTCTGTGGAGTGGCAGATACCGCGAAGTCTAAAAAAAAACTGCCTTCTTGGAAGTCCTCTTTTTTTAATGGCTCAGGGTGGAAGCTGTCCCCCTGTAATGGAGTATTTCTGTCCGTTTCTTTTCTGTACAGAGTTGTAAACAGGGTTCCATTTGATTTCTCAATCCACATATCGAGGTAATGAACACGTTTAGTGTCACATTCAATAGAGAATTTGAGATTGGGGTCAATGTCATTGAGTAATACCATGAAGTCTGGCAGCTCTTCTCCCGTTCCTCCCCATATGCAAAACATGTCGTCAATATATCGATACCACTTCAGGATTTTATTCAAAAATAGATGTTCATTTTCATTGTTAACAAAACGTTCTTCAAAATGACACACATAAAGGTTAGCATAGCTTGGAGCGAATGTGGAGCCCATCAATGTTCCATTCGTTTGGAGGTAGTATTAATCATCAAACCTGAAATAGTTCTACGTCAAAACATATTCAGCCAGCTCTAGAATAAAGTTTGTTGGTGGGTATTTTTCTGTATCTCAGTCTCTCAACTAGTGAGCTAGGGCTGCCAGCCCCCCGTGTGGGGAATGCTGGTATATAGACTCTCGACATCTAATGTGACCAAAATAGTATTCTGTTAATCCCGTTATTGATGAAATCTTATTTAGTCTATAGAGTCTTTCACATATGATGTCAATGCTTGCACATGATATTTAATAAAATAGTCTACAAAGTTCGACAATGGCTCTAACATTGAGCCTATTCCTGCAACCACTGGTCTGCCTGGATAATTGCCTTGTTGTGTTTTAGGTTTGTGTAATTTAGGCAAAATGTACAGGCATTGAAGTATGGCACATTTGCAGCCAAGGTATTCATATTCAGGTTTTGAGATAAGGTTGTTTAATAGCGCTTGCTCCAGATTAGAGCTAATATCCCTTTGGAAAACCTGTGTGGGATCAACACTCAGTTTTCTATGGAAACGTTCATTACTGAGTTGTCTCTGAATCTTTTCTTTGTATTTTTCATAGTCTAAAACGACCACAGCTCCTCCCCCTTGTCTGCAGGTTTGATAACCAAAGATGAGTCTTTCATTAGATCATTAAGTGCCTGTTCTTCTGTCCTGGTGAGGTTCTTCTGAATATGGTTTGTTTTTCTCATGTATTTACAGACATGGCTTTTTGTTCGACTAACCTACAATAGGTATTAATCGAAGGAGTTGTTAACCATAGGACAGAATTTGCTTTTGGGCTTAAAATGGGTAACAGTTCTTTGTTGGGTTTCTAGGCCAGAAACAGTGTTTTGGGAAAACACGTGTTTAAGTTTAATCTTGCAAAATAATTTCAACAGATCTACTTTCGTATCAAATGGTTTGTCTGTTTATGTAGGTACAAAAGAGAGGCCCTTAGATAAGACTGAGACTTGTGCGTCAGTGAGCTCTTTTTTATATATGTTTTATGTACACACTTTATTAGAATACTTATGAAATGCACATTGTTATATTTGGTAACACTTGCTTATTTTCCCTCAACTCCAACCCCATTCGATGCATTGTGGGTGGAGCAATGTCTACATAAGGGTGCAAATTATAAACACTCACAAAAGCTCTGACGAAGGCCTTGAGGCCGATACGTAAAGCTTAATAAAGAGCAGTGATACTATCAAGAGCAGTGATACTATCAAGAGCAGTGTGCAGGTTTCTTATTTTTTCTGAACTGATGTTCGTTACCTTAAAAATCCATCATCAAATTATATGATTTAAAAGACTGAAAAGACAGAATCCACCAGGAAATGCTTATGATTGTAAGAAAAATATACATCACATCAATTCCTTTGTATGTTCATTACCTTAGTGACAAACTCCCTCTGACTACACAGCTCATTCAGATACTCCGTGAACGAGCATTCCCCATCTCCTTCTCCCTCCTCTTCCTCATCCCCCTCTTCCTCTTGACCTCTGACCTCTAACCTCTCCCTGACCCCGGTGGGGTCAATAAGGAGGGCCTCCATGGCTGCCGTGTACTCCCCGAGGGCACGTTCCTCCAGGACCTTGAGGGAAGTAGACAAATTGTTTGCCTTAGTTTAACTTTCTACACAGCCATGCCAACTCAATAAAGTTTAATGCCAACTACAGTACCTGACAAGAGTGACTGGGTATTTTTGGGACAGTTTAGCTTCCAGTAATTTTGTCAATACCTTGATGTCCACTTTCCCTAGTCGGCCACCATGGGGCACTCTAGGACCACTGCCACTCTTGGTGGCTCTCTGAGTTTTGTCCTTGGCTTGGTTAACTCTGGTGGTGCTTTTGGTTTCTGTCTCTTTGGCTGACGTGGTGGCACTGCTCTTCCCTGTGTAACCTGCTGAGGGGAGGGAGAGGGAGAGAGATCATCATTAAGTTTTCACACCATGTGGCTTCATTCATTCATACAAATGATTAATTCACTTTTTGGGTAACCACTTTAACTATACAGTTGAAGTCGGAAGTTTACACACACCTTAGCTAAATACATTTAAACTCAGTTTTTCACAATTCCTGACATTTAATCCTAGTAAAAATTCTGTTTTAGGTCAGTTAGGATCACCACTTTATTTTAAGAATGTGAAATGTCAGAATAATAGTAGAGAGAATTATTTATTTCAGCTTTCCAGTGGGTCAGGAGTTTACATACACTCAATTAGTATTTGGTAGCATTGCCTTTAAATTGTTTAACTTGGGTCAAACGTTTTGGATAGCCTTCCACAAGCTTCCCACAATAAGTTGGGTGAATTTTGGCCCATTCCTCCTGACAGAGCTGGTGTAACTGAGTCAGGTTTGTAGGCCTCCTTGCTCGCACACGCTTTTTCAGTTCTGTCCACAAATGTTCTATAGGTCAGGGCTTTGTGATGGCCACTCCAATACCTTGACTTTGTTGTCCTTAAGCCATTTTGCCACAACTTTGGTAGTATGCTTGGGGTCATTGTCCATTTGGAAGAACCATTTGCGACCAAGCTTTAACTTCCTGACTGATGTCTTGAGATGTTGATTCAATATATCCACATAATTTTCCTTCCTCATGATGCCATCTATTTTGTGAAGTGCACCAGTCCCTCCTGCAGCAAAGCATCCCCACAGCATGATGCTGCCACCCCCGTGCTTCACGGTTGAGATGCTGTTCTTCGGCTTGCAACACCCCCTTTTTCGTCCAAACACAAAGATGGTCATTATGGCCAAACAGTTCTATTTTTGTTTCATCAGACCAGAAGACATTTCTCCAAAAAGTATGATCTTTGGCCCCATGTGCAGTTCCAAACCGTAGTCTGGCTTTTTTATGGTGGTTTTGGAGCAGTGGCTTCTTCCTTGCTGAGCGGCCTTTCAGGTTATGTCGATATAGGACTCGTTTTACTGTGGATATAGATACTTTTGTACCTGTTTCCTCCAGCATCTTCACAAGGTCCTTTGCTGTTGTTCTGGGGTTAATTTGCATTTTTCGCACCAAAGTACATTCATCTCTAGGAGACAGAACGCATCTCCTTCCTGAGCGGAATGATGGCTGCGTGGTCACATGGTGTTTATACTTGCATACTATAGTTTGTACAGATGAACGTGGTACCTTCAGGCATTTGGAAATTACTCCCAAGGATGAACCAGACTTGTGGAGGTCAAAAAAAGAAAGAAATTCTGGCTGATTTCTTTTGATTTTCCCATGATGTCAAGCAAAGAGGCACTGAGTTTGAAGGTAGGCCTTGAAATACTTGAAATACATCCACAGGTACACCTCCAATTGACTCAAATGATGTCAATTAGCCTATCAGAAGCTTTTAAAGCCATGAGATCATTTTCTGGAATTTTCCAAGCTGTTTAAAGGCACAGTCAACTTAGTGTATGTAAACTTTTGACCCACTGGAATTGTGATACAGTGAATTATAAGTGAAATAATCTGTCTGTAAACAATTGTTGTCAAAATTACTTAAAGTAGATGTCCTAACCGACTTGCCAAAACTGTAGTTTGTTAACAAGAAATTTGTGGAGTGGTTGAAAAACGAGTTTTAATGACTCCAACCTAAGTGTATGTAAACTTCCGACTTCAACTGTATATATATAATTAACTATATGTAAAAATACATTTCAGAGTACTAGCTATCCAAGTGCTTGGTTTAATCCGTAGTGCAGAATATCTGCATTGTACAGCTGTTCACATTTAAAAGCAATTTCCGATTGAGCTGGCATATGCAGCGTTTACCGTGAATGCATTCTCCACGACCTATGCGAACATTGCCTTTAATTGTCAATCGAGCTATAAAAGCAGATCTTCAGCAGTACGGATTGAATTGAGCCCTAAATGTGTAATGGCAGAGATGCATATGCATGGTTTACAGAGGCTGTCCAATAGATTGTGTGAATGAGAAGTTGTTGTGACCTCTCAGTGGTTGTTCTTTAAATGTGCTTTCCTCTCAATCTTAAATAAGCATGCCCCATTCAAAAAATTCAGAACGAAGAACATATATAGCCCCTGGTTCACCCCAGACTTGACTGCCCTTGACCAGCACAAAAACATCCTGTGGCGTACTGCATTAGCATCGAACAGCCCCCGCGATATGCAACTTTTCAGGGAAGTCAGGAACCAATATACACAATCAGTTAGGAAAGCGAAGGCTAGCTTTTTCAAACAGAAATTTGCATCCTGTAGTACTAACTCCAAAAGGTTTTGGGACACTGTAAAGTCCATGGAGAATAAGAGCACCTCCTCCCAGCTGCCCACTGCACTGAGGCTAGGAAACACTGTCACTACCGATAAATCTACGATATTCAAAAATGTCAACAAGCATTTTGCTATGGCTGGACATGCTTTCCACCTGGCTACCCCTACCCCGGCCACCAGCTCTGCACCCTCCGCTGTAACTTGCCCATGCCCCCCCTTCTCCTTCACCCAAATTCAGATAGCTGATGTTCTGAAAGAGCTGCAAAATCTGGACCCCTACAAATCAGATGGGCTAGACAATCTAGACCCTTTCTTTCTAAAATTAGCTGCTGAAATTGTCGCAACCCATACATACTACCAGCCTGTTCAACCTCTCTTTCGTATCGTCTGAGATCCCCAGAGATTGGAAAGCTGCCGCGGTCATCCCCCTCTTCAAAGGGGGGTGACACTCAAGTATTTGAAAGCCAAGTTAACAAACAGATCACCGACCATTTCGAATCCCACCGTATCTTCTCTGCTATGCAATCTGGTTTCCGAGCTGGTCATGGGTGCACCTCAGCCACGCTCAAGGTCCTAAACGATATTATAACCGCAATCGATAAAAGACAGTACTGTGCAGCCGTCTTCATCGACCTGCCCAATGCTTTCGACTCCGTCAATCACCGCATTCTTATTGGCAGACTAAATAGCCTTGGTTTCTCAAATGACTGCCTCGCCTGGTTCACCAACTACTTCTCAGATAGAGTTCAATGTGTCAAATTGGAGGGCATGTTGTCTGGACCTCTGGCAGTCTCTATGGGGGTGCCACAGGGTTAAATTCTCGGGCCGACTCTATTCTCTGTGTATATCAATGATGTCGCTCTTGCTGCTGGTGACTCTCAGATCCACCTCTACGCAGACGACACCATTTTGTATACATCTGGCCCTTCATTGGACACTGTGTTAACAAACCTCCAAACGAGCTTCAATACCATACAGCACTCCTTCCGTAGCCTCCAACTGCTCTTAAACGCTAGTAAAACTAAATGCATGCTCTTCAATCGAACGCTGCTTGCACCCGCCCGCCCAACTAGAATCACTACTCTCGGCGGGTCTGACTTAGAATATGTGGACAACTACAAATACCTAGGTGTCTGGTTAGACCGTAAACTCTCCTTCCAGACTCACATTAAGCATCTCCAATCCAAAGTTAAATCTACATTTTACATTACATTGAGTCATTTAGCAGACGCTCTTATCCAGAGCGACTTACAGTTAGTGAATACCTTTTATTTTTATTTTTATTTTTTTTTACATCCCTGCTGGCCATTCCCTCCCCTACCCTGGACGACACTAGGCCAATTGTGCGCCGCCCATGAGTCTTCTGGTCGCGGCCAGCTGCGACAGAGCCTGGATTCGAACCAGGATCTCTAGTGGCACAGCTAGCACTGCGATTCAGTGCCTTAGACTGGGCTTCCTATTTGGCAACAAAGCCTCCTTCACTCATGCTGCCAAACATGCCCTCGTAAAACGGACTAATCTACCGATCCTTGACTTCGGCGATGTCATTAACAAAATAGCCTCCAACACTCTACTCAGCAAATTGGATGTAGTCTATCACAGTGCCATCCGTTTTGTCACCAAAGCCCCATATACTACCCACCATTGTGACCTGTACGCTCTTGTTGGCTGGTCCTCACTACATATTCGTCGCCAAACCCACTGGCTCCAGGTCATCTATAAATCACTGCTAGGCAAATCCCCACCTTATCTTAGCTCATTGGTCACCATAGCAACACCCACCCGTAGTATGCGCTCCAGCAGGTATATCTCACTGGTCATCCCCAAAGCCAACACCTCCTTTGGCCGCGATTCCTTCCAGTTCTCTGCTGCCAATGACTGGAACGAACTGCAAAAATCTCTGAAGCTGGAGACACTTATCTCCCTCACTAACTTTAGGCATCAGTTGTCAGAGCAGCTTACCGATCACTGCACCTGTACACAGCCCATCTGAAATTAGCCCACCCAACTACCTTACCTCATCCCATATTGTTATATATTTTGCTCATTTGCACCCCAGTATCTCTATTTGCACATCATCTTCTCCACATCTATCATTCCAGTGTTAATACTAAATTGTAATTATTTTGCACTATGGCCTATTTATTGCCTTACCTCCATGCAGACACTGTATATAGATTTTCTATTGTGTTATTGACTGTATGTTTTGTTTACCCCATATGTAACTCTGTGTTGTTGTTGTTTTTATCGCACTGCTTTGCTTTATCTTGGCCAGGTCGCAGTTGTAAATGAGAACTTGTTCTCAACTGGCTTACCTGGTTAAATAAAGGTGAAATAAAAAAATAAAAGTTAGCATGCAGGAATAATGACCTTTCAACTCAGCCTGGGCTCCACTCTGACCTGTCCCTGACAGTGACCTTTGTATGACCTTTGATCTTTCCTTAGCTGTCACCTCCTCCACCTCAAGCTCCACGAATCTAAAGATGATCAAGCAAACATGCACGTGCACACACACACACACACAACACCTCAAATGACACCCTATTCCCCAACATATTTAACGTGACCAAAATGTATGTGCACTACTATATTGGTAAAAGATTATGAGAAACGACCAGAAGTACATATCTACCTCTATCACTCCAGTATCCCTGCACATTGTAAATATGGTATTGGAACTGACCCTGTAAATAGTATGCTTACTTACTTCTTGTGTTCTTCTTATTTTTATTTCACGTGTGTCTTTGTTCTACCTTATGTTATTTTTAGTACCACAGTGGGGGAAAAAAGTATTTAGTCAGCCACCAATTGTGCAAGTTCTCCCACTTAAAAAGATGAGAGAGGCCTGTCATTTTCATCATAGGTACACGTCAACTATCACAGACAAAATGAGGAAAAAAATCCAGAAAATCACATTGTAGGATTTTTTTATGAATTTATGTGCAAATTATGGTGGAAAATAAGTATTTGGTCAATAACAAAAGTTTCTCAATACTTTGTTATATACCCTTTGTTGGCAATGACACAGGTCAAACGTTTTCTGTAAGTCTTCACAAGGTTTTCACACACTGTTGCTGGTATTTTGGCCCATTCCTCCATGCAGATCTCCTCTAGAGCAGTGATGTTTTGGGGCTGTCGCTGGGCAACACAGACTTTCAACTCCCTCCAAAGATTTTCTATGGGGTTGAGATCTGGAGACTGGCTAGGCCACTCCAGGACCTTGAAATGCTTCTTACGAAGCCACTCCTTCGTTGCCCGGGCGGTGTGTTTGGGATCATTGTCATGCTGAAAGACCCAGCCACGTTTCATCTTCAATGCCCTTGCTGATGGAAGGAGGTTTTCACTCAAAATCTCACGATACATGGCCCCATTCATTCTTTCCTTTACACGGATCAGTCGTCCTGGTCCCTTTGCAGAAAAACAGCCCCAAAGCATGATGTTTCCACCCCCATGCTTCACAGTAGGTATGGTGTTCTTTGGATGCAACTCAGCATTCTTTGTCCTCCAAACACGACGAGTTTAGTTTTTACCATCTGACCATATGACATTCTCCCAATCCTCTTCTGGATCATCCAAATGCACTCTAGCAAACTTCAGACGGGCCTGGACATGTACTGGCTTAAGCAGGGGGACACGTCTGGCACTGCAGGATTTGAGTCCCTGGCGGCGTAGTGTGTTACTGATGGTAGGCTTTGTTACTTTGGTCCCAGCTCTCTGCAGGTCATTCACTAGGTCCCCCCGTGTGGTTCTGGGATTTTTGCTCACCGTTCTTGTGATCATTTTGACCCCACGGGGTGAGATCTTGCGTGGAGCCCCAGATCGAGGGAGATTATCAGTGGTCTTGTATGTCTTCCATTTCCTAATAATTGCTCCCACAGTTGATTTCTTCAAACCAAGCTGCTTACCTATTGCAGATTCAGTCTTCCCAGCCTGGTGCAGGTCTACAATTTTGTTTCTGGTGTCCTTTGACAGCTCTTTGGTCTTGGCCATAGTGGAGTTTGGAGTGTGACTGTTTGAGGTTGTGGACAGGTGTCTTTTATACTGATAACAAGTTCAAACAGGTGCCATTAATACATGTAACAAGTGGAGGACAGAGGAGCCTCTTAAAGGTCTGTGAGAGCCAGAAATCTTGCTTGTTTGTAGGTGACCAAATACTTATTTTCCACCATAATTTGCTAATAAATTCATTAAAAATCCTACAATGTCATTTTCTGGATTTGTTTTTCTCAATTTGTCTGTCATAGTTGACGATTACTGCATTGTTGGGTCTAGAGCTTGCAAGAAAGGCATTTCACTGTACTTGTGCACGTGACATTAAAACTTGAAACTACCCATGTAAATCTAATCTAATTTGATAAATAAACTCTTTCCACATGATTCATATATTTATATCTTCAGTAGGGTATCATTGTTAGTACCTTTCAATGTAATTCCACAATGATGCAGTTACCACTTATTTGATAATCTAATCAAACATTCCATATTTTATGAGGAGGACATTCTGTAGATGTTAACATGAAAAGTGCATTTAAAGGAGCAATCTGGGGGATGGAATCAATGGCTATATAAGTATAAAAATGGATTAACCAATCCCAGATTGCTCTTTAAGTGCAGAGCTATGGGAGTTACAAAACTGTACAAACTGTGAGGGTAATAATTGGATGGTATGTCAGTGTTAACATTTCTTTCAAAAGTTGTTTGTGTGTCTTAACTGTGCCAAAGTTGAATGACATCTTGTGTTTTGTGAGGACACACACACAGACACATAAACTGACACACACACACACACACACACACACTGTGGACTCACTTCTGGGCCAAGTGGTAGTATTCCATACGGTCGTAGTTGGAGAGTTTCCTCCATTCTCCCACCGCTGCACTAATGCCCTGGGTGAAGAGGAGCGAGGGGTACTGGAGACAGAAGGAACGAATCACTGGACTGAAGAGACACAGACACACAGACACACACAGGGTTAGGGGTAGTACAGTCAATATCTATGTCACCAAAACTGTAACATAACCCTCTACAACTCTCACTCACAGACCCTCTACTCCAGGGGTGTCAAAGTCAAATGGACGGAGGGCCAAATAAAAAATTTAGCTACAAGCCGAGGGCCGGACTGTTCGAATGTTCATTGAAAAATTTTTAAATGACGCATATAGTCTAGTGAACCTAATTGAACCTACTGAAAACCTAACAAATATATTCCAATATGATCAGATAAATAAAGCAATATTTTCTTATGGCTCTGTCAGTAATCTTTAATTTTCAACAGACACAAAAGACAAATTTCCTTTATATAAAAATCCCCATAACATGAACATTAAATGAAAGAAACCGGTATTCAAGGCACCATCAGTAGCCTATATTTTCTATTTTAGCAAAAGTGGGCTAAATTTACTTCAAAGAAAAAAACAATAATAGCAATTTTCTATCATCCACTCAACTGAAATATTTTTAAAATATAATTGGATTGAAATACAATAAAATAAAGTGCAAAAATCTATTAATCAAAAACAACACTTTGTTTAAGGAGAAGTAACATGCGGTGATTCAAACCTTTGGCTCTGATAAAGTTAACTGTGCGCGTGATGATGCTCATTACATGCTCCATTTTCAAGGCTTTACCGCACAACGCTTCCTGGTGTATGATACAATGATAAGCTGTCAGCTCACCTGTCGCGTTTTCCTCTTGCATCTTTTCCCGTATCTTCGCCACCAGTCCGCTCCTGTGTCCACACATCGCAGGTGCTCCGTCGGTTGTCAAACCCACGAGTTTTTCCCAAGGCAGCTCCATCTCATTTACACATCTTGACACCTCTTCATACAAATCATGCCCCGTAGTTGTGCCATGCATAGGACGTAAAGCCAAAAACTCCTCTGTCACGCTTAGGCTGGAGTCCACTCCGCGGATGAAAATTGACAACTGGGCAATGTCAGAAATGTCGGTGCTCTCATCCACAGCCAAGGAATATGCAATGAAATCTTTTCCCTTTTTCACAAGCTGCTCTTTTAGATTGATGGACAACTGGTCTACTCTCTCGGCAATGGTGTTTCTGCTCAGACTCACATTTAAAAAGAGTTGCCTTTTTTCTGGGCAAACTTCGTCACAAACTTTAATCATGCAGTTTTTGATGAAATCCCCCTCCGTAAATGGCCGGGCTGATTTAGCGATCTCTTCTGCCAAAATAAAACTGGCCTTGACAGCAGCCTGGCCTTGTGATTTGGCTTTTTTGAACAGAGCCTGTCGAGATTTGAGGCCTCGTTTTAATTCCTCTGCCTTTTGTAGCCTTTGTTCCATGTCCATATTCTTGTTTTTGTCCGCGTGTTTCGTTTCATAATGTCGTCTCAGATTATACTCTTTCAGTACCGCCACACTTTCTCCACACAGAAGACACACAGGTTTTCCAGCTACCTCCGTGAACATATACTCCGACTCCCACCTTGTTTGAAACCCCCGGTTCTCAGTGTCCACCTTCCGTTTTGCCATTTTTGATGGGTATCTGAAAGTTAATTTTACTGTGATGCTGACGACTGCTGTGCCAATAAATATTGAAATGAAGCAGCCTACTGCTCGGTGCGTCACCGTTGCATTGTGGGAAATGTAGTATTGGTGCGTGTAAAAGATCTGCGGGCTGCCGGCTTGCTGCGGTCTGCGGGCCGGTTCTAATAATAAATCAAGATCATCCCAGGGGCCGTAAAAAACCTTCTCGCGGGCCGGATGTGGCCCGCGGGCCTTGACTCTGACATATGTGCTCTACTCAGAGACTTCTATTTTTCACGTTTCATGTTTTAATGTCACATGCACAAAATGCCTTTCTTGCAAACTCAAAACCCAACAATGCAATAATCAATAACAATGTAATAGTAGAAAAAACCCCACATGAGAAATAAGAAGTATGAAGAACACAATTGGTAAGTAAGAAAGCATACTATATACAGGGTCAGTTCCACTACCATATTTACAATGTGCAGGGATACTGGAGTGATATAGGTAGATATGTATAGGGGTAAGGGGACTAGGCATCAGGATATAAGATAAACAGAGTAGCAGCAGCTTGTATGTGAGTGGGTGTGCGGGTGTGTAGAGTCAGTATAAATGTATGTGCATATTATGTGTGAGTGAGAAGATGATGGAGTGAGTGTTTGTGTGTGTGTGAGTGTGTAGGGCCCTATGAGTCTGCATTGAGACAGTGCAAAAATATAAATAAAAGGTAAATAAAGATACAAGGTTTCTATTTATAGTCCGTTATTACATGGTAATAAAGACCGTATTACCAAAACAATACACAGCACCAAGTCACTGAGCAAGAGTCTACTTACTAAGGCCCATAAAAACTAGCTAAACAAGAATAGTTATTATTATGGTGCAGGAATAAACTGGGGAGCAGCAGTATTCTGTTCAGAGGCCTCTCATGTCTTTATAAAGGAAAACAACAGATCATCAGGAAAGATAACGACAGTAGAAGCTGCCAATAAAGGGAGCAGATGCTGTATAAGGCTAACTACACACACTAGCACAGAATCCACTCTCCAATGTGCTTACTAAATGGCACCCCATTCCCTATACCAGGGCTGTCAAACTCATTCCATGGAGGGCCTAGCGTCTGCTGGTTTTTGTTTTTTCCTTTCAATTAAGACCTAGACAACCAGGTGAGGGGAGTTCTTTACTAATCAGTGACCTTAATTCATCAATCAAGTACAAGGAAGGACACTCAGCGCTCCGTGGAAGGACACTCAGCGCTCCGTGGAATGAGTGCCCTATAGAGTCCACTACTTTTGTCCAGGGCCCATGTGCCCTATAGATTGCACTACTTTTGTCAAAAATAGTGCACTACATAGGGAAAAGGGTGTCATTTCAGACGCAACACTCACATGAAGAAGCAGGCCAGGGCCTCTGCGTCAGGTCCACTGTCGGGGTAGATTTTTCTGGCCATGTCCCGGAGGTTCTGCCACCACCTGTAGTTCTCAAACACCCCCCGGGAGGAGAAGCTCTCGCCGCGACACCAGGCCTGGTTAGTTGGGGGCTGGCTGGGGAGAGAACCAGGAATGGAACCAGCCATCCCAGGGAGAGGACCGGGTAAGCCTGGGCCGAGCTGGAGGTCCGGTGGTGGTTGGGGGTGGTTAGGGCGTAGCTGGGAGGTCAGTGAGGGGCGATTAGGGCCTGGTTGAAGGCAGTTATGGTTAATCTGGGGGTGATATGAAGGAAAGTCTGGTGGGAGGTCCAGAGGAGGGCAGCTAGGGATAAGGATTGAGTGACAGATCATCGGACAAGGGCCATTCGATATGGATGGAGACTGCTGAGGACGTATGGGTGAATATGTTGGTGGTTGTATGGGTGGAAAGTATGGGAGAGACTGAGGCTGAGGTTGGAGGCGTCGCAGGCGGGAGCCTTCAAGGATTCTGTCCCTCCCCTGTGAGTCAGACTGCAGAGTCACCACACCTGGTTCTTGTCGGATGTATGCCACTGGATACAATACAGCCAGAGAAGAGAGACCGGGCTCAGTCTTGACAGTCAGTGAGACTGGGGCTGGCTGTTCTGGCTGTAGGCCTATCTGAGTTGCGTCAGATTTATGAGGTGGCACCGACTCAAATCCCTGGGAGTCTAGGTGAGGGAGAGGAGTGTTAGCCTGTATCTGGACTAGGTCAGGATCTTCTTCTGTCTGAAGTGGCTCTGATGCAGGCGTGGGATTTTCAGATCTCATCCCATTGCACAAGTCTGGTTGTCCAACACATGACACTGAACACGATGCGGCTGGAGAGGCCAGGTCAACCTCCGATTCAGTCGTAGAGGTCAATGCTGTGGCCGGCTGCTCTGACGGTATCTCGGCTGTGTCGGGCTCCCCTTGTAGCTCAGGCGGTGTAGATTTAGTGTTTTCTGAGTCTGTGTCAGGGCATGGGTCTGACCCCAGCTTCACTCTGGAATCTATGTGAGGATGAGGAGTAGGCCTGGGCATAGACCCCAGTTCTTTCCTGCAAGGGTCTGGTTCCCCGTCTATCTGAAGTGGTTCTGAAGCAGATATGGGATCCTCAGAATCCCTCATGTCAGATGGGTCTAGTTCTGGTCCTAGACACGGTGCTGTCTCTGACACAGTTGGAAAGGAGAGATCAGTGTCAGTCAGCAGGATCAAACCTGGGAATGGATCTCGCTGCTCTGATGGTTTCTGTGCTGAGTCAAATTCCTCTTGTATCTGACATAAAACTGAGTCAGAGTTTGTGTTTTCAGGATCCATCTCAGGGCATGGGGCTGGCTCCAGCTTCAGAACTGACTCTGATTCATCAGGGTCTATGTTAGCAAGTGGAGAAATAGACACTGTCTGTGCAGGGTGTGATTCCCATAATATCTGAGGTGGTGTCTCTGACTTAGGCATGGGCCTTTCTAAGTCCACCCCACAGTCTAGGGTTGCTCCCTGTACCGTTACAGACTTTGATTCATCCGGGTCTGTATGAGGAAGAGGAGTTGGTATGGATGCTGTCTCTGTATTGCCAAGGTCCATGGGAGATGATGTTTCTTCTCCTTCCTCCTGGGGTAAAGGAGTGGGATGAGGGGTTGTTTCCTAAAGTGGATCCGTCTAGAATTTGAATTTTTGCACCTGCCAAAACATACAGTATTTGATGTCATGCCAAACTTACTGTAGCTTTGGAAGTTTTTATTTAGTGAGAGTCAGTGAATGTCTCAATCTCTCCCTCTCTCTGAAATAGGACTATTACAACTAATCTAGCTCAGGGATGGGCAACTTTGATGGGGTTGGGGGCCACAAAAAAACGTAACCCATCATGAGGGGCCGCAGTGGCTCGTGGGTCTGCGTACCCACATCCATACCCCCACCCCTTGCGAGCAAAACAATTACAAGTTTGCTGCAATTCTACACATTTTGCCATGGGGCGGAGAGCAGATTTTGCAATTTTATAACTCATTTCATGCAATTCTCCTCATTTTGCCATAGGGTGGAGGCAAATGCCCACCAGTTTGACATCCCTGATCTAGCTGCATCGAAATGTAATGTAATAAAGCTAACTTTGCAGGTGTCATAAGCCATCACAGACAGGCTGCCTCTTATGTTGGAGACTGGAGAATCTGATGTACTTATAGCCAGCATAATACGGAAAAGACATTGATAGCCCACTGGGTATTTTCATTCAACATCTAGACAACTTGAGAAGCCTAATAATACCGTGGCTATTCCGTCATGTTGTCAAATAATATATAACAAAAAAAAAACTAACCTGTTATGGCATTTGTTTTGGACGATGTTTTGCAAACTGTGCGCACACGCAAATCATCATTTTGCATTTTTCATTAATTCTGTTTCGAAAATAAACATTTCGAGTTCTAATTCTAACTCCGACACTTACGATGATCAAACATTCTGGGGACAACAAAAAAATTATATTAACAGAACATGATGGAAATAATAATATTGTAGTGACTGTGTTTATAAAATATTATAATACGAAAACTCTTTCAAGTACGATGACTGCAAATAAAACTCAATTTCCCGATTTGCTTTGCGGAAGAGGTACCCTTTTCCTCACGGATATCCGTTTTCCAGTTTCTACACACGGATAAAAAAAAACGCACGAGGAGCGCAGAACGCTACAAATATAGGCACATTTTCTGTAAAATAAAAGTGAAGAAGTCCACTTTGGTGGTGCAGTAAATTTGTTTATAACTTACAAAGCACAAGTTATTTGCTACGATGTTCCTGCAGTTCTACTTGAACGAGAATGGGGAGAGAGTTTACACTCTGAAGGTATGTTTAGCAAGCTACTGTAACGTTTAGCAGTATTCAATGTGGAATAGAATCGTGTCCGCTCTATACACATATTAGCTACTTCTATTTTCAGCATTGTAATAAATTGGTTGTGTAGGACTTTATATGGTGTTATTGTAGCTAGGTCCTGATTTAACTAGCTAGTTAGCAAACGTTAGTTGTGTTCTCATGTCCTGCTTAGATGCCACCTCAACATCAACTAATGATGCAATTCATAACCTTCTCAAAGAGCTGGTCCACGTATCCAAACAACTTTTATTTTTCTGACTCTACAACTTGTATATAGAAAATGGGCCTGTCCAACACGAGTATAACATCCTAGCTATGTGACAAGTTCTACTAGGCTACTTGTTCATGTTATCACTTTTCTTCTCTCCCTCTTTTGCCTCTCGTTCTCACATGGCGTGGCTCAACAGAAGGTGGATCTATTGGGCCAGCCCACCAGTTCTGCCCATCCTGCCCGCTTCTCGCCTGATGACAAGTTTTCCAGGCACCGGGTGACCCTGAAGAAACGCTTCGGCCTCCTACTGACCCAGCAGCCCAGACCCATCCTGTGATTGGAGCATGGAACCAATACTTTCTCAATGACTATTATGGCTGATTAATGCTACGGGCCAACCCGTTGGCTTGGATATTTTCTTTTCACATTGTTCTTTCCAGCATGTTGTGATGGATGTGTAACCAGTACAGCTCAGCTTTGCCCAATACATGTGAATCAGGCTTTGATTTGAAAGAGGCTCGCTCCTCCATTGTTTGGGCCAGAGGGATGCAGATGGCTTTTGTTTGCTGGCATTTGTTGAGGATGTATGCTTTGGGGCTAGCCTGAGAGATCTGCTTATGAAATCTCAGGCTGGCCCCTATATAGGCTATTTGATCTGCTAGAATGCATTTTTAAATTGAGGTTTATTTTCGTCTTATGCGTTTACAGAACGAATGTATCATTTTGGACATCAAGTACTGCATTATGATTCTCCTGTAATCCATCATGTGGTTTCAGAGCTGTCAAATTGAACTGTAAAATTGATGTATTGTCAATATTTTTCTAAAGATCTTTTTGTTTTGGAGAATAAATGAAATGTGGAAAGTACATTGACTTGTAGTTACTGTTTCACTTTTTTTCTCAACTCTCTTTTGGTACATCTGGGACAAACCCTTTTTCTAGGGATTTATTGTTCCGCCCTACCCCGCATGCGCGAGATCTACATTACGGCAAGCGAAAGAGGTACTGAGAGGCGGGGGCTGGCGCGCGTTTCTGACTGTTGGACAAAGTGCCGACAATAAAGGATGAGGCGAGTACATGCATGGAGCTGCTATGGTTTCAATTCATTTTGAGAACTAGCAAGCCAAACAGCTGGATACATGGGACACGAGAAGACTATATACGCGCTATGTATATTGTTTGAAATATTTCAGTGAAGTTGTCGTAGAATTCTGTCAATTTCTATCCGGTGAACAAGGTACGTGTGAGTTAAGTCTGTCACAATTTAGCAGCGTGGCTAACAGCTAGCTAGCTACAGTATTACTGTAAATTCAACGGACGACAGTCGACTGATAAGGACAAGAAGTAGCTAACTTACTGTAAGGGGATTCCTTCATGATAAGCAAGACACAAACGTAGTAGGGTGTTCAGCTAGTTTATTTCGATACCATGACTTGAAAGTTGACACAAATTACCGTACACATATTGTGTAATTCCAGAAAATAAAGATTGTTTACGCCCACGGAACATCTGCATACGTTGACATGCTAATACATTGTTGACATGCCGCATCGTTTTGTCAACAAAAATGCTATAGCTAGCTAGCCATGCTAGCTGTAGTTTAAATATAGTTTATTTTTTCTAAATGTATTTCAACCGCGGGTTTGGAATATATTGATATGACAATTTTGCCTGACTGGTTCGAACTAGCTAGAAATGATAATTGGCTTAACTGTTAAGTGTAGTACTAGTTAGCCAGCCAACCGATACTAGCTAGCTCATCATATGGTATTTTAAGCAAGTGCACGTCGGTGTAACGTTATCAGTATGTTTAATCTGGATATTTGATGAGGCTTGTTCAGCGAACACAACTATCTTATTTCGCTTTACATGCGCCTGCGTTCCAACTAGTCACTACGTATTCATTTTGATTTAAACGGATGCATTTCAATCCAACAGTCGCATCCTTGTCTCACCTATATGCATAGATTCGTGGGATGGCAACCAAGGTTGTACCTAGCTATGAGACTAAAATAATTTCATACACCGATATGTAGCTTCAGTTCATGTGTACCCCACGAACTGACAAGATTGCCCAAACAATTTGCCACACCCCCGACTAGCTAAATATGCCTAGTAGAACACTAGAAAGACGAGTTGTACTACTCGAAATCATGCGAAACTAATAGCAAGCAACCATCCCATCGTTTACCTATGAGTAGCTGTCTACAATACAGCTACAGTACTGCACAAAGACATGAGTGCCTCCGCATGTGGCTCGGCTCGAGCTGCCACTGGCCCAACCGGTTGGAACCGCTCTGGTATAATAATTAAATTATAAACCGCACCAAAGCAACTACTCAACTGAATTACAAGTAACTGCCAAAATAAAGGAAACACTTGAGTAAATGAAGGATACAAAGTATATTGAAACCGGTGCTTCCACACAGATGTGGTTCTGGAGTTAATTAAGCAATCAACATAACATCATGCTTAAGGTCATGTGTATATCTATGAAGACACTTTATGTTGGTGTTTCCTTTATTTTGGCAGTTACCTGTACATCACAGAATTGAGTCAGAGCAAGGAGTCTGTTGTTCAGTCAGTGTTCTCACCTGGTTAACTTTTTGCAGTTTGCTCCCCTGAGAGGTATTTGTGAAAGCACATTCATCTGTTCTGCTCTCTGTCAGGTTAGGTTACTGAGTGACAGACATGTCATCAGTCATTAATCAAAACAAATGCCTTTTGTATACATCTTTCAGAAATATGAACTGTCACCTTCCATACTACATAACTGAACTCTAATAGCAGCTATCCTCCTTTTCTCTTCTCCTTTTTTCTCTCCCTTTGTCTTGGTTCTCTCCCCTTCCCTATTCCCCCCATCAATCCATCATTAGTCACTCATTGTCATCCATAGAGGAAATCTAAGCCATCACTAAGGTGCATATAACCACAGAGAAGAAGAAAAAAAACGTGTTTACTTGGGAATACGAGAGCAGAGGCAGATTTGACACTAGGCCTACATATTGATAGCCAGTCTTATTAAGCAATATAGTTCATTGTCAGGTCATTGGGGAAGGTATGAACACATGGTACTAATCCAGTTTCTGAACAAGCAATGAGATGCAATAATATTAATTGAAGTGAAAAGGGAATGCTATGCACTTTTTATTAATTTTTATAAAACCTGAATTGAAAGCTGAAGGGAAGTAAAAAAAAAAAAAAAAAAAATCTTAAGAGACACAGTTTCCTCCTCAATCTAATTAATTTGTTTACAATTTTAAAGTTTAGGCTCTATGTTAAACCATTACACATTCATCAAATGGAAAAAAGGCACACATATCTCATGACATTCATCCCACATGTGCCATTGAAACCAGTCCAATTCAATGGGGAAGTGCAGATTCAAGTGTAGTCGCCGTCTCCGCACAATCATTTGAATATTAGCTTAGCATAGGTTAGCCTTGCGTAGGTTAGCCTAGCATTGATTAGCTGAGCTAGCGTAGTTGGTGACCCTTGACCTCTAACCTTTGACCCCCATTCCTCCAAGACCCAATAATGGCGTCGGTACGGTTCACGGTGACGCCCACGAAGGCCGAGGACCTCCCGGGACTGTCGGACACCTCGCCGGACATCAGTTCCCGGTCCAGCGGCCGCGGCCACGTACGTTTTGGCTCGCGGGAGAGCGTGAACCGCAGTGAACCACTAAGCGAGGGGTCGGGAGGGCTCACCACAACTGGCGAAAACGAGACGCTCGACCGGACCAACACAGAGCAAGGTGACACATCACTTCTTGTGTGTGTGTGTGTGCAACAAGTTGACAACTTCGGGTTATTAATGGGTCGTGTTCATTAGGCACCAAACATAAAAAAAACAACTACTGAAACAGCGATTGACTATCTGGGCTTGTCTAATAGCAACCCTCATTTTCGTTTTCAATTGCAAAAAGTGTCCCATTGCATGCCCTAATGAACATGACCCTGTTTTGGACCGTTAGCCTAATTGCTCAACTGTTTGTGATGTCGCCCACTAGTGGCAGGGTACTGTCAATCATTCTTCTTGACAGAATCAGTGTCTATTACAATAATGGTCTCACTGTTAATAAGCAATTACTGGCTCCAGAAATAGTCTCAGCTGGGTTATCTCATTGGTGATGCTTTGGTTATTTATATCAAGAAAGGAGGAAAAGTAACACAACAAATTGAACAGGAAATGTACTTGCACAGGCTGATCTACAGAAGCAGGCACACGCACACATTTTAAATATTTTATTTGAATCCACAAATCATAATTCATACAATAAGGATTGTAACATTTCAGGGCAGGGATATGTGGGAAACGGAAAGCACCTTCTTCTCCACACAGCAAGGCTGCCCATGACTGCTGACACGGAGCAGTACCTGCTTCACCTTGGTCTTATGTAGGCCTGCAATCTGAAGGCCAGATACTGTCAGCCTGTGAACATGGCAGAGACTCCCCAATATAACCACAGCAAGCTTTCACTGATAGCCAAGGCTGTCCAGGTGTGTCACGAGGGGCTGGTGTGTAAGCTTGTCAGAAAAGGCCTGCTCCATGTTGCAGTCAAATGAGCAGCCCACCTCCAAAATCAGCACGTCTCTCTGGCCTCCCCCCGAACAACAACAATATTTGGCTTATTCGGCATACAAGAAAACACATCATCGTCAAACCAGGCTCCTCTGACAAGAGAATGTTTGTGTATGTGTGCTGGTGGTGAGAACACCTGTCTCACCTCAGTAGCTACCACGTCGACAAGGCAGTCATGTCTTGCAATGTACACGGCTTTGTATGAATGGCAACCATTAACAACATGTGCAACAGACTCCATTACATTTAATTTGGGGTGTAAAACACAGAACGGATCATGGTTTGCAGGGTACCAGAGTGTTAGGTTGTGTTTTGTGGGTAGAACTTACAGCCTCGCCTTAACAGTAAAGGTAAGAATGTCCTCGCCAATGGCAGTATTCTGGTACATGGAATGGGAGACAGAGTGGACAGCACAGTCCAGAGCAGCACGTTTCCCCTGCAGCCTCAGGCCAGTCCAGAGGTGCTGTAGCTGCATCTGTCTGATACAGAGTGTTGACCTGGATGTAGGATGAGATGTTCCGTCATGGGTGACCGAAGCCTCCACGACAACCCAACTGCATCACAGGCAGTCACTGTCTCAGTCTGCGTCAGTGGAGGCTGCTGAGGGGAGGACGGCTCATAATAATGGCTGGAACGGAGCCAATGGAATGGCATCAAACACACGGAAACCATGTGTTTGATGTATTGGATACCATTCCACTGATGAAGTTGACAGCACTCCATGGGCAGTCTGTTTATATACCAACCCTGAGTGGGATTGGTTCGTTTAGCTGCTTCCCACAGGAAACTTGGAGAAAAGAGCCTTTGTACACATCAGATATAATGTCTACATAAGCCAATTGTATTTCCTCAGGTGCATTGATCATTACACTGTGATAAAGTAACAAAGGCATCTCTAAAGTCCTAAACTTTGTGGATTCATGCTTGAAGCCATCGATTCCAAATGCTCATTCATGCCCTGTCTGTCTATATACACTACCTGACCAAAAGTATGTGGACACCTGCTCGTCGAACGTCTCATTCCAAAATCATCGGCATTAATATGGAGTTGGTCCCCTATTTGCTGCTATAACAGCCTCCACTCTTCTGGGAGCATTAGGTCGGGCACTGATGTTGGGCGATTGGGCCTGGCTCGCAGTCGGCGTTCCAATTCATCCTAAAGGTGTTCGATGGAGTTGAGGTCAGGGCTCTGTGCAGGCCAGTCGAGTTCTTCCACACCGATCTCGACAAACCATTTCTGTATGGACCTCGCTTTGTACACAGGGGCATTGTCATGCTGAAACAGGAAAGGGCTTTCCCCAAACTGTTGCCACAAAGTTGGAAGCACAGAATTGGCTAAAATGTAATTGTATGCTGTAGCATTAAGATTTCCCTTCACTGGAACTAAGGGGCCTAGCCCGAACCATGAAAAACAGCCCCAGACCATTATTCCTCCTCCACCAAACTTTACAGTTGGCACAATGCATTTGGGCAGGTAGCGTTCCCCTGGCATCCGCCAAACCCGGATTCGTCTGTCGGACTGCCAGATGGTGAAGCGTGATTCATTACTTCAGAGAATGTGTTTCCACTGCTCCAGAGTCCAATGGTGGCGAGCTTTACACCACTCCAGCCGTTGCTTGGCATTGTGCATGGTGATCTTAGGCTTGTGTGCTCGGTAGTTCCAAACTACGCGCTTCAGAACTCGCCGGTCCTGTTTTGTGAGCTTGTGTGGCCTACCACTTGCTCCTAGACGTTTCCACTTCACAATAACAACACTTACAGTTGAACGGGGCAGCTCTAGCAGGGCAGAAATTTGACGAACTGACTTGTTGGTAAGGTGGCATCCTTTGACTGTGCCACGTTGAAAGTCACTGAGCTCTTAAATAAAGCCATTCTACTGCCAATGTTTGTCTATGGAGATTGCATGACTGTGTGCTCGATTTTATACACCTGTCAGCAACGGGTGTGGCTGAAATGGCCAAATCCACTAATTTGAAGGGGTGTCCACATACTTTTGTATATATGCCTGTTGTTTGGGAGAGAAAATGCCTGTATCTACGAGCCATGGTGTGTGGGTGAGCAAGCATTTCATTAACACTTTATAGACAGAGGGTGATGCTTTGGTTATTTATATCAAGAAAGGAGAAAAGAAACATAACAAATCAATCAGGAATTGACTTGCTGATCTACAGAAGCACACCGACACACACACACCCGACACACACACACCGACACACACACACAGCTGAGACGATGCGGTGTACTGACTGAGCAGCCCTAACAGACAAAAGCAGTGGGGAGAGAGAGGCAGCTGTGTCATTTCAAGGAAGGTCAAGCGCGTGCAGAGATCGTTATTTTTAGTCCGTCTTGCCCACAAAGCAGTAATAGAAATTTGACAGACTCGCAACATGGATTCATTCACATCACACATTTTACCTCCAGACATCAGACACACGCACATGCAGGGTTACGCACACACACACACACACACACACACACACACACACACACACACACACACACACACACACACACACACACCTCAGGTGAGCACTATCTGGAGAGAGACCCCTTCCCAGGGGTACACACACACACAAAGAGTCTGTGCTTGTTGAAGTGTGATAAACTGAGGTATCAGGTAGAGGAGAGGTGTGTGTGTGTGTGCAGGGTGGTGCTGCCGGGGTGCGGCGGGGGAAGCCCGGAGGGGGCCTCTTTGGACTCAGAGATTTTTTGGCGTTTTTGAACACCATATATATATATGTTTTAGTCCACAGGGTGGTGCAGCACCTCTCTTCCATTCTTTGGGGAGAACCCTTTGTGTGTGTGTGTGTGTGTGTGTGTGTGTGTGTGTGTGTGTGTGGGAGAGTAGGAAAGGTTAGTTCTTCAGTCACCACCACAGGCTGTTCTTATCACCTTTGACTTGACCCTCCCCAGCCGATAAGGCTACCTTTGTGTGTGTTTGCTGGGGAGGGTGTGTTTGCTGGGGCGGTTGTGTTTGCTGGGGAGGGTGCGTTTGCTGGGGAGGGTGCGTTTCAAAATGTGAATGTTTCTTGGGAAATGTACACTGAGTGTACAAAACATTAGGAACACCTGCTCTTTCCATGACAGACTGACCAGGTGAAAGCTATGATCCGTTATTGATGTCACTTGTTAAATCCACTTCAATCAGTGTAGATGAAGGGGAGGAGACAGGTTAAAGAAGGATTTTTAAGCCTTGAGACATGGATTGTGTATGTGTGCCATTCAAAGGGTGAATGGGCAAAAAAAAATATTTAAGTGCCTTTGAACGGGGTATGGTAGTAGGTGCCAGGCGCACGGTTTTTGTCAAGAACTGCAACGCTGCTGAGTTTTTCATGCTCAACAGTTTCCAGTGTGAATCAAGAATGGTCCACCACCCAAAGGACATCCAGCCAACATGACACAACTGTATTTGTATTTATTAGGGATCACCATTAGCTGCCAAGGCAGCAGCTACTCTTGTTGGGGTCCAAACATATTAAAACACTTACATTACATATAAAACAAAATATAAATATAAATAACATTATTACACCACTACCTACAGTGAGGGGAAAAAAGTATTTGATCCCCTGCTGATTTTGTACGTTTGCCCACTGACAAAGGCATGATCAGTCTATAATTTTAATGTTAGGTTTATTTGAACAGTGAGAGACAGAATAACAACAACAAAATGAAAATAAAAACGCATGTCAAAAATGTTATAAATTGATTTGCATTTTAATGAGGGAAATAAGTATTTTACCCCTCTGCAAAACATGACTTAGTACTGGTGGCAAAACCCTTGTTGGCAATCAGAGGTCAGACGTTTCTTGTAGTTGGCCACCAGGTTTGCACACATCTCAGGAGGGATTTTGTCCCACTCCTCTTTGCAGATTTTCTCCAAGTCATTAAGGTTTCAAGGCTGACGTTTGGCAACTCGAACCTTCAGCTCCCTCCACAGATTTTCTATGGGATTATGGTCTGGAGACTGGCTAGGCCACTCCAGGACCTTAATGTGCTTCTTCTTGAGCCACTCCTTTGTTGCCTTGGGCGTATGTTTTGGGTCATTGTCATGCTGGAATACCCATCCACGACCCATTTTCAATGCCCTGGCTGAGGGAAGGAGGTTCTCACCCAAGATTTGACGGTACATGTCGCCGTCCATCGTCCCTTTGATGCGGTGAAGTTGTCCTGTCCCCTTAGCAGAAAAACACCCCAAAGCATAATGTTTCCACCTCCATGTTTGACGGTGGGGATGGTGTTCTTGGGGTCATAGGCAGCATTCCTCCTCCTCCAAACACGGCAAGTTGAATTGATGCCAAAGAGCTCGATTTTGGTCTCATCTGACCACAACACTTTCACCCAGTTCTCCTCTGAATCATTCAGATGTTCATTGGCAAACTTCAGACGCCTGTATATGTGCTTTCTTGAGCAGGGGGACCTTGCGGGCGCTGCAGGATTTCAGTCCTTCACGGCGTAGTGTGTTACCAATTGTTTTCTTGGTGACTATGGTCCCAGCTACCTTGAGATCATTGACAAGATCCTCCCGCGTAGTTCTGGCCTGACTCCTCACCGTTCTCATGATCATTGCAACTCCACGAGGTGAAATCTTGCATGGAGCCCCAGGCAGAGGGAGATTGACAGTTATTTTGTGTTTCTTCCATTTGCGAATGATCACACCAACTGTTGTCACCTTCTCACCAAGCTGCTTGGCGATGGTCTTGTAGCCCATTCCAGCCTTGTGTAGGTCTACAATCTTGTCCCTGACATCCTTGGAGAGCTCTTTGGTCTTGGCCATGGTGGAGAGTTTGGAATCTGATTGATTGATTGCTTCTGTGGACAGGTGTCTTTTATACAGGTAACAAGCTGAGATTAAGACCACTCTGTTTAAGAGTGTGCTCCTAATCTCAGCTCGTTACCTGTATAAAAGACACCTGGGAGCCAGAAATCTTTCTGATTGAGAGGGGGTCAAATACTTATTTCCCTCATTAAAATGCTAATCAATTTATAAGATTTTTAACATGCGTTTTTCTGTATTTTTCTGTTGTTTTTCTGTCTCTCACTGTTCAAATGTATTTTTTTTCTCACCTTTATTTAACCAGGTAAGCCAGTTGACATTTACAACTGCGACCTGACCAAGATAAAGTCATAATAAACCTACCATTAAAATTATAGACTGATCATTTCTTTGTCAGTGGGCAAACATACAAAATCAGCAGGGGATCAAATACTTTTTTCCCTCACTGTATCTACAATACAAAATGTTTAATACCACTATACAACAATATCACAATGCGTATGCATGTGTCTATACCTTTGTGTGTGTCTCTTCACAGTCCCCGTTGTTCCATAAGGTGTATTTTTACCTTGCATCAGTTACCTGATGTGGAATAGAGTTCCATGTAGTCGTGGCTCTATGTAGTACTGTGCGCCTCCCATAGTCTGTTCTGGACTTGGGGACTGTGAAGAGACCTCTGGTGGCATGTCTTGTGGGGTATGCATGGGTGTCCGAGCTGTGTGCCAGTATTCCAAACAGACAGCTCAGTACATTCAGCTTGTCAACACCTCTTACAAAAACAAGCAGTGATGAAGTCAATCTCTCTTCCACTCTAAGCCAGGAGAGACTGACATGCACGTCATTAATGTTAGCTGTTCGTGTACTTTTAAGTGCCAGCCATGCTGCCCTGTTCTGAGCCAACTGCATTTTCACCAAGTCTCTCTTTGTGGCACCTGACCACACTACTGAACAGTAGTCTAGGTGCGACAAAACTAGGGCCTGTAGGACCTGCCTTGTTGATAGTGTTGTTAAGAAGGCAGAGCAGCGCTTAATTATGGACATACTTCTCCCCATCTTAGCTACTGTTGTATCAATATGCTTTGACCATGACAGTTTACAATCCAGGGTTACTCCAAGCAGTTTAGTCACCTCAATTTGCTCAATTTCCACATTATTCATTACGAGATGTAGTTTAGGTTTAGGGTTTAGTGAATGATTTGACTTTTTGGAAATAATGCTTTTAGTTTTGGAAATATTTAAGACTAACTTATTCCTCGCCACCCATTCCGAAACTAACTGCAACTCTTTGTTAAGTGTTGCAGTCATTTCAGTTGCTGTAGTAGCTGACGTGTTTAGTGTTGAGTCATCCGCATACATAGACACACTGGCTTTACTCAAAGCCAGTGGCATGTCGTTAGTAAAGATGGAAAAAAGAAAGGGGCCTAGACAGCTGCCCTGGGGAATTCCTGATTCTACCTGGATTAGGTTTGAGAGGCTTCCATTAAAGAACACCCTCTGTGTTCTGTTAGACAAGTAACTCTTTATCCACATTATAGCAGGGGGTGTAAAGCCATAACACATACGTTTTTCCAGCAGCAGAATATGATCGATAATGTCAAAAGCCGCACTGAAGTCTAACAAAACAGCCCCCACAATCATTTTATCATCAATTTCTCTCAGCCAATCATCAGTCATTTGTGTAAGTGCTGTGCTTGTTGAATGTACTTCTCTATAAGCATGCTGAAAGTTTGTTGTCAATTTGTTTACTGTAAAATAGCATTGTATCTGCTCAAACACCATTTTCCCCAATAGTTTACTAAGGGTTGGTAACAGGCTAATTGGTTGGCTATTTGAGCCAGTAAAGGGGGCTTTACTATTCTTAGGTAGCGGAATGACTTTTGCTTCCCTCCAAGCCTGGGGGCACACACATTCTAGTAGGCTTAAATTGAAAATATGGCAAATAGGAGTGGCAATATCGTCCGCTATTATCCTCAGTAATTATCCATCCAAGTTGTCAGACCCCGGTGGCTTGTCATTGTAAATAGACAACAATTATTTTTTCACCTCTTACACACTCACTTTACGGAATTCAAAATTACAATGCTTGTCTTTCATAGTTTGGTAAAAAATACTTGGATGTGTAGTGTCAGAAATTGTTGCTGGCATGTCATGCCTAAGTTTGCTAATCTTGCCAATGAAAAAATTATTAAAGTAGTTGGCAATATCAGTTGGTTTTGTGATGAATGAGCCGTCTGATTCAATGAATGATGGAGCTGAGTTTGCCTTTTTTTCCAAAATTTCATTTAAGGTGCTCCAAAGCTTTTTACTATAATTCTTTGTCATTTATCCTTGTTTCATAGTGTTGTTTCTTCTTCTTTTTATTCAGTTCAGTCACATGATTTCACAATTTGCAATATGTTTGCCAACCGGTTGTGCAGTCAGACTTATTTGCCATTCCTTTTGCCTCGTCCCTCTCAACCATACAATCTTTAAATTCCTCATCAATCCACGGGGATTTAACCGTTTTTACAGTCATTTTCTTAATGAGTGCATGCTTATTAGTAACTGGAATAAGCAATTTCCTCAACTGTGGGAAGCATTGGAGTCAGCATGGGCCAGCATCCCTGTGGAACGCTTTTGACACCTTGTAGAGTCCATGCCCAACAAATTGAGGCTGTTCAGAGGGCAAAAGGGGGTGCAACTCAATATTAGGAAGGTGTTCCTAATGTTTTGTACACTCTGGATAAGAGCGTCGGCTAACTGACTAAAATGTAAATGTATTTGTAGATGTTTGTGTGTCTGGGTTGCAATGCGTGAGACAAGGGTGTCACAAGGATCATGCCTGTGTGTGTGTGTTTTGTTCAAGACGCAGTGTGTTTGTAGACATTTACCTATGCATGTCTGTGAGACTGTCACACGCATTTGTGTGTGTGTGGTAGAGGAGAGGGAACTGAGAGTGCTGATTCAGGGCCGTGCTGACGGAGGTAGAACTTTTTTTTTCTCCCTCTTTCTCTCCTTCCTCTCTCTATTTCTCACTCTCCCTTCCGTCTCTCTCTCTCTCTCTCTCTCTCTCTCCTCTCTCTCTCTCTCTCTCTCTCTCTCTCTCTCTCGCTCTCTCTCTCAGCAGGAGATGGCAATGCCAAAATGTCCAATGTCTACATCAACAACAGTCATGGGGTGGACGATGATGACTTCTACGACAGAAACCTGGCTCTCTTTGAGGTTAGAGCATCAATCAATAAATAAATCAACACTTTCAAGTGTTTGATGCACTCTGTTTTTATGAATATCTCATCATGTCTTTATCTCTCCTCTTTTGGCTCTCTCTGCCCTCCCCCTCTCGCTATTCCTCTTTCTCTCCCCCCTCCTCCTGCAGGAGGAGATGGACACTAGGCCGAAGGTATCTTCGCTCCTCAACCGTCTGGCCAACTACACCAACCTGACCCAGGGGGCCAGGGAGCACGAGGAGGCAGAGAGCATTGGAGAGAAGAGGAAGGCCTACAAGGTACACACCACTCTGACCCCTTTTATTCCTGGGATGGTACTTTGACCCCTGGCAGTAATATCTAAACGCTGTGATTCCCATGATGCTTTTAGGTTGTACTTTTGACTCCCTTGTTACTAACTGACGATTGCACTGACTTACAGCACCTTACATATACTGTAGAAGAGAATAGACCCAGGGATGTAAAATGTCTGACCGTTTATAAGATAACCTAATATAATCACACCTTGCACATCATAAATATGGTCAGGAGATTTTATTCTTTGGAAAATGCTTTGCTACGGTGTTCACTAATGAACAGGACCCTCATATCTAATGCTATGTCTGTCTCCCAGTCTCCTCAGATGGGTAAGTTCATGGGGGTGTACCTGCCCTGTCTGCAGAACATATTTGTGTTACGTTGTGCACTAATGAACACTAACCTTCCTATTCTCCTATGTGTGTCTCCCAGTCTCCCCAGATGGGTACGTTCATGGGGGTGTACCTGCCCTGTCTGCAGAACATATTCGGGGTGATCTTGTTCCTGCGTCTCACCTGGGTGGTGGGAACTGCCGGGGTGCTGCAGGCCCTCTGCATCGTCTTCATATGCTGCTGCTGCGTGAGGATAACACACACACACACACACACACACACACACACTCACAGACACTTGCAGACACACACACACACACACACACACACACACACAGTTTATTTGAATCCACCAATCACATTACAGTCGAGAAGGATTCAAACATTTCATAGGTCATGGATATATGGACACTTATGGATACAGGAAGCACCTTCTTCATTGACGATGGCAGTTACAACGGGTGGGCTTAAGTTATGTTAGTAGATTGCCATGTTTTGGCACAGAGCTGCAGCACTCATGGCTACTCCCGGCGAACACACACGGACAGATACAGATGGAGACACACACATATACTCATTTAGCAGACACTCTTATCCAGAGCGACTTAGTCAGACACACACAGAAAGTGTTTTAAGATAAGAGAACAGGAAGGAGATCATTGAAACAGGCCTGTTATGAGCAGTGCCCTGTAGATGGCGATTAGCAAGTATCTTTATATATACAGCTACTGCTCCTCTCTCATTCCACAGACTTTACTGACTGCTATCTCAATGAGTGCCATCGCCACCAATGGAGTTGTACCAGGTATTCCCTCCATCTCTCTCTCTCTTGTTGTCATCCAAGTGTATGTTTAATCATGTTTGTTAGGGTTTTAAAATGTCTGGTTACTTACTCCAGAATTCCCAGGTTTTCAGGACTTTTGGGAAAGTTATCTGAATTTTGCAACTCTGTCTCAGTGATGTATGTGTCAGACCTGGGTTCAAATACTATTTGAAATCTTTAAAAAATACTTTTAGCTTTTGGTGTGTAGTCTGGCAGTTTTATGACTATTCTATCGCTTCCATTGCTCCAGGCAAGATAAAGAAAAAATATTTGAAATCATTTCAAATTATATTTGAACCCAGGTCGGGTTTGTCTGTGTTCGTTCTAACGTCTGATCTGTCTCTGCCTCTCCCCTCTCTGACTGTACACATTGAAACATAGTGTCCTCCCCCATCAATACCATTCACCTCTAGTAAAACCATAGAAATAGAACAAGTAATGAAACACACATAATAAATTAATAATGAATAATACAATCTTTCTAATTCTGAGTGAAACAACACTCACACTGGAAATATCCCAAATGTCAAAGTTGTCGTTGAACAATTCTAACATATTCTTTTGATATTTGAATATGAAGAAAATCAATTTCAGTTGATTTGAACGATTACATCTGACAACATTGTAGTTAGCATCAGTAACATGCACTAAGTCCTTACAAAATCCATGCTTCTTCTCTCTGCAAAGCTACATTTCTTCCATTGATCTCCCTCATCTATGGGCCCTGGTCAAAAGTAGTGCACTATATAGGGAATAGGATGCCATTTGGGACTCAACCTTTGCTCATTGCTACAGTCTTAGTGTGTTGTCTCTCATCATCATAATACTGTACTGTTCTACTCTCTTCCATGCTCTTTCTCCTTCTCTCCCTTTTTGTCTTCCGTAACGCCCATAATGATACTAACACCCATCCCATTACTTCTCTCCCTCCCTCCCACCCCCTCCTTCTCCATCCCTCTCTCTTTACTTCTCTCCCTCCCACCCCCTCCTTCTCTATCCGTCTCTTCTCTCCCTCCCACCCCCTCCCTCTCCATCACTCTCTCTTTACTTCTCTCCCTCCCACCCCCTCCTTCTCCATCCCTCTTTTCTCTCTCTTCCCCCCTCCTCCCCCACCCCTTCCCCTTCTCTGTCTCTTCTCTCTCCCTCCCCCCATCTTGCGTTCCCCCTCTTCTCTCCTCTCCAGCAGGCGGTTCCTACTTCATGATCAGTCGTTCTCTAGGGGCCAGAGTTTGGGGGGGCGGTGGGGCTGTGCTTCTACCTGGGCACCACTTTCGCCGGGGCCATGTACATCCTGGGAGCCATCGAGATCCTGCTGGTGGGTGGGAGAGCCTTCGTTGCCCCCTCCTCTTCCTCACCATCATTATAACCATCATTATCATCATCATTATAATGTCATTATCATCATCATTATAATGTCATTATCATCATCATTATAACCATCATTATCATCATTATAACCATCATTATAACCGCCATCAAATGTCTCTGATATTCATTATCATCGTTATTGTATGTTCATGTTGACTGTATACAGTGCATTCGGAAAGTATTCAGACCCCTTGACTTTTTCCACATTTTGTTAGGTTTCAGCCTTATTCTAAAGTTGATTAAATTGTTTTTTCCCCTCATTAATCTCCACACAATACCCCATAATGACAAAGCAAAAACAGGTTTTTAGAATTTTTGGCAAATGAATTAAAAATAAACAACAGAAATATATTTACATAAGTATTCAGACCCTTTACTCAGTACTTTGTTGAAGCACCTTTGGCAGCGATTACAGCCTCAAGTCTTCTTGAGTATGACGCTACAAGCTTGGCACACCTGTATTTGGGGAGTTTCTCCCATTCTTCTCTGCAGATCCTCTCAAGCTATGTCAGGTTGGATGGGGAGTGTCGCTGCACAGCTATTTTCAGGTCTCCAGAGATGTTCGATTGGGTTCAAGTCCGGGCTCTGGCTGGGCCGCTCAAGAACATTCAGAGACTTGTCCCGAAGCCACTCCTGTGTTGTCTTGGCTGTGTGCTTCGGGTTGTTGTCCTGTTGGAAGGTGAACCTTCGCCTCAGTCTGAGGTCCTGAGTGCTCTGGAGCAGGTTTTCATCAAGGATCTCTCTATACTTTGCTCCGTTCATCTTTCCCTCGATCCTGACTAGTCTCCCAGTCCCTGCCGCTGAAAAACATCCCCACAGCATGATGCTGCCACCACCATGCCTAACCATAGGGATGGTGCCAGGTTTCCTCCAGACGTGACGCTTGGCATTCAGGCTAAAGAGTTCAATTTGGTTTCTTCAGACCAGAGAATCTTGTTTCTCATGGTCTGAGAGTCCTTTAGGTGCCTTTTGGCAAACTCCAAGCGGGCTGTCATGTGCCTTTTAATGAGGAGTGGCTTCTGTCTGGCCACGCTACCATAAAGGCCTGATTGGTGGAGTGCTGCAGAGATGGTTGTCCTTCTGGAAGGTTCTCCCATCTCCACAGAGGAACTCTGGAGCTCTGTCAGAGTGACCATCGGGTTCTTGGTCACCTCCCTGACCAGGCCCCTTCTCCCCAATTGCTCAGGTTGGCCAGGCGGCCAACACTACGAAGAGTCTTGGTGGTTCCAAACTTCTTCCATTTAAGAATGATGGAGGCCACTGTGTTCTTGGGGATCTTCAATGCTGCAGAAATGATTTAGTACCCTTCCCCAGATCTGTGCCTCGACACAATCCTGTCTGGGAGCTCTACGGACAATTCCTTCGACCTCATGGCTTGGTTTTTGCTCTGACATGCACTGTCAACTGTGGGACTTTATATACACAGGTGTGTGCCTTTCCAAATCATGTCCAGTCAATTGAATTTACCACAGGTGGACTCCAATCAAGTTGTCGAAACATCTCTAGGATGATCAATGGAAACAGGATGCACCTGAGCTCAATTTCGAGTCTCATAGCAAAGGGTCTGAATACTTATGTAAATGAGGTATTTCAGTTTTTAATTTTTAATACATTTGCAAAAATGTCATTATGGGGTATTGTGTGTAGATTGATGAGGAAAGCAATCAATTTAATCTACTTTAGAATAAAGCTGTAACGTAACAAAATGTGGAAAAAGTCAAGGGGTCTGAATACTTTCCCAATGCACTGTAAGTGTTCACATTACACGGACAGTTTTGTCAGCATGGGCATTCATATATACCATATGTATCTCCGGCATCTACTCCCCCTCACCAATCCATATATATTGTTTGATTTTGAGTGTATGTTATCTTAACCCCCCTCCCCCCTTCTCCCCCCCCCTCCCAGATGTACATCGCCCCATGGGCGGCCATCTTTGTCTCCAGCGGTCCGGACGGTGAGGGAGCAGCCATGTTGAACAACATGAGGGTCTACGGCACCATCTTCCTCCTCCTCATGGCGTTACTGGTCTTTGTCGGCGTCAAATATGTCAACAAGCTGGCGTCTGTCTTCCTGGCCTGTGTTATCATCTCAATCCTGTCCATCTACACCGGAGCGCTGGTCTCTGCCTTCAGCCCACCCAGTTTCCCGTGAGTTCCTCCTTTGTGATGGTAGAACGGTTTGATTGACAGATTCATGGTATTATCAGAGTTGATTATGGGTTCCATTTTAGTCTCAAAGAAATAAGAAACTAATCTGATGTGTTTCCATTGACATGCCTGATTACACTTTCATCGGCAGTAACACCAGGGAGAAACCTGAGAACGTTGTAACCACTCTCATTGAAACATACACGTACCCTTATTGACCCATTGTATCTGTCAAGAATTTCACACCACCCTTACTGCCAAACACTTAAACTTGACTGATGCCCTAATCGACCAATCTGTTCACTGTCGTCTCTGTGATTGACCAATCCCGTGCTCTAATCCTCTCCTCCTCCCTCCTCCTCAGGGTGTGTATGCTGGGTAACCGTACCCTGTCAGGACACATCCTCCATGATAGTCCCTGTGCCAAGACCACCCTGCCCAAAGAACCACCCAGACCTGTGGATACCAACCTTACACTCGCAGGTAAGACCATCAATATTACCTTTCAATTTGAAAAAATGCCATAGTCAATTATAATGAGAAACATTTTTATGTGCTAATGTTAACCCTCAGTTCTCTCTCGGTCGATTCTGTTTGGCATCTCACTATGGGACACGCCCACTTGCGGGTCATTTGCTGAAGCCTTAATCAATCACGCCTAACAGGCCAATCAAGACTTTGAAGGTGTTAGATCTGCCTGCCATTCTAACACTGTTAGAATTCCTCATTCTCCACCTCTTTACTCGCTTGTTCATTATCGTCCCTAATATCAACTAATCAACCAATTATTCTCCTAGGAAACGGCACGGTGCCCTCAACCTTTGATCCCTCCCTGCCCTCCTCTGAGGCGACCACGGCCCTGTGGCTGCAGTTCTGTGAAGGCCCAGACCTCAACGCTTCCTGTGACAACTACTTTACCCTCAGCAACATCTCTGAGATACCTGGCATACCAGGCCTGGCCAGTGGAGTTATCACAGGTACATTCTCTGTCTCTCTCTCTTTCTCTCGCTCTCTCTCTGTCTCTGTCTCTCTCTCTAATACTTTGTGTTCTCCCCATAGAGAACATATGGAGTGTTTACCTCAGTAAAGGGGACGTCCTGGAGAAAGGGTCACTCCCCTCGCCCAGACCCCGCCCACCCACCCACCAATCGGCTGCCCTATGTCTTCGCTGACATCACCACCTCCTTCACGCTGTTGGTGGGAATCTTCTTCCCCTCAGTCACAGGTATTTTCCCTCCTCTTTTTGTCTCTCCTGATCCCAATACCTCCCTACCCTCTTGGACCTCTTGATGTTTATATCGGTATAAGCCGTGCAGCGGTGGAGCTCCCACCATAATGTGTACAGCTCTGCAGAAACAGAGGGGAGGGGTAGGGAGGGATTTGGGACAGGCTGTCCCAGCTGTAAAATTATTTGTGGCTTCATACACCAACCCTGTTGTGACACAAGTCTCTCTCTCTTTCTCTCTCTCTCTCTTTCTCTCTCTCCCGCATCACTATATTCCTTCCACTTCTCCCCTCTCCAGGTATAATGGCTGGTTCTAACCGGTCTGGGGACCTGAAAGATGCTCAGCGATCCATCCCCATAGGAACCATCATGGCCATCCTCACTACGTCCCTCGTCTGTATCCTTCACTATGGACAATAAAGCTTTCAGATTTCGAATTGAGAATATCTATCTGGTTGTGTCCGAATTGACACCCTATTACCTACATAGTGCACTACATTTGACTAGGGCTCTTGTCAAAAGTAGTTCAGTGTTTAGGGGGACATTTCAGACACAACCTAGAACAAAGCTTTTGTATTTTGAATTGAAAATATGTCACATCTAAACTCTGTCCTAATCTTAGAATTAGAATGATTCTAGTTACACACACCTGCATACTGCTTAGTGTGTGGTAATGGGTTGATATTGGGACAGAGTTCAGGACTCTGTTGTGTTGTGGTTTAGGTGTGATGTGACTAGTGGGTTACTTACCTGAGTGGCCTGGACAGACCTGAGCAGTGTGGTGCTGTTTGGAGCCTGCATCGAAGGAGTGGTGCTCAGAGACAAGTTAGTATATTGTTGTCTGTTTGTGTGTGTTTCAGGGTGAGGTTCATTTAAATTCAGTCAATTTAGGAAGTAAACTGAAATTGATGTGTGTCTTGGCCTTCTTAGGACAAATTCTGTGGTCACACTAACTGACCTGTCTGTCTGTCTGAAGGTTTGGAGACTCAGTGAAGTCACACTAACTGACCTGTCTGTCTGTCTGATGGTTTGGAGACTCCGTGAAGTCACACTAACTGACCTGTCTGTCTGATGGTTTGGAGACTCCGTGAAGTCACACTAACTGACCTGTCTGTCTGATGGTTTGGAGACTCCGTGAAGTCACACTAACTGACCTGTCTGTCTGTCTGTAGGTTTGGAGACTCAGTGAAGTCACACTAACTGACCTGTCTGTCTGTCTGAAGGTTTGGAGACTCCGTGAAGTCACACTAACTGACCTGTCTGTCTGTCTGATGGTTTGGAGACTCAGTGAAGTCACACTAACTGACCTGTCTGTCTGATGGTTTGGAGACTCAGTGAAGTCACACTAACTGACCTGTCTGTCTGATGGTTTGGAGACTCAGTGAAGTCACACTAACTGACCTGTCTGTCTGTCTGATGGTTTGGAGACTCAGTGAAGTCACACTAACTGACCTGTCTGTCTGATGGTTTGGAGACTCAGTGAAGTCACACTAACTGACCTGTCTGTCTGATGGTTTGGAGACTCAGTGAAGTCACACTAACTGACCTGTCTGTCTGTCTGAAGGTTTGGAGACTCAGTGAAGTCACACTAACTGACCTGTCTGTCTGTCTGTAGGTTTGGAGACTCGGTGAAGGGAAACCTGGTGGTGGGAACCCTGTCTTGGCCCTCCCCCTGGGTCATTGTGATTGGCTCCTTCTTCTCGACGTGCGGCGCTGGCCTCCAATCACTGACGGGCGCTCCCCGCCTCCTCCAGGCCATCGCCAAGGACAACATCATCCCCTTCCTCAGGGTGAGATATACTACAACACTCGTTTATCTATCTCCTTTCTCTCTCTCTCTCTCTCTGATGTTATAATGTTCTCTCTGTCCAGGTTTTTGGTCATGGCAAGGCAAATGGAGAGCCTACCTGGGCTCTGCTCCTGACAGCTCTGATCGCTGAGCTGGGAATCCTCATTGCTTCTCTGGACCTGGTGGCACCCATCCTCTCCATGTGAGTGTGTGTTTCTTGGAGAGAGAGCGAGAAAGTGTGTGTGTGTGTGCATGAGAGTGATTGTGCGTTTGTCTGAGTGTATGGATAATGATCCAGTGGAGCCTGAGTCCCACATCTCCCTCTCTCTGTAGGTTCTTCCTGATGTGCTATCTGTTTGTCAACCTGGCCTGTGCTCTGCAGACGCTCCTGAGAACTCCCAACTGGAGACCACGCTTCTCCTACTACCACTGGTATGCATACGCATCAGTGGAGGCTGGTGGGAGGAGCTATAGGAGGATGGGCTCATTGTAAAGACTGGAATGGAATCAAAGGAACAGTATCAAACATAAAATATATGGAAACCACGTTCCATCCATTCCATTCCAGCCATTACAATGAGCCCGTCCTACAGCTCCTCCCACCAGTCTCCTCTGTCACACACATTCTATATACTTTATGTACGCATCTCATTTTTATGAATGGAGAAGGACTTTTCAAGTGTGATTGACTATTTTCTATTTCTCTCTTTCTCAAGTGCGATCAGGGCTTGACATTACCTTTTTTGTTGTCAAAAATGGTCTGTAACACCGATCAATGTATGATGCAAGGAACCCCTTTACAAAATAAAATGCATTAGTATCTTTTTTTACCATAGAGAATCAGACAAAAATATTGGCTTCTCTGCATATTAAAGTATTTCTCAAAATACAACACTGCCCCTTTAAGGCTCTCCTGGAGGATGATTGGCCACCCTTGGTAGCCTATAAAATATTACAACATTACAATTACAATTGATCCCATTCTGATCGGAGTAATTGTTTTGATATTGCGATATTATAGTTTTTTTGACTTGTCCATTCAGACAACTTGAATCTATATTCTTCTTGTTCGACAATTTTATTTTTACTTGTCCTATTTATTTATTTTACTCGTCCCGGACAAGCATTAATGTTGAGCCCTGCGTGATGATTGATTATCTTCTCTCTCTCTGTCTCTCTCTCTCTGTCTGTCTCTCTCTCTCTAGGACCTTGTCATTTTTGGGTATGATCATCTGCTTGGCGCTGATGTTCATATCGTCATGGTACTATGCTATTGTTGCTATAGTGATTGCTGGCATGATCTACAAATACATCGAGTACCACGGGTAGGTTTCCATGGGGACCTGCTGGAACCAGCCAGTTGTATCGGTGTGTGTGTGTTTCAGATTTTGTGGTGTGTGTGTGGGCTTGTGTGAATGGAGGTCACAGAAATCCAAAAATATATTTTGTGAAGGAAGATGAATATATTTAGACAAAGTGTGGGTGTATGAGTTGTCTAATAATGTGTGTGTGTGTGTGACCCTGCGTGTGTTTCAGGGCAGAGAAGGAGTGGGGAGATGGTATCCGGGGTCTGTCCCTCAGCGCTGCTCGCTACGCCCTCTTGAGGTTGGAAGAGGGACCACCACACACCAAGAACTGGAGGTATAGTAGACACAACCACACACACACACACACACAGCCACACACACACACACACACAGCCACACACACAACCTCATACACACACACACACACACACACACATACAGCCATCTATACACACCAAGAACTGGAGGTAAAGTATAGCAGTATACCGTTAACAGCGACACGCACACACACACACACTCATGCACAACCACTCATGTATACACACCCAATCTCACGCCTTTACAATCTCACTCTCTCTCTCTCTCTCCCTCCTCCAGACCCCAGCTCTTAGTTCTATTGAAGTTAGATGAGGATGCCTATGTCAAGTCTCCCCGCCTGCTAACCTTTGCATCTCAGCTGAAGGCAGGTAAAGGTCTGACCATCGTAGGGACCGTCATCACTGGAAACTACCTCCACAGCTATGGAGAGGCACTGGCTGCAGAACAGGTCGGTCTCTCTTTTCTCTCTGTCTCGCTCTCTTGGTGCATTTCTCCAGAACTGTTTCAAAAATACCTCTTCTAACTTCCTCCCCTCATCTCTCCCCTCTTCTTCTCCCCCCTCTCTTTTACCCTCTTTCATGCTTCTAATTTTGTCTTTCTCTTTCAGACTCACCTGATGGATAAGGTGAAGGATCTGTAGGTGTATCGTGTTATAACAACTATTTATCTCTCTCTCTCGCTCCATCCCTCCCCTCTCTCTCTCTCTCTCATCTCTCTCTCTCCATCCCTCCCCCCTCTCTCTCTCTCCATTCCCTCTCTCGCTCTCATCCCTCCCCCCTCTCTCTCTCTCTCTCTCCATCCCTCCCCCCTCTCTCTCTCTCTCTCCATTCTCCTCCTCTCTCTCTCTCCTCCCCCCCTCTCTCTCGCTCATCTCTCCCTCTCACCTCTCTCCCTCCTCTCCTCTCTCTCTCTCTCCATCCCTCCTCTCTCCTCTCTCTCTCTCCTCTCCATCTCCTCCTCTCTCTCCTTCCATCCCTCCCGTCCCTCTCTCTCTCTCTCTCTCTCCCTTCTCCCCTCCCTCTCCCCCTCTCCTCTCTCCTCTCTCCTCTCTCTCTCTCTCCTCTCTCCGATGCCTGCGTCCTCTCCTGCTCATCCCTCCTCTCTCTCTCGTCTGCTCTCTCCTCTCTCTCTCTCTCGCTCTCTCTCTATATATCTCTCTCCCTCCCCTCCCTCCTGTAGACTCTGAAGCACCAGATGGACAAGGAGAAGGTGAAAGGGTTCTGTCAGTGTATTGTGGCTAACAAAGCCAGGGAGGGCATCAGTCACATGATCCAGTCCAGTGGGTTAGGAGGAATGAGGCACAACACTGTGGTTATGGGCTGGCCCCTGGCCTGGAGGCAGAGTGAGGATCCACAGTCCTGGAAGACCTTTATCAGTGAGTACAGTACAGGAGAGGAGAGGAGAGGAGAGGTGTGTGTGTGTGTGTGTGCTTGCTTTCTCATCAGGCATCACGGCAAAAGCCATGAGGCAAGGGGAAATCAAGAGGAATCATTGAATGGTACCATTACTGCCATCTGTTTGTCAAGCAAGGCAACTGGCCCTTTGAATTTGACTACCTGCTATCTAACTTTGAGCCATTGCAGTTTGACTAAACAGTGCCCCCTCTCTCTCTCTGTGTGCGTGCGTCCTCCAGACACGGTGCGTGTGACGACAGCGGCTCACCTGGCCCTACTTGTGCCCAAGAACATCTCTCTGTTCCCCGGCAACAGCGAGCCCTGCGCGGAGGGATACATTGATGTGTGGTGGATCGTCCACGACGGGGGCATGCTCATGCTACTGCCCTTCCTACTGAGGCAACACAAGGTCAGATAAAGGATGTGTTTGTGTCTACTACACTTTAAATCTGACATTTAGTCATATCATTTAGTCCTATCATTTAGTCCTATCATTTAGTCATATTTAGTCATATCATGCCATCGTCCTCTCGTAGAGAGAAAGGTTGTGTACACCTGTATGTGACTCATGTTGTTGTGTTTCCATCCCCAGGTGTGGCGTAAGTGTGCGATGCGTATCTTCACGGTGGCTCAGATGGAGGATAACTCTATTCAGATGAAGAAGGACCTGGCTACCTTCCTCTACCACCTCCGCATAGAGGCTGACGTTGAAGTGGTGGAGATGGTAGGTTTTTGCATAGACCTAATAATAACTTGAGACCCACGCACATTACTCAAACGTTCATGTAAAAATGCCGGAGCGTACTGTTGATCAAGAAATATTTTTGTATTTCGATATTGATCGCCAGCTAAGAGCTATATGTTAGGCTTTGTTCATTTGACCCATGAGAAACTGTCTTTCTCTCCCCCTCCCCCTCTCCTCTCTCCTCTCTACCCCTCTCCTCTCTACCTCTCTCCCTCTCCTCTCTACCCCCTTATTCTCTCCCCCCCTCTCCCCTCTCCTCCCTCCCCCCTCTCCCCTCTCCTCTCTACCCCCCTCTCCTCTCCTCTCTACCACCTATTCTCTCCCCCTCTCCTCTCTCCCCTCTCTCCTCTCTACCCCCCTCTCCTCCCTCCCCCTCTCCTCTCTCCCCCTCCCCCCTCTGCTCTCTCTCCCCCTCTCCTCTCTCTCTCCCCTCTCTCCTCTCTACCCCCCCTCTCCTCTCTCCCCCTCTCCTGTCTCTCTCCCCTCTCTCCTCTCTACCCCCCTCTCCTCTCTCCCCCTCTCCTCTCTCTCTCCCCTCTCTCCTCTCCTCTCTAACCCCCCTCTCCTCTCTCTCTCCCCCTTCCTGTCCTCTCTCCCCTCATCTCTCCGTCTTAGGCCCCCCTCGTCCTCTCTCCCCTCTCTCCTCTCTATCCCCCCTCCCCCCTCTCCTCTGTCCCCCTCTCCTCTCTAACCCCCTCTCCTCTCCCCTCTCCTGTCTCTCTCTCCCTCTACCCCCTCTCCTCTCTCCCCTCTCTCCTCTCTCCCCCCCTCAGTCCTCTCTCCCCCTCTCCTCTCTCCCTCTCTCCTCTCTCCCCCTCTCCTCCTCCCTCTCCCCCTCTCCTCTCTCCCCCTCTCCTATCTCCCCCTCTCCTCTCTACCCCCCGCGGTCCTCTCTCCCCCTCTCCGTATCTCTCTCTCCCTCTCTCCTCTCTACCCCCCTCTCCTCTCTCCCCTTCTCCTCCCCTCCCCCCTCTCCTCTCTCTCTCTCCTCTCCTCTCTCTCTCCTCTCCTAGCATAACAGTGACATCTCAGCCTACACCTATGAGAGGACTCTGATGATGGAGCAGAGGTCTCAGATGCTCAGACAGATGAGGCTGTCCAAGTCTGACCGAGAGAAAGAGGTGCGGATGCCTCAACAAGTGTGTTTGTTTCATAGTTCTGTTTCCATATGTGTGTGTGTGTGTGTGTGTGTGTGTGTCAGTGTGTGAGTGAAAGTTCATCTTCACCTCATCTGCCTATCGTTGTGTTCCTTAGCGAGTTCGCTGGAGTTTAGATGAAGTAAGTTTGCTGTCTGCTCAGTAGTAATTGACTCCCAGCTGTCTCGTAGACTACGTAGTGCTATCCTGCAGCCTACATATCTCTAGACATAAGCTGTCCTGTGTTAGAGAGTGTGTATCAGGGTCGTATTCAATAGGCACCGAACGGGAGAAAACGGACTGAAACAGGGAGGGGACGGCCTGAACTTGCCTAACAAGAAACACCCGTTTTTGTTTTCCATTGCAAAACGTTTTGCTACGGTGTTCCTTAATGAATACCACCCTCTACTAGGGCTGGGTGATATGGCCTAAAAAACACATCATATTTCTTTTCAAACTTATGGCCGATTCACGATATATATCTCGATATATAAAAAAAAAAAATTATGACGTTTTCTCTAAATAGTCTTTGTTGCACAATTAAAGGACAATACACAGCATTTCAGACAGTCAGGAATAATCTAATTAATTTTGGGCTTATAAAATTATACCTAAGCTAAATATAAGCCTTCCACAACCATAAGACCCATTCATAATTTAACTATTTTAACTTGCTTTTTTGCAATAATCACTGATCTGGCTTTCAAGTCTGTATATGAAAATGCAACTTTTCTTACAAAAATAACTATGCACATCCACTAATAATGGTAGCAGGGATTATAGAAAATTAATTCCAGTCTCATAAACAATCTCTCAAGCACAAGCCCATGTGCTAGTGAGTAGCCAGCTAATCTTTCTATTTAAAGTCTAGCCAACTTGGATCTATTTGCTTGCTAACAAGGTAGAACAGTTGAACTGTTATTAATACACACTTCAGTCCGTCTCCAACAGTTTGAACAACAGCCTGTTCACTTTGTTTAGATATTTCAATCAAGTAGCCTACCTTGATAAGATGCTTATTTCTCAGAATGAGAACGAGTTGCCAATTCCTTATATAAATGTGTATTTTTATGGTCATTGCACATTTCTATATAAATGTGTATTTTTATGGTCATTGCACATTTCTTAACCACAGACTAGACAGCTAGCACATAACAGTCTGTGGTTAAAATGCCGATAGCAGTATATGGTACTGCAATGCTGCACGTGACAGAAAGTGAGCATTCATTTTCCACACTCATGTTCATTGATCCTCTGGTTTTAGTAGGGTCTGCTCTGTTCTACATTTTGGGAGTTGAGACATAAAAAGGGTATCGTTGGAAAGTTCTCGTCTATTACAGTAAAATAATGTCTCAAAGCGTTTCGGTGTCCATATGACAGATTCTGTTGGACCAAACCTCAAATGCAAATAGCGAGTTTAAACTGCTTGTTGTCAGAGAGGAAGAAGTGATCTTTAAGTCTTTTGAGTGGCAGGGGGAGGGGATTGGTGTCTGTGTGCAAGTGGGAAGGCACACAGCACAGAAGGAGGAGGGGCTTGGTGTCTGTGTGCGAGTGGGAAGGCGCACAGAAGGAGGAGGGGCTTGGTGTCTGTGTGCGAGTGGGAAGGCACACAGCACAGAAGGAGGAGGGGCTTGGTGTCTGTGTGCGAGTGGGAAGGCACACAGCACAGAAGGAGGAGGGGCTTGGTGTCTGTGTGCGAGTGGGAAGGTACACAGCACAGAAGGAGGAGGGGCTTGGTGTCTGTGTGCGAGTGGGAAGGTACACGGCACAGAAGGAGGAGGGGCTTGGTGTCTGTGTGCGAGTGGGAAGGTACACAGCACAGGAGGAGGAGGGGCTTGGTGTCTGTGTGCGAGTGGGAAGGTACACAGCACAGAAGGAGGAGGGGCTTGGTGTCTGTGTGCGAGTGGGAAGGTACACAGCACAGAAGGAGCGAAGGAGACGAGACCAAAAAGACAAAACGCTCATAAAAACATTAAATAAATTACCTTGATTCAGGCATTTGGAACATCGCGTTAAAACATATATTCAAATGAATTGGATATATCGCCCAGCCCGACCCTGTACTCAGTGACTGTGTGTCTTTTGTAGGTGTCTTTTTCTCCCAGGTGTGCGAGAGAGAGAGTATTTGTAAATGTGTGTGTTACACATTCTCTCCGTCAGGCCCAGTTAGTAAAGGACCGTAACTCCATGCTTCGGCTAACCAGCATTGGCTCTGACGATGACGAAGACACCGACGGGGGTGGAGGCCCCACAGGAAATGCCGAAAAGGGAGGAGGAGCAGCCGGAGGAAGGGAAAGGGATGGAGGGATGTCAGCCTCGGAGAACAGACGAGTCCACATGACCTGGACCAAGGAGAAAGCCTTGCAGTACAGAGCGACACACTCCGGCTGCAGTACGCCAGAGGGCTTCAGAGACATGCTCAGCATCAGGCCGTAAGTCACACACACACACACGCATGGACACACACACATGCATGCATGGACACACACACACATGAATGGAGGTACACACACAAATGGATATTGATGATTGTTGTTATTAATGATGTCTTTCTCCCAGGGACCACTCCAACGTGCGGCGGATGCACACGGCCGTCAAGCTCAACGAGGTCATCGTCAACAAATCCCATGATGCTCGGCTGGTCCTGCTCAACATGCCGGGACCGCCACGGAACCCAGCCGGAGACGAAAACTGTATCCTTCACTTCCTGTATGTCTCTTCCTGTGTACCAGGGTTGGACTCAATTCCATTTCAATCCATTTCTTTTTCACCTCCTTAATTGAGTGAATTGAAAATGAACCGATATCTGTGTGTTCTGTCATAGCTATAGAAGACAGTAGTAGTTGTGGTAGTTACAGTATGATGATTTTTATTGTTATTGAGAACTTTTCCTAACAGTGGACCAGTCCTTAACCGATGGTCAGATATGGAATTTCTGGAAGTTCTAACTGAGGGATTGGAACGTGTCCTATTGGTCAGGGGTGGAGGAAGTGAAGTCATCACCATCTACTCCTGATTTGCTCACACAAACCAACTACGTCAGAGCAGCCAATCACGTGGAAGAGAATGCAAAGGGAGGTATGGCTAAGGAGCCCTGGAGGTGTGGCCCCTCCGTCAGACAGCACAAAGATGGACTGTCATTGGCTGCAGCTTGGATAGACCCCTCCCATCACCCCGCTGTCAGTCATTATTCCTAGGCTTCCCCATTCCACTAAAGACAAGCTACAAAAAGCCAACACGATTCCTCAAGTGAACAGTGTGCGAGAGTTCTCATAATGTGTGTGTGTCTAAGTGTACGAGAGATATTAATCTCAACATATAATACAAAAAGGACCAGCCCATGTGACTAGACCAGGACAACTCCTGGCCCTGGTTATAGCTGATAACTAGGGCCCTGAGTTTTTCCCCTGATCAGGTCACATGGTCAGGAAAAACTCCTGGCCCCCCACATAATGCACAATAATATACAGCAGTTGGATCAGGGACCAGTGTTTACGTCCCAAATGGCACCATATTCCCGATAGTGCACTACTTTTGCACTAAATAGGGAATAGGGTGTGATTTGGGATTTACAACGTGCAGTATGAGCATGTGTGGACCAATGGATGATAGTCATAACTTAGTAGACAGACAGACCATATAGAATCGACAACATCCTAGAACATCTATATAGAATCTAGAACATCATTATACAATCTAGAACATCTATATAGAATCTAGAACATTGATATAGAATCTAGAACATTCTAGAACATCTATATAGAATCTAGAAAATCGATATAGAATCTAGAACATTCTAGAACATCTAGATAGAATCTTGCACATCCTAGAACATCTACATAGAATCTAGAACATTGATATAGAATCCAGAACACCCTGAAACAGTGTGAGTGTTCCACTGAGTGACTCGGGTTAGTTATAGGAGACGACGACAGGCGCTCTCTTCCAGAATCCACTTGTCTAGCATGCTACTTAGAGTGAAGCCGTGCATTCTACGTTGAATGGATTATTAGAACGCAGACCTGATGATGAGTGGATTGTGTGGTACGAGTGTGAGAAAATGTGTACGTTGTATGTATGTACAGTATGTATGTATGTATAGTATCTATGTACAGTATGTATAGTATGAATGTACAGTATGTATGTGAGTGAGTAGGCTAGAGCTAGACAGAGAATGGACTTGATGGACCTGGGTTCATATACTATTTGAAATCATTTCAAATACTTGAGCTATGCTTGATGGAACCAACAGAATAGTGCCAAAACATGCAAACCCAACGTTTGGTATTGGTGTCTTCAACCAGGCAGACTAAAGCAGACAAACGCTCAAGAAGAAACATTTGAAATAGTACCCAGGTTTGGTGATGACAAGTTATAATAGCCTGCTGGTCTCGGATCTGTATTTGGGTCATTTTCATGAAACCAGTTTTAAAATGTCTGTACCAAATTGAGTTACAAAACCTGCAAAAATCAACTAGCATTCTGAGGAATAAGATGTCTAGTTTTTGGGAAGATGTCCTATTTGAAATACATTTTACATTTTCACCCCAAATTCTCATTACAGAAATGAATCCGGATTAAATTCTCAGGTCTTTTGATTTACAAAAAAATAATCTTTACAAAAACGTTAACTTATTTAAATAAAACACAAAATATGTTGCTGTAGTTTGCCCAAAAATCATAATAATGGTATTCTAGTTGGAGTTTACATTCAACTATAATATGTATTAAGTACAAACAGTGTCTGTGGACTTCTCATTACTTTTTCAAGTTCCTTTAAATAAAGTTGTATTCACCCATGATGCATCATCTAGAGGAGTAGTCCTTATATGAGCACAAGTTAATTTATTCTCTTATATGCCTTCAGAATGAGGTTCTTATTCTCATACACCCCCTTTTACCCCACTTTGCCTTCTCATTACCGAAACGGCTAAAGAGCTCAAATTGGGGAAAAAGTCAGATTTTGTATTTTATAATAATTGTATAATTTCATTTTCAGTGTTATGTTTAACTCAGGCCTCTTCATTAGGGGAGAAATGTAAAAAAAAAAATATATATATATATATATATATTGATTTGTTTATTACTTTTTGGGACTTTGAAAGCTGTTACGGTAATGATAATTTTGTGAAACTGTTGGTTAAAATGCATAATATCTGATCAAAAAAACATTATAATAATTATGAAATAGATAAGTACATATCCTAATTTCAGTGATTCAAGAAGATATTTTGTGAAAAATGACAGAGAATTTTTGGGACAGTTTCGTGAGAATGACCCATTTGCTATAGCCAACTCCTCTGACTACTGCTGTCATGCCATAGGATTTAGTTAAAGCATTAGACAGATCTGGGACCAGAGAGAGGTGTGAGTAAGACATTTGTAGTTGAGGACTTGGACTGCATGGTAGATGTGTTGACACCAGAGGCTCCTAGTTTATGTGTGAATGATGATGATGCTGTGTCTTTCCCCTAGATTTGTTTTCTCAAGGCGGGGCGCCAAAATCAAGGCCTACCAAATCAATATAAAGGGGGTGATTCACTTTAAACACAACAATAGTCAATTGAAGCCTAATTATTTTAGGCCTGCCCTGCCTGGTAGGGGAAACACTTGAGTGAGAGAGGTGTGGAAGGTTTTAAGGATGTAAGGAATGGATTTAAGTATTGTGAATGAGTAACAGTGTTGTAGGTAGCAATATTAGAGGGGGGGGGGGGGGGGGTTGTTATTGTTGCACACTGGACCACCGTTGTAAAGAGACCATTACCCTGCATGATGTTTTAACATTGGTTTTACTTTGCACTGTCAGTGAAAGGGAGGGATTGGAAGTGTGTGTGTGTGTGTGTGCGAATGGAGAATGATTATGTATGTGTATGATGTATGTGGGTGAGCTGTATGCTTACACCCAATAAGGAAAAATTACATTTTATTTTATTTTATCTTACGAGTTATCCTCCCCCTCGCTACCTACCTATCAGTACATGCCTGTGCTGTTCCGTCAGCATCTGCCTGTTTGCATCCCAAATGGCTCTACTTCCTTTGTAGTGCACTACTTTTGACCAGGGCATGCATAGGGCTCTGGTTAAAAGTAGTACACTATGTAGGGAATAGGGTGCCATTTCAGATGTAGCCCTTTTCTCTTCTGCCACTCCTGATTTTAGACTACTAGGAATCCATCACATTGACATCTTCTGGTAGTGTGACTGTGCGAGTGTCTGTGCCTGTGTGTGTGTCACCTGCCTCCTGCAACGCTTGTGAAACTCGTGAAAATGGGAGAGGGTTGAATGTGGGCTTCATCCAAAATGGCACCCTATTCCCTACATAGGGCCCGTATCCACAGAGTGTCTGAGTAGGAGTGGTGACGTAGGATCAGTTTGAATAAGATTATATGGACAGATCCTAAATCAGCGCTCCTACTTTGAGATGCTTTGTGGATATAGGGCCTGGTCAAAAGTAGTGCGTTATAAAGGGAATAGGGTGTTATTTGGGACAGAACCCTGGAGGTATTTTATTCCACGATGCTTGTCTTTGATCTTCTCAATGTATTGACTTTATTGTGCAGGGATGGATTCTATGTGTTCAATTGTTTTTCATCCACAACTTTTTTGCTTGTACATAAAAACTAAGAGAAATCCCACGTTTTGTTTTTTTAATTACATGATAAAAAAAAAAAAAAAAAACTTTGCTTGAGAAAATGGGAATAAAACCAATTTTGAAAGATATCATGACTTGTTGTTTCTGCGTCTATTCGGACATAATGTTATAGCAAAGGATATAGTACAAATTGAGAATTATATTTGTTATTTGAACATTATCATAATTTATCAAATGTAGTTAACAAAAAAATACGTCACTTGACTCATTTGCATATTTGAAACTTGAGCTCGCGCAACGTCAACGTGTTCACGTCACTTCCTCATGTCAAGACAATCCCGGAAGCCGGTGCCATGTTGTGATTTTTGACGAAAAACAAAAATATCATCACGGGCGAAGTTCAGAAAAGTGGGACAGAGCAGATTTCGGGGTGAGGATGGAGGTAAGAACGAGAGTAGAACGTTTTCAGTGGGGAATCACTTGTGTGGTCGGCATATCCAAACCTGTGCACAAGTGTCCACAATCTTTGGTTTTCAAACACACAACAATGAACACAAGCTCAGAAAGCCTGACATCATTCAGACCTAGCAAGCTAACTAGCTATTAGCCAACTCTTTCCTAGTTTGTCAGCTTTAAGTAGAGAGCTTAAGTCCCTGTATGAAAAATGTATATGTTCACTAACTGTAAGTCGCTCTGGATAAGAGCGTCTGCTAAATGACTAAAATGTAAGATTGAGATTAACTAACTACCTTATCTGATCCTGTGAGAAAGCTTGCTAGTAAACAGCAAGAAGGTGACAACAGAAAAATTATTTCCTCCTCCACTCTGCCTGTCTATTCGAGTTGTTGTCGTCTCTAAAATTAATAAGTGGCAATGGCTGTTATTCTTGACAGTGAGATTTTCCAAAGATTTTAAAGGGAGTTCGTAGTGGTTGTTGTAACATTTCTGTTAGGTTTTGTCCAGAGAATAAACGGTTAAAGCCTTTCATTTGGCGTGGTCTTTACTAGGCCATTGGGATAAACCATTTGAGAAAAGTGGAAGTCCATGTTGGATATCAGCTGTTTGTTTATTTAATTCAATAATCGATTTTTGTTTGTAATAATTCACCCATATGTGAATTTAAACAAGTACATCAATTGCTACATGATGACAAAACGCTTTGAACTAAATAAACTGCTGTGAAAGCAACATTCCGATATCCCAGACACCCCCAATTCTCACACTGGAACCCGCCCTCAAGATATGGCGATTCAATTCCAAATCCACAGTTCTGGTTCCATTGAGCAGCCTTGCTCGAGCGCAGAGCAGCCGTCGTGAGAAAGAACCGGACGAGCTGAATTCTGAAATGCATCAAGACATGTCAAAATACTGTCATTTGCGGGACTCCATATAGCTTATATTATTAGCCTTCTGTTAACTTGTGTTTGTGAGGTTAAGATAGCGCGAGTTTGTTTGGGTGTAGTAGGTGTATAAATCCAGCGAGCACAGGATTCGGTACCACCGCCTTGCGTCAGCATAGTAGGACAGCCACGCTAGTTAGTAACGAGACGGGTTATTTTTGGTATGAGTGATCGAGCGCTGGCGTGCACTGCGATAATTATTTCGCCATATGCGTAGCAAACGTCCGCTTCGTTTTATACCATCAAATCGCTATAAATCCTGCATATTTCATGACAGAAATCTGAAGTCTGGGCTGTAGCCATTTTTGATTTATTCTTCATTGGTTGTAAATTTCGTGATACTTAAACAAAGTCAGTGAGTGGTACAGTAGTTTTCGTTCATAGATTTTTTTTCCCGCACTTCATCCAATTGCATTGATTGAATGTCATACGAGGCGCCCTTAGAAAATGGACCTGAATTTTTACTCTGATCTAATGGATGGGACTGGGCAACACGGAGATCCAGAATTCCTGGACCCTGGGTCTTTCAATGGATTTGACAATAAGGTGACCTACAGCAAGATTGGCTTGACAAGAGCAGTGTGTGTGTGTGCGCGCGCGCGCGCGCTCTATGGAGGCAACTATGACCCTCACAAACGCTCAGCCGTCTTATAACCGCATGTTAGGGCTTTGTTGAATATGTCGTAGCTACAGCACACGTGTAATGTATTGGCTGATATGGCGAGGTGAGCTGTGGTCATTGGGATGTTTACTATGTGAAAAGTATGCCTAGCTATGTGTGTGGTTGTTATACTGTTTGAGGTGTTGTTGATCCTATTCATGATGTCATTGTCTTTATAAAAGGGATGGTGATGGTCATTGTTATGCGTTGATGATGATTTGACCTGTGTGTGTTTTGTGTTTCAGTTCCCTGGAGGCAGTGACAACTACCTGACCATCAGCGGGGCAAGCCATCCGTTCCTCTCCTCCTCTGAGGTAGCTACTAAATTCTTCCACTTCACTCTCTTTTCTAAACTCTCATTCCCTCTCCCCTATCCTGTCTGTCTGTCTACAAATCCTCAAACAATCTGCAGTTACTCACACACCACAAACATCCAGTATAGCAGGTAACGAAGTCTCATACCTCAATGACATACTTCTCCCCTCCCTCTTTTCCTCTACCGACTCCCCTCCACCCCCCCTCTTTCCTCTACTGTCTCCTCTCCACCCCTCCCCTCCCTCGTTTCTCTACTGTCTCCACCCCTCCCCTCCACCCCTCCCTCGTTCCTCTACTGTCTCCACCCCACCCCTCCCTCGTTCCTCTACTGTCTCCCTTCCACCCCTCCCCTCCCTCTTTCCTCTATTGTCTCCCCTCCACCCCTCCCTCGTTCCTCTACTGTCTCCTCTCCCCTCCACCCCTCCCTCGTTCCTCTACTGTCTCCTCTCCACCCCTCCCCTCCCTCGTTCCTCTACTGTCTCCTCTCCACCCCTCCCCTCCCTCATTCCTCTACTGTCTCCCCTCCACCCTCCCCTCCTCGTTCCTCTACTGTCTCCTCTCCACCCCTCCCTCCCTCGTTCCTCTACTGTCTCCTCTCCACCCTCCCCCTCGTTCCTCTACTGTCTCCCCTCCACCCCTCCCTCTCGTTCCTCTACTGTCTCCTCTCCCCCCCACCCCTCCCCCCTCGTCCTCTACTGTCAACTCTCCACCCCTCCCCTCCTCGTTCCTCTACTGTCTCCCTCCACACCCTCCCCCTCCCCTCTTTCCTTTTACTGTCTCCCCCACCCTCCCTCGTTCCTCTACTGTCTCCTGCCAACCCCTCCCCTCCCTGCTTTCCTCTCTGTCTCCCCCCACCCCTCCCTCCCTCGTTCCTCTACTGTCTCCTCTCACACCCCTCCCCTCCCTCGTTCCCTCTACTGCTCCCCTCCACCCCTCCCCTCCCTCGTTCCTCTACTGTCTCCTCTCCACCCCTCCCCTCCCTCGTTCCTCTACTGTCTCCTCTCCACCCCTCCCCTCCCTCGTTCCTCTACTGTCTCCCTTCCACCCCTCCCCCTTTCCTCTACTGTCTCCCCTCCACCCCTCCCTCGTTCTTCTACTGTCTCCTCTCCACCCCTCCCCTCCCTCGTTCCTCTACTGTCTCCTCTCCACCCCTCCCCTCCCTCTTTCCTCTACTCTCTCCCCTCCACCCCTCCCCTCCCTCGTTCCTCTGCTGTCTCCTCCCCACCCCTCCCCCTCCCTCGTTCCTCCTGCTGTCTCCTCTCCACCCCCTCCCCTCCCTCTTTCCTCTACTGTCTCCCCTCCACCCCTCCCCTCCCTCGTTCCTCTACTGTCTCCTCTCCCCCCCTCCCCTCCCTCGTTCCTCTACTGTCTCCTCTCCACCCCTCCCCTCGTTCCTCTACTGTCTCCTCTCCACCCCTCCCCTCCCTCTTTCCTCTACTCTACTGTCTCCCCTCCCCTCCCTCGTTCCTCTACTGTCTCCTCTCCACCCACCCTCCCCTCCCTTTTCCTCTACTGGCTCCTCTCCACCCCTCCCTCCCTCGTTCCTCTACTGCTCCTCTCCACCCCTCCCTCCCATGTTCCCCTACGCTCCTCTCCACCCCTCCCCTCCTCGTTTCCTCTACTTCTCCCCTCCAACCCCTCCCCTCCCTCTTTCCTCTACTGTCTCCCCTCCAACCCTCCCTCCCTCGTTTCCTCTGCTGTCTCCTCTCCCACCCCTCCCCTCTGTTCCTTCTTACTCTCCCCCTCCAACCCCCACCCTCCCCTCCCTCGTTCCTCTACTGTTCTTCCCTCCACCCTCCCCTCCCTCTGTTCCTCTACCTGCCTCCTCCTCCACCCTCCCCCCTCCCTCGTTCCTCTACTGTCTCCCCTCCACCCCTCCCCTCCCTCGTTCCTCTCTGTCTCCCCTCCACCCCTCCTCGTTCCTCTACTGTCTCCTCTCCACCCCCCCCCTCCCTCGTTCCTCTACTGTCTCCTCTCCACCCCTCCCTCCTCGTCCTCTACTGTCTCCCCCCACCCCTACCCCTCCCTTACTGTTCCCCTCCACCCTCCCCTCCCCTCGTCTCTACGTCTCCTCCACCCCCTCCCTCGTCCCCTACTGGCTCCCTCCTCTCCACCCCTCCCCTCCCTCTTTCCCCTACTGGTCATTCCATACTCCACCCCCTCCCCCTCCCTCTTTTCCTCTACTGTCTCCCCTACCACCCCCTCCCCTTCCCTCGTTCCTACTGCTTGTCGCCATCCATCTCCACCCCCTCCCCTCCTCCCTCGTTCCTCTACTGTCTACCTCTCCACCCCCTCCCCTCCCCTCGTTCCTCTACTGTCTCCTCTCCACCCCCTCCCCTCCCCTCTTTCCTCTACTGTCTCCCCTCCACCCCTCCCCTCCCCTCGTTCCTCTGCTGTCTCCTCTCCACCCCTCCCCTCCCTCGTTCCTCTACTGCTCTCCCTCCTCCACCCCTCCCCTCCCTCGTTCCTCTACTGTCTCCTCTCCACCCCTCCCCTCCCTCGTTTCCTCTACTGGCTCCTCTCCACCCCTCCCCTCCCTCTTTCCTCTACTCTACTGTCTCCTCTCCACCCCTCCCCTCCCTCTTTCCTCTACTGTCTCCTCTCCACCCCTGCCCTCCCTCATTCCTCTACTGTCTCCTCTCCACCCCTCCCCTCCCTCGTTCCTCTACTGTCTCCACCCCTCCCCTCCCTCGTTCCTCTACTGGCTCCTCTCCACCCCTCCCCTACCCTTTCCTCCTTACCCTCTCCCCCTATCCCCTACCCTCTGTTCTCCCCCTTCTCATTTCTCTCCATTCTATCCCTCCCCCCAACAGACATTCCACACCCCCAGCCTGGGCGATGAGGAGTTTGAGATCCCCCCCATCTCCCTGGATCCGGACCAGGCCCTCACTGTGTCTGATGAAGTGGCCCACTTTGGAGAGCTCTCGGACGGGGAGCGCGGTGGATTGTCCACCCCCGGGAACGCGGTGGTGGGGGGAGATGACCCGTCCTTCGCCTTGACCTTCGTCAACCCCCATTCGGGGTCACAGGGGCTGGAGCACCATCTTAGTCTGGGGGTCATCAGTCAGCCTGGTGGAGGAGGGGCCATGCTGGGGTCTGCTCTGGGCATGGTGAGAACCATAGAGATACATTTCAATGTATCCTCAATGTGGTCCTCTGTAGCTCAATTGGTAGAGCATGGCGCTTGTAACGCCGGGGTAGTGGATTCGATCCCCGGGACCATCCATACGTAAAAATGTATGCACACATGACTGTAAGTCGCTTTGGATAAAAGCGTTGTGGTCCTCTGTAGCTCAATTGGTAGAGCATGGCGCTTGTAACGCCAGGGTAGTGGGTTCGATCCCCGGGACCATCCATACGTAAAAATGTATGCACACATGACTGTAAGTCGCTTTTGATAAAAGCGTCTGCTAAATGGCTTATTATTATTAATTAAGATTCTCTGACCAATATGTCTGTCCTGTACTCACGTTGCCGGGATGCCAATGTCCATTCTAGTGTTCTATTTAATTCTATGTGAGGACTACAAGATGTTCTTTAGCTCATAATACTCTGCCCTTGTCTATGAACCCCACCTCTTTTCCAGGATCTGGGACACCCCATTGGCTCCCAGTTCAGCAGCTCCTCCCCCATGACCATAGACGTCCCGCTGAGTGACATGGGCCACGGCCTCTTGGGCCACAATCAGCTGACTACCATGGACCAATCAGAGTTCAGCGCCCAGCTGGGGCTCAGCCTGGGGGGCGGGGCCATCCTGGCATGCTCGCAATCGCCTGACCAACCACTGTCGGCCGCTGCTTCGCCCGTCGGTTCGCTACAGGATGACGACATGGACGACTTCAGACGGGTCAGTCCTATTGGTCAATCTTTGTCATGTCTGTATTAGTCGATCTGTCAGTCTCTGTCGGTAGGTCTTGTTTGTCCGTGTCTGTTGTAATGTAATTCTCAATTCTGTGTTTACAGTGCATTCCGAAAGTATTCAGACCCCTTGACTTTTTCCACATTTTGTTACGTTACAGCCTTATTCTAAAATTGATTTAAATTGTTTTTTTCCCCTCATCAATCTACACACAATACCCCATAATGACAAAGCAAAAACAGGTTTTTAGAAATTTTGCAAATATATTAAAAACGGACATATTACATTTACATAAGTATTCAGACACTTCACTCAGTACTTTGTTGAAACACCTTTGGCAACGATTACAGCCTCGAGTCTTCTTGTGTATGACGCTAAAAGCTTGGCACACCTGTATTTGGGGAGTTTCTCCCTTCTCTGCAGATCCTCTCAAGCTCTGTCAGGTTGGATGGGGAGCGTCGCTGCACAGCTATTTTCAGGTCTCTCCGGAGATGTTCGATCGGGTTCAAGTCCGGGCTCTGGCTGGGCCATTCAAGGACATTCAGAGACTTGTCCGAAGCCACTCATGCGTTGTCTTGGCTGTGTGCTTAGGGTCGTTGTCCTGTTGGAAGGTGAACCTTCGCCCAAGTCTGAGGTCCTGAGCACTCTGGAGCAGGTTTTCATCAAGGATCTCTCTGTACTTTGTCCAGTTAATCTTTCCCTCGATCCTGACTAGTCTCCCTGCCGCTGAACAACATCCCCACAGCATGATGCTGCCACCACCATGCTTCACCGTAGGGATGGTGCCAGGTTTCCTCCAGACGTGACGCTTGGAATTCAGGCCAAAGAGTTCAATCTTGGTTTCATCAGACCAGAGAATCTTGTTTCTCATGGTCTGAGTCCTTTAGGTGCCTTTTGGCAAACTCCAAGCAGGCTGTCATGTGCCTTTTACTGAAGAGTGGCTTCCGTCTGGCCACGCTACCATAAAGACCTGATTGGTGGAGTGCTGCAGAGATGGTTGTCCTTCTGGAAGGTTCTCCCATCTCCACAGAGGAACTCTGAAACTCTGTCTGAGTGACCATCGGGTTCTTGGTCACCTCCCTGACCAAGGCCCTTCTCCCACGATTGCTCAGTTTGGCGGCCAGTTCTAGGAAGAGTCCAGGTGGTTCCAAACTTCTTCCATTTAAGAATGATGGAGGCCACTGTTTTCTTGTGGACCGTCAATGCTGTAGAATGTTTTTGATACCCTTCCCCAGATCTGTGCCTCGACACAATCCTGTCTCGGTGCTCTACGGACAATTCCTTCAACCTCATGGCTTGGTTTTTGCTCCGACATGCACTGTCAACTGTGGGACCATTATATAGACAGGTGTGTGCCTTTCTAAATCATGTCCAATCAATATAATTTACCACAGGTGGACTCCAAGTTGTAGCAACAACTCAAGGATGATCAATGGAAACCGGATGCACATGAGCTCAATTTTGAGTCTCATAGCAAAGGATCTGAATACCTATGTTAATAAGGTATTTCTAAAAACCTGTTCGCTTTGTCATTATGGGGTATTGTGTGTAGATTGATGAGGATTTGTATTTATTTAATCAATTTTAGAATAAGGCTGTAACGTAACAAAATGTGGAAAAAGGAAGGGGTATGAATACTTTCCGAATGCTTTGATCAATGTATGGGAAACGGTTTTTCACTCTGTTTTTCCCTCTCCCCTGCTCTCTCGCCCATTTTAATTCAGCAGAGCGTGTTGGTGGAGTCCCCTGTCTCTCTCGGCGTCATCTCCCTCGATCCCTCTCTCTCCGATTCCCACATACCTTCCTCTGCTCCGTCCTCCAGCTCCCCTCCTACCCTCGTCCGGAGAGGAGGAGGGAAGAAAGGGAAGAAGAAAAACAAAGACCCTAAGGAGCCCCAGAAGCCGGTGTCGGCCTACGCTCTGTTCTTCAGGGACACACAGGCAGCCATTAAGGGCCAGAACCCCAACGCCACCTTCGGAGAGGTGTCCAAGATAGTCGCCTCCATGTGGGAAAGTCTGGCGGAGGAACAGAAACAGGTACACACATTCATGCAAACGCACATGTTCACATTCACTATACAAGCACAGATATGAATAATGTATACTGAACAAAAATATAAACGCAACATATAAAGTGTTGGTTTCATGAGCTGAAATAAAAGATCCCAGAAATTTTCCATACGCACAAAAATCTAATTTCTCTCAAATGTAGTACACAAATTTGTTTACACCCCTGTTAGTGAGCATTTCTTCTATGCTTAGATAATCCATCCACCTGACATGGTGGCATATCAAGAAGCTGATTAGACAGCATGATCATTACACAGGTGCACCTTGTACTGGGGACAATAAGGCCTCTCTAAAATGTGCAGTTTTGTCACACAACATATTGCCACAGATGTCAAAATTTTTGAGAGTGTGCATTTCGCATGCTAACTGCAGGAATTTCCACCAGAGCATTGAATGTTAATTTCTCTACCATAAGCCGCCTCCAACGTCATTTTAGAGAATTTGGCAGTACGTCCAACCGGCCTCACAACTGCAGACCACGTGTAACCACGCCAGCCCAGGACCTCCACATCCGGCTTCTTCACCTGCGGGATCGTTTTAGACCAGCACCCTGACAGCTGATGAAAATGTGGGTTTGCACAACCAAATAATTTCTCCACAAACTGTCAGACCCGCTCAGGGAAGCTCATCTGCGTGCTCGTCGTCCTCACCAGGGTCTTGACCTGACTGCAGTTCGGGGTCGTAACCAACTTCAGTGGGCAAATGCTGTACCTTCGATGGCCACTGGCACACTGGAGAAGTGTGCTCTTCACGGGTGAGTCCCGGTTTCAACCGTACCGGGCAGATGGCAGACATTGTGTGGGCGAGCAGTTTGCCCCATGGTGGAGTTATGGTATGGGCAGGCATAAGCTACAGACAACGAACACAATTGCATTTTATCGATGGCAATTTGAATGCACAGAGATACCGTGTCGAGATCCTGAGGCCATTGTCGTGCCATTCATCCGCCACCATCCCCATGTTTCAGCATGATAATGCACGGCCCCATGTCGCAAGGATCTGTACACAATTCCTGGAAGCTGAAAATGTCCCAGTTCTTCCATGGCCTGCATACTCACCAGACATCACCATTGAGCATGTTTGGGATGCTCTGGATTGATATCCAGCAACTTTGCACAGCCATTGAAGAGTGTGACAACATTCCACAGGCCACAATCAATAGCCTGATCAACTCTATGCGAAGGAGATGTGTCGCGCTGCATAAGGCAAATGGTGGTCACACCAGATACTGACTGGTTTTCTGATCCACGCCCCTACCTTTTTTTCTAAGGTATCTGTGACCAACAGATGCATATCTGTATTCCCAGTCATGTGAAATCCATAGATTAGGGTCTAATTTATTTATTCTAATTGACTTATATGAACTGTAACTCAGTTACAATCTTTGAAATTGTTGCATGTTGTGTTTTATATTTTTGTTCAGTGTAATATCATTGGGTTCACACATTCTCTCATGATATCCCTGTATGTATTCCTCTCAGGTGTACAAGAGGAAGACTGAGGCAGCTAAGACGGAGTATCTCAAGGCTCTGGCAGCCTACAGAGATAATCAACTTCCTGAGGTGAGACTAGTGTTCCTAGAGAATGCTATTCAGTTCTACTCTGTGTGTGTGTGAGTAGGTTTATTATGATGGCCAGCCTTTGTCAACGGGCGGCAGGTAGCCTAGCAGTTAAGAGCATTGTAACCGAAAGTGTGCAGGTTCAAATCCCCGAGCCAACTAGGTGAAAAAACTGTTGATGTACCCTTGAGCAAGGCACTTCACCCTAATTGCTCCTTTAAGTCGCTCTGGATAAGAGCGTCTGTTAAATGACTAAAATGTAATGTAAATGTAATGTGGAAACTAAATGTCCTCTTTTCCCTCAACCCCTCTCTCTTCCAACCCCTCCACCTTACTCCTCCTCTTCTCTCTCCCAGCCAACCATCGAGCTTCTGGACACTGCTCCGTCGCCTCCCTCTCCTCCCTCTCCTCCTTCCCCTGCCCCCGTCGCCCCCCATCCCCGCTCCACTCGTTCCTGTGCCCCCCACCTGGCCCCCGAGGAGAACACCATCACCAACATCTGCACCTCCAACATCATCCTAACAGGTGGCGACCTCCCTCAGGTCACCACCCGCTCCCGTACAGGGGCGCACAAACCGCCTGCCCCGTCACCAAGCCCCCCCACCATCACCAAAATCATCATCAAGCAACAGAAGTCCCCCTCAGGGGTGACGGTGGTGTCCAGTAGTACGGTATCGTCGGCCCGTCAGCCACCGCCACTCCAACAGATGCTGAACACCCCTCCTCCCCCCCGTCTCCAGCAGATGGTACATGCCCAGGCCCCTCCGCCACTGCAGGCCAAACCAAGAGCCGGGGGTGCCACAGCACCACCCCCTCTGCAGATCAAGATGGTCCATCCCTCAGATTTGGACTCTCCAATTATTGTGACGGCTGCGGGGGGGTTAGCCGCGTCGGGTGGGACCACTCCGACCTCGGGGGAGGTGGTACAGTCCTCTGCCATAGTAATGGCCTGTTCAACGGAGGCCGAGGACGGGGCTGAAGGAGAGGAAGGGGTAAGATGCTTCCTAGATATGATGATATCATAATATATGCTTGGTAATATGCCTGCTAATTCTATAAATCTGTTATGTGCCACTCAATCCCCTCTCCTCCCATCCGTCCTAGATGCAGGTAGAGTTGAATGTGTCTTCAGGGCCAGTTGTGACCCAGACCTCCAGCCCTAGCCTGTGTGTCCGAGCCGGATGCACCAACCCAGCTGTAGAGAACAAGGACTGGGACAGGGAGTACTGCAGCAACGAGTGTGTGGCCATACACTGCAGGTTCGGACGGATGGATGTATACATGCATACATACACACACACACACAAAAACAAACACCCACACACACACTGACATTGCCACCTGAAATGCTTGGGAGTCAAGATAGATCATGTTCTTCCCAAAGAATGGAAAATGTCGATAAAGCAACATTTCTGCTCCCAATTGTGATTTTTTTAAAATTGTGTTGATTGATCTATTGACTATCTCTATAGGGATGTATTCATGGCCTGGTGTGCGATCCGAGGGCAGAACTCCACTTCCGTCACGTAAGGAATGGACAGAAGGGAGGAGGAGTGAGAGAAGATTATCATGATAGGGAGGACTAGGAAGGAGAGAAGAGACTGGACATGATGGAGGGAGGAGATGGAAGGAGAGGAGAGAGGGACTTGGCTTTTATTCACAGCAGACTTTGTCCTCTAAGAAGAATCAAGTGGAAGACCAAAACTCCTGTGATGTTAAATTATGAAGTTTAAATAATGAGAGTATTTTATATGAAATGTTTTTAATCATTTTAAAATGTTGGTGAAATGTAATATAACGCTGCAGTTACTATTGGTATGTCTCTTGCATTTCATAGCTTGGGCCTTAGAGTTGGATAAAGGGCACGTCTTTGCATATTTGAGAATGGCGCCACCCATGCTAAAATTGGCTTTGTGTCAAATGCTCCAATTCTGTGGCTAAGATCAGGAGTTTTTCTCCTGATCATGTGACCCAACAAGGAAACACTCTGGGCCCTGTTACCATATTCTTCCTGGCTAGGTCACGTGATCAGGAGAAACAACTGTCCCTATCCATCAGCCAATGAGAAGAAGGCATGTTTATTTCACATGTGCATCCTCTCGTCTGACTGTTGCATTGAAACAGAGATCACGGTATCAATGTTGCCTGCGACTTAAAAATCAGTGTCACCTCAGTCCTAGAGGGAATTTCACCTCGGTCTAATGGTGCAGACCGGGTTTCAGATCCCACCGTAACATAAGCTAAACCCCTGGGCTGCGTTCAGGAGTGTGAAAAATTCTGAAAGTTGCTGATAGAAATGCCATTTATAGAACTGACATGATTCCTTTCTCGAGTACATGACAGACAAGCATGTCTGTTTACATAATATATTTATATCTGAACAGTTGTTCCATACTGAACATGATTGCCATTGAATGGGAAGGCTTCTTGTATACATATTACGAACATTCAGGATTCCAGTTTGTTTTTGAAAAACCATCATGTTGGTGAAAATAAAACTGTAGGAAACATATTTGAAAGAAAATAGTCATTTAAGTAACGCGCAAAAAACATTAAACCAGCTTTTACTTTGACACTACATGACCAAAAGTATGTGGACACCTGCTCGTCGAACGTCTCATTCCAAAATCATGGGCATTAATATGGAGTTGGTCCCCCCTTTGCTGCTAGTGTTGGAACATTGCTGCGGGGACTTGCTTCCATTCAGCCACAAGAGCATTAGTGAGGTTGGGCACTGATGTTGGGCCATTAGGCCTGGCTCGCAGTCGGCGTTCCAATTCATCCCAAAGGTGTTCGTTGGGGTTGAGGTCAGGGCTCCTGTGCAGGCCAGTCAAGTTCTTCCACACCGATCTCAATAAACCATTTCTGCATGGACCTTGTTTTGTGCACGGGGGCATTATCATGCGGATACAGGAAAGGGCCTTCCCCAAACTATTGCCACAAAGTTGGAAGCACAGAATCTTCTAGAATGTTGTATGCTGTAGCATTAAGATTTCCCTTCACTGGAACTAAAGGGCCTAGCCCAAACCATGAAAAACAGCCCCAGACCATTATTCCTCCTCCACCAAACTTTACAGTTGGCACTGCATTCGGGCAGGTAGCGTTCTCCTGGCATCCGCCAAACCCAGATTTGTCTGTCAGACTGCCAGATGGTCAAGCTTGATTCACAATTCCAGAGAACGTGTTTCCACTGCTTCAGAGTCCAATGGCGGCGAGCTTTACACCACTCCAGCTGCTCGGCCATGGAAACCCATTTCATGAAGCTCCCCACGAACAGTTGTTGTGCTGACGTTGCTTCCAGCTGCAGTTTGGAACTTGGTAGTGAGTGTTGCAACCGAGGACAGACGATTTTTACATGCTACGTGCTACAGCACTCGGCGGTCCCGTTCTGTGAGCTTGTGTGGCTTACCACTTCGCGGCTGAGCCATTGCTCCTAGATGTTTCCACTTCACAATAACAGCACTTACAGTTGACCGGGGCAGCTCTAGCAGGGCAGAAATTTGACGAATTGACTTGTTGGAAAGGTGGCATCCTATGACACTGACACGTTGAAGGCCATTCTACTGTCAATGTTTGTCTATGGAGATTGCATGGCTGTGTGCTCGATTTTATACACCTGTCAGCAACGGGTGTGGCTGAAATAGCCGAACCCACTAATTGTAAGGGGTGTCCACATACTTTTGTATATATAGTGTGTTTCTGGTGTATTTATTTTTAAATGTTTTAGTGTCTTGAAGTAGGAATGCTGATTTAGGATCAGCCCCCCCCCCCCCCCCCCATATGTAATCTTCTTCATTTGGATCTAAAAATCAGCACTTCTACTCTGAGATGCTTTATGAAAATGCCATTGATGTGTAAATAAGCAATATGAGCGTTTTAACCATAGCAACGTAATTACTAGAAAGGACATCCCCATTCACTAGTAACTATAAAGGGAATTCTCATTTAATATAAATTCTATTCAATAGTAATTATATTTGTATGGTTTTACCACGTGCATCCATAGATTTACTTGGCATTGCAATAGTGAAAGGGGAATTATGGGCTGTGAATTATAATCTCTTACCAGTTGTCATCACTACATTATGCGCGTGGAACAAAAATAACATTAACATGTTAATGTATATATATATAAAAAAAGGAAATGAATGAAAAGGTTGTTTTTTGTAAATCATTTTAACTAATGATCATAAATGTTTTATTGAAAAATAAAATGCTTTATGTATCACTAGGTAAGATTTGTGTGTGTTGCATTTTGGTTTTTATCCCTAAAAAGGTAAAAGAAAAAACTAAATGGGGAAAAGTAGCAGAAAATACAATTAACTAATCTAGATTATCACATTTACATTTTAGTCATTTAGCAGACGCTCTTATCCAGAGCGACTTACAGTTAGTGAGTGCATACATGTTTTTTTTAATTTTTATTTTGATTCAAACTGGCCCCCCGTGGGAAACGAATCCACATCCCCGCCGGCCAAACCCTCCCCTACTTTGGACGACGCTGGACCAATTGTGCGCCGCCCATGGGTCTCCCGGTCGCGGCCGGCTGCGACAGAGCCTGGACTCGAACCAGGATCTCTAGTGGCACAGCTGACCATGCCTTAGACCACTGCGCCACTCGGGATTTTATCACCATGATAAATAACCTTTTGCAAGAGCCTTCCTTGCACATCCCATTACAGCGGCAAGAAGAAGGGGTTTCTGCAGTGATACCAAATATTTATTTTAAACTATACCTTTGTTTCCAGCGTGACGTGTCAGACATTTCGAATTCTGGAGCTGGCGGGAAAATATGCAGTGGCGGGAAAAAAGCGCATGGTCACAGACAAGATCCGACAGAGGCGGGTTTTCAGATGTACCTCGGGAGGCGCTGTCGAGCAATGTAAAACTAATAAATGATACACTGTAACAGTGTAACAACACAGAGTACTGTCTTTGGTAACAATATGCATGAAATACCCCAAATAGAAAACCCCATCAAACGATTTTATACACTCATATAAAAAACTATTACATTCAATAAAGACAGAAATCAAGGCATGGGTCTAGAGGAAAACATGAGCAAACCAAGATTGCACGTGTGTCATATAAACTAGTGCACCGGCATTATATAAACGTCGCGCTATTTTATCAAAATAATGTGCTTGCCATATAGGGGCGAGTGTGGTAATTGACCTATCTAACATTAACATGTAAAGTGCTCGACAGACTGTAAAAAAGGGGGAGGGAGGGAGAAGAGGGGAAAACGGAGAAGGGAGGTATTAATTATATCCGAGTCGTTTATGCTTGGCACGAGTGTGGACAACAAAACAGCTAGATGTTACGCAATTATTAATAAGAAGAAAAAGTATGCATTTTATATTTTTACCGTAAATATAGATTTTTAACAAAACGCGTGATATTTAATGTATACATAAAAAAAAAAAAAAAAAAAGGTTACATATCAACCATAGAGGCACATCTTGGGGAGAACTGAACGTAACCACCGTGCATAAATCGAGAAGGAAAGAAACATCTCTTTTTATATAGGTTTCAAGGGGTGGAAAGTGCGAGAAAACAGCAAACACTCATCCGGCCTGTGCTGCTCTGAGAAGCCAGGAGCTGGAGTTTGAAGGTGCAAAAGACTCGCTATGGCGGTAAACCTGGACAAGGAAGCGTACTACCGCCGAATCAAGCGCTTATATGGGAATTGGAAGGTAATCAGCACGGTAGAAATATATTTATATAAGACTAGTAAAATCATGTTTTGGATGCTGAAGCTGGCGCGGCGTGGAGCCGCGTTTTTAAACTGCGTGGTTTGACTTTGTTTTCGGCATGACATGAGTGAGTGCCGTGGTTGGTTTTGTAGCTACAGAAACGCAAACAGCAATGATCAATTTGATTATATAGACTTACATGTAGTTATGAAACACTTGTGGAATACATTCAGGAACGATTACACATTCTAAAAATTATAGTTACAACATGGCCACTTATTCTGCATTGTATATTATCTACATATTAGCATAGCTAACGTTAACTAGCTAGTCAGCCATATCTAGCACTTTATGTGGCACTACCACGTTAGCTCGTTGCCAGTCCAGCAAAATATTAATTCATATTCTGAAGTTGCACATCTAAAATTGGCACCAAAATACGATGTCAGAAAGTACCATGGAATGTTTTGACAGAAATGGCTAGCTAGTTGCCTCTTGTCCACATAACTAACATCAAAGTTTGACACGTTCAAGCTAGCATGCTACTGTAGCTAACTAGCTTTACATCGCGCCAAGCAGGCAGTGATTTGTTGCATGCACTTTTCTTTTGAAGGCACACAACGATTGATCTCATTCCCTGCATTTGAATGCCAACCAGTAGTTAACTAGCAACTTTCTCTCAAGCTTAATTGAGATAATATAGCAATAGATGGATAGTTATCAACTTTAGCTTACTTCTTAACTGTTTCGCTAACTTGCAATTTTCATACTTATCACCGGCACTCAAAAAGAACAAGCAACGTGTCGACAAACTCACAACTGTGGCTAACTGTCTTTTTGCTCACTGGTTTACTTAGTTTGAACAATGTGAAACATTTCTATGTTAATCAACAAGTATCTTTTGTTATTTTCCTCTATTAGAAAGGAGAAGATGAGTTTGGCAAAGTGGATGCCATGGTGGTCGCCGTTGGGGTGGACGAAGAGATAGTGTACGCCAAATCCACTGCCCTGCAGGTAAAACTCATGGACTCTACCCTATCCAAGAGTTATTCCTGACTGTGAGCTGATCAGGGAAAATGTGTGCACGTTTACATACACAGTACATTCGGAAAGCATTCAGACCCCAGACTTTTTCCATTTTGTTACATTACAGCCTTATTCTAAAATTGATTAAATTGTGTTTCCCCCCTCATCAATCTACACACAATACCCCATAATAATAAAGCAAAAACAGGTGTAGACATCTATGCAAATGTATTAACATTTAAAAACTGAAATATCACATTTACATAAGTATTCAGACTCTACTCAGTACTTTGTTGAAGCACCTTTGGCAGTGATTACATTCTCGAGTCTTCTTGGGTATGACACGACAAGCTTGGCACACCTGTATTTGTGGAGTTTCTCCCATTCTGCTCTGCAGATCCTCTCAAGCTCTGTCAGGTTGGATGGGGAGCGTCGCTGCACAGCTATTTTCAGGTCTGTCCGGAGATGTTCGATCGGGTTCCAGTCCAGGCTCTGGCTGGGCCCCTCAAGGATATTCAGAGACTTGTCCCAAAGCCACTCCTGCGTTGTCTTGGCTGTGTGCTTAGGGTCGTTGTCCTATTGGAAGGTAAACTTTCGCCCCAGTCCGAGGTCCTGAGTGGTCTGGAGCAGGTTTTCATCAAGGAGCTCTCTGTACTTTGCTCTGTTCATCTTTCCCTCGATCCTGACTAGTCTCCCAGTCCCTGCCGCTGAAAAACATCCCCACAGTATGATGCTGCCACCACCATGCCTAACCGTAGGGATGGTGCCAGGTTTCCTCCAGACGTGAGGCTTGGCATTCAGGCCAAAGAGTTTAATCAGAACAGAGAATCTGTTTCTCATGGTCAGAGTCCTTTAGGTGCCTTTTGGCAAACTCCAAGCTGTCTGTCGTGCCTTTTACTGAGGAGTGGCTTCCGTCTGGCCGCTCTACCATAAAGGCCTGATTGGTGGAGTGCTGCAGAGATGATTGTCCTTCTGGAAGGTTCTCCCATCTCCACAGAGAAACTCTAGAGCTCTGTCAGAGTGACCATCGGGTTCTTGGTCACCTCCCTGACTATGGCCCTTCTCCCCAATTGCTCAGTTTGGCCGGGCAGCCAGCTCTAGGAAGAGTCCAGATTGTTCCAAACACTTCCATTTTAAGAATGATGGAGTCCACTGTGTTCTTGGGGACCTTCAATGCTGCAGAAATGTTCTGGTACCCATCCCCAGATCTGTGCTTCACCACAATCCTGTCTCGGCGCTCTACGGACAATTCCTTCGACCTCATGGCTTGGTTTTTGCTCTGACATGCACTGTCAACTGTGCGACCTTATATAGACAGGTGTGTACCTTTCCAAATCATGTCCAATCAATTGAATTTACCACAGGTGGACTCCAATCAAGTTGTAGAAACATCTCAAGGATGATCAATGGAAACAGGATGCACCTGAGCTCAATTTCGAGTCTCATAGCAAAGGGTCTGAATTCTTACATTAATAAGGTATTTCCGTTTTATTTTCAATACATTTGCAAAAATGTGTAAAAACCTGTTTTTGCTTTGTCATTATGGGGTATTGCGTGTAGATTGGTGAGGATTTCTATTTATTTAATCAATTTGAGATTAAGGCTGTAGCGTAACAACATGTGGCGAAAGGGTCTGAGTACTTAGAGTGCACTGTATGTGTTATGGCTTCTGTAGTGAAGAAGCATAGCTAGTTTACACTCCAGCATAAGCATATTTCATAGAATAACATATGCCCCCTCTCCACCTTCTCTCCTCTCTTCTTCCTCTCCTCCTCTCCTTCCCCTCCAGACATGGCTGTTTGGTTATGAGCTGACAGACACCATCATGGTGTTTTGTGAGTCTAAGATCATCTTCCTGGCCAGCAAAAAGAAGGTGGAGTTCCTTAAACAGGTGGCTGTCACCAAGGGTAATGAGAACGCCAACGGGGTTCCACCAATCACTCTGCTCATCAGGGAAAAGGTAAGCGCTGATTGGTAGACTCGGGATGTTCTATCGCTGATTCGCTTTCAATGCATATTATCCCATTTTAGTACAGTTCTTTTAATGTGTGTGGCACAAGAAGTCGGTGTGACCGTTCGTGTGTGAGTGCATGAATGTGCATGCACTCATGTCAATGTGTTTGAGCTGAAGGATCACTCTTTAACCTCTCTCTCCCCCTCCTTCCCTCCCCTCAGAACGAGAGCAACAAGGTTAACTTTGAGAAGATGGTGGAGGCAATCAGGGCCAGTAAGGAGGGCAAGACTGTGGGTGTGTTCAGCAAGGACAAGTTCCCCGGTGATTACATGAAGAGCTGGAACGACATGATCACTGCAGAGGGCCTGGAGAAGGTGAGCAAAGGAGGGATGTGGGGAAAGGGACTGAAGGAGGGAGGGGTGAGATGGGTTGATGGTAAAATAATATTGTTTCCATGTGGTGTGTGAATTTACAGAATGGTGGGTAGCTGGTGTGTGTGGCGGGAGGCAATGTTGCATTAAAAAGAGACTCTCACATGTAGCTAGTTATTGGTCTCTGCATCAGGTCACAATCCTCACAGTCTCTCCGTCTCCCTCTCTCTCTCCCCCTCTCACATTCCCGAAGGTGGACATCAGTGCGGTTGTAGCCTACACCATTGCTGTGAAGGAGGACGGGGAACTGGTTCTGATGAGGAAGGCTGCAGCCGTCACCAGCGACGTCTACTCCAAGTTCTTCAAGGAGCGGGTCATGGAGATCGTTGATGCAGACGAGGTAGGCTTTGTAGTCACGATCGTTATCCGCTCCCACAACGCCTGTAGATGGGTGGAACATCCCAGGACCCACATTAATATGATAGAACCATCCTGGAAAGCCACTGTTGTGATTGACAGGTGCAGTCAAATTGGGCCAGACTGACTGACAACCAATTAAAGATATGTCCAAATAGTTTTGAATCATTTCATTTTGTCTCCAAGATGACACGCACACTTTTAGAGCAAAAACAAAGCATTGCGCAGAGCGTTTCCTGAGTGTGTTCTCTCCTCTTTTGTGCCCTAACAGAAGGTGCGCCACAGTAAGCTGGCTGAGTCTGTAGAGAAGGCCATCGAGGAGAAGAAGTTCCTGGGGGGAGCAGACCCCTCCACGGTGGAGATGTGTTACCCCCCCATCATTCAGAGTGGGGGCAACTACAGCCTCAAGTTCAGCGTTGTCAGGTAAACAGACGCTTCCATGGCGATGTCTTTAGTAATGACCGTTTCCACTGTGATCTTTTTTTAGCCTCGTTTCAGTGCTCAACATACATGCAAAAATAAATAATTTAACAGGTTTATCCAAAATGTGACCAGTTTTGATGATAAAGACCAATTTCCTTCTGTATCACACATACAGTACCTGTCACAGCAGACTCATTTATAAGGCATTATAACACCTTTTATAACGCCACTATAACTCTTCAGTGATAAGAACCACATGCACTTTGGGGCCATCACGTGTGCCATGGGGATCCGCTACAAGTCTTACTGCTCCAACCTGGTGCGGACCCTGATGGTGGACCCGCCACAGGAGATGCAGGACAACTACAGCTTCCTGCTACAGGTGGAAGAGGAACTACTCAAAGAGCTCAAACACGGTGCGGGATGGAGGAAGGGAGATGCAGGGTGTGTGTTTGTGGGGTAGAGTACACATGCTTTGCGTAACCTGACTTTTTTTTTTCTGACCTTGTTCTCTGTAGGTGTAAAGATCTGCGACGCGTACAATGCTGTGTTGGACTACGTCAAGAAGGAGAAGCCTGACCTGGCGGCCAAATTCACCAAGAACCTAGGGTAGGACACACACACACACTCTTACCTTCTCACACACTCCCACATGGCCTCGTATTGGTTATTGTATTGATTTATTAGGCTTGGGCGGTATCCAGATTGTCATACCTTCATACGACCTTGTGCCATTCCGGGATATTCGGTAATACCGGCAATGAACATACGGGACACTATTTTCAAACCACACTGATCCTCTTCAATCTGAAGGTTAGCTATGCTAACAAGTACATGTAAAATCCCATAGAGAACTAAATGCTAACGAGCGCATTGCGTACATTTTATACAGTCTCTGACCTAAAGTATTTGCAGTCTAATAAAAAGCATGAGCTGGCGCACATCCCCAAAAAGTTGTTAGAGGTGCTGACTAACGGCGAGTAAACTGTAGGCTACATAGTCAACTGTAGGCTACATAGTCAACTGTAGGCTACATAGTCAACTGTAGGCTACATAGTCAACTGTAGGCTACATAGTCAACTGTAGGCTATATAGTCTGTGCCGCCTTCAGGATCACCCTAAAGAAGGCACAGTGGTGCCGAAACGTTGGTGGTTTACCCAATAAATTACTGGAAGCTTGAATATACAGTGTGCGACTCTCTTTTATCTAAATTATTTGCAGTACAGACATCCCAGCTAATAAAGTTATGCAAGTAACTCAAAAATGCTACTCACAGTTTGCCGCACGCACAAAACAAATATTAGACAGCAAGGCTTTTGATCCAGGAGGGGATTCTCTGCTGTTACCAAGCAAAGCTTGATTTTGGAAGAAGCTAACCACTAAATTGGCAAACCAAATGCACAACTGCAGAGCATTTAGCACATTTTAGACAGTTAACTTAATAGTTATAAGATATCTACACCTAAACAAAAATACACTGCTCAAAAAAATAAAGGGAACACTTAAACAACACAATGTAACTCCAAGTCAATCACACTTCTGTGAAATCAAACTGTCCACTTAGGAAGCAACACTGATTGACAATACATTTCACATGCTGTTGTGCAAATGGAATAGACAACAGGTGGAAATTATAGGCAATTAGCAAGACACCCCCAATAAAGGACTGGTTTTGCAGGTGGTGACCACAGACCACTTTTCAGTTCCTATGCTTCCTGGCTGATGTTTTGGTCACTTTTGAATGCTGGCGGTGCTTTCACTCTAGTGGTAGCATGAGACAGAGTCTACAACCCACACAAGTGGCTCAGGTAGTGCAGCTCATCCAGGATGGCACATCAATGCGAGCTGTGGCAAGAAGGTTTGCTGTGTCTGTCAGCGTAGTGTCCAGAGCATGGAGGCGCTACCAGGAGACAGGCCAGTACATCAGGAGACGTGGAGGAGGCCGTAGGAGGGAAACAACCCAGCAGCAGGACTGCTACCTCCGCCTTTGTGCAAGGGGGAGCAGGAGGAGCACTGCCAGAGGCCTGCAAAATGACCTCCAGCAGGCCACAAATGTGCATGTGTCTGCTCAAACGGTCAGAACCAGACTCCATGAGGGTGGTATGAGGGCCCGACGTCCACAGGTGGGGGTTGTGCTTACAGCCCAACACCGTGCAGGACGTTTGGCATTTGCCAGAGAACACCAAGATTGGCAAATTCGCCACTGGCGCCCTGTGCTCTTCACAGATTAAAGCAGGTTCACACTGAGCACGTGACAGACGTGACAGAGTCTGGAGACGCCGTGGAGAACGTTCTGCTGCCTGCAACATCCTCCAGCATGACCGGTTTGGCAGTGGGTCAGTCATGGTGTGGGGTGCATTTCTTTGGGGGGCCGCACAGCCCTCCATGTGCTCGCCAGAGGTAGCCTGACTGCCATTAGGTACCGAGATGAGATCCTCAGACCCCTTGTGAGACCATATGCTGGTGCGGTTGGCCCTGGGTTCCTCCTAATGCAAGACAATGCTAGACCTCATGTGACTGGAGTGTGTCAGCAGTTCCTGCAAGAGGAAGGCATTGATGCTATGGACTGGCCCGCCTGTTCTCCAGACCTGAATCCAATTGAGCACATCTGGGACATCATGTCTCGCTCCATCCACCAACGCCACGTTGCACCACAGACTGTCCAGGAGTTGACGGATGCTTTAGTCCAGGTCTGGGAGGAGATCCCTCAGGAGACCATCCACCACCTCATCAGGAGCATGCCCAGGCGTTGTAGGGAGGTCATACAGGCACGTGGAGGCCACACACACTACTGAGCCTCATTTTGATTTGTTTTAAGGACATTACATCAAAGTTGGATCAGCCTGTAGTGTGGTTTTCCACTTTAATTTTGAGGGTGGCTCCAAATCCAGACCTCCATGGGTTGATACATTTGATTTCCATTGATACTTTTTGTGTGATTTTGTTGTCAGCACATTCAACTATGTAAAGAAAAAAGTATTTAATACGATTATTTCATTCATTCAGATGTTATTTTAGTGTTCCCTTTTAATTTTTTGAGCAGTGTATAAACGCAGGATGTAAAGTGTTGGTCCCATGTTTCATGAGCTGATATAAAAGATCCCAGAAATGTTCCATACGCACAAAAAGGTTATTTCTCTCAAATGGTGTGCACTAATTTGTTTACATCCCTGTTAGTGAGCATTTGTCCTTTGCCAAGATAATCCATCCACCTGACAGGTGTGACATATCAAGAAGCTGATTAAACAGCATGATCATTACACAAGTGCACCTTGTGCTGGGGACACAAAAGGCCACTCTAAAATGTGCAGTTTTGTCACACAACACATAAGCTACGGACAATGAACACACTTGCAATTTGAATGCACAGAGAGTGACGATCCTGAGGCTCATTGTCGTGCCATTCATCCGCCACCATCACCTCATGTTTCAGCATGATGTCGCAAGGATCTGTACACAATTCCTGGATGCTGAAAATGTCTCAGTTCTTCCATGGCCTGCATACTCACCAGACATGTCACCAATTGAGCATGTTTGGGATGCTCTGGATCGACGTGTTCCAGTTCCCGCCAATATCCAGCAACTTCGACACAGCCATTGAAGAGGAGTGGTACAACATTACACAGGCCACAATCAACAGCCTGATCAACTCTATGCGAAGGAGATGTCTCGCTGCATTTTTTAAGGTATCTGTGACCAACAGATGCATATCTGTATTCCCAGTCATGTGAAATTCATACATTAGGGCCTAATGAATTTATTTCAATTGACGGATTTCCTTGTATGAACTGTAACTCAGTAAAATCTTTTGAAATTGTTGTGTGTTTTATATTTTTGTCCAGTATAGCTGGCAAACATTTAGTTGTGAATTTTATACTGTAGCTAGGTCACCTGACGTGTGCTGCACAACAGTGAGTGGCTCACAAGGCTCCGGTCTCTCGTTGTTTGCTTGTAAACAAACACCACGTGACTGGGGACTACTGGTAAGTTTCATAATGTAAAATAGTGTGACAGGTGAAATGAAGAATGCAATCTTCTTTATCTCCTAAAGTATTGCACAAGTTGACTGCAGGTATTTACTTAAAAATGGTATTTCAAATAAATAGTTTCAACGGTATTGGAAAAACCATCCCGTGGCTATTTCCAAGCAGGGTGGGAAAATGTACTTTTTGGTCCTCCAGCCGCAGTAGCTGGTGAATGCCCTCATTTTACCTGCCATTCAAATCTTTTACCAGCCACTCAAATCTTTTACCAGCCATTCAAATCTTTTACCTGCCATTCAAATCTTTTACCTGCCATTCAAATCTTTTACCAGCCATTCAAATCTTTTACCAGCCATTCAAATCTTTTACCAGCCACTCAAATCTTTTACCAGCCATTCAACTCTTTTACCAGCCACATTTTGTTCTGAAAAAAAATGAAATTAAGGATAAATCACAGAAAACACAGTACCTGCTTTCACTACTATGGTTGAGGTTTTCTCTTCCAGAGCTGACACTCACGTTTTAGTTTTTTATTTATTCGTTTTTTTACATGTGGGTTTTGGATCGAGAAGAAAAAAAAAACTGCTCCCAAATGCTGTATGTGTTCACCCGCCAATTTGGCTGGGAAGAATAGACACTCTACCAGCCGGTGCCAAAATCGACCAGCGCTTGGCTGTCGGCTGGTATTAATTTCCCATCCTGTTTCCAAATACCCCAGTATGCGGTATAAACGGTATACCGCCCAAGCCTATTGATTGAGGATAGAGTATATATTGATTATTGAGGATGGGGTATGTATCATGTATTGAAATTGAGGATCGTGTATGTATCATGTATTGAAATTGAGGATGGTGTATGTATCATGTATTGATTATGTGCGTCCCCTCTTCCTGCTGTAGGTTTGCCATGGGGATAGAGTTCAGAGAGGGTTCCCTGGTCCTGAACAGTAAGAACCAGTACAAACTGAAGAAAGGTAAGCACTCAAGTCACTGTAGTGTCTTACTGAATGTAAGTAGGATACTTTGTAGACATGGTATTGTGTGTGAGTCTCATACAGAGGCCATTTTAAATGGTGTGTAGAGCGGACGCTTTCATAACTGTGTGTTTTCAGGTATGGTACTGAGCATCAGCCTGGGTTTCGCTGACCTGGTGAATAAGGAGGGGAAGAAGGAGGAACAGAAGAAATACGCCCTGTTCATAGGAGACTCAGTACAGATCAATGAGGTAGGAGGGAGGGCAGGGGATGGAAGGATGAGGGTGGGGAAGGAACAGACGAAATACACCCTGTTCATAGAATGTACAGATCAACAAAGTAGGGTTCACACTCTTAGACTTTATTTCAAACTTTTTTTTAACAAAGTCACAGTCAAACATATAGTTCTCTATCAATCACATTTGATATGTCATATTGGCTCAGCGATGGCAGGAAAGAAACACTAAACATTCAGCGTGGCCATTAAAATGTCTATCCTGAAGGACGATCCGGCGACAGTTCTCACTCCGGTCAAGAAGAAGATAAAGAACGTTGGAATCTTCTTAAAGGTACGAAAGATGGCCGCCGTCTCTCTCGGCTTCTTGTTTCACTCAGTCTCTCACAAACCCTGAAAGATGCATATCTATTTCAAATATTAATATGTTTATTTTAGGGCTCTATGTCCTCTAACTGTTATATTTAAGCAATAATACCTGTGGTATATTTTCTGATATACACACGGCTGATAGGCTGTTTTAGCCAATCAGCATCCAGGACCCAAACTACCCATTAAAAATGATTTGTTTCTTCTTGACAGAATGATGAAGAGGATGATGAGGAGGAAGATGCTGACGATGCAGAGGAACTACTGGGGAAGGGAGCGCGTGGACAAGCTTTACTCCAGGACAGGACTAGGGTGTGTGTGTGTGTGTGTGTGTGTGTGTGTGTGTGCTTGAGAGAAATTCACTACACTTACACCATCTCAGTTTGTGTTTATGAGATAAAACATTATCGTTTAATTGGTCAGAATGTGAGCAACTGTTATTTGATTGGTCAGAACGAGATGACTGCAGAGGAGAAGAGGCGGGCTCACCAGAAGGAGCTGGCCAATCAGGTGAACGAGGAGGCCAAGAGACGTCTGACAGAACAGAAAGGAGAGCAACAGGTCCAGAAGTGAGTGAACGAGGGAATAGAGGAGTGGAAGAGAGGGAGGAGGAGGGTAAGGTGTTACAGAAGGAGAGCAACAGGTCCAGAAGTGAGTGAACGAGGGAATAGAGGAGTGGAAGAGAGGGAGGAGGAGGGTAAGGTGTTACAGAAGGAGAGCAACAGGTCCAGAAGTGAGTGAACGAGGGAATAGAGGAGTGGAAGAGAGGGAGGAGGAGGGTAAGGTGTTACAGAAGGAGAGCAACAGGTCCAGAAGTGAGTGAACAAGGGAATAGAGGAGTGGAAGAGAGGGAGGAGGAGGGTAAGGTGTTACAGAAGGAGAGCAACCGGTCCAGAAGAGAGGGGAAAAGAGGAGGGGACGGAGAAGGGATGATGGACTAATGTTTGGAAGGAGGGAGATGGGAGAACGGAATGAGAGGAGGCTGGTAATAGGTAATAAAGGAGTGGAGTGAAGGAGGAGAGGTGGTAGAACGTACATGATGAGGGAGAGAATTATGTTATGGGGATTTTTTTTATAGTGTTATGTTTGTCTAAATGGTATTTCGTAGAAAACTAGGAAAGATACATTTACATGATTAAATAATTAATGATTTCGCTCTCTCCTGATGTTTACGTAGATGGTCTTTCCAAAAATGTGTGCCGTCGCCAATGAATTAAATGATTAAATGAAGTATTTCCCTCTCGCTCTCTCTCTAGGTCCAGAAAATCCAATGTTTCCTACAAGAACGGCTCTCAGATGCCTCGAGAGAAAGACATTCGAGACATGAAGATCTTCATCGACAAGAAATACGAGACGGTCGTCATGCCTGTCTTTGGCATCGCCACCCCTTTCCATATCGCTACCATCAAGGTACCACACACACACACACACACACACTAATCACAATTAGACCACACCTATCTGAGGAAAAACTTGACCTGTCTGTCTGTGTAGAACATCAGTTCGTCGGTGGAAGGAGACTGGACGTACCTGAGGATAAACTTCTATGTTCCCGGCAGCTCTCTGGGACGCAACGAGGGCAACATCTTCCCCAACCCTGATGCCACTTTTGTCAAAGAAATGTGAGAGGAAATGTGTGTGTGACTGAGTGCCCATATACTTACTGCATGTTTCACTGCTGTCAAATATCAAGCAGATGGTCGTAAGTGTGTGTGTGTGTGCTGTATGCATCTTTGTCCACCTGCTGCTGTGTCTGACATTGCTCATACCTCCCCCCAGTACGTACCGGGCATCGAACCTCAAGGCGCCTGGTGACCCAACAGTCCCGTCCACTAACCTCCAGAACGCCTTCCGCATCATCAAGGAGGTGCAGAAGCGCTACAAGACCCGGGAGGCTGAGGAGAAGGAGAAGGAGGGTATCGTCAAGCAGGACTCGCTGGTCATCAACCTCAACCGCTCCAACCCCAAACTCAAAGACCTCTACATCAGGCCCAACATCGCCCAGAAGAGGATGCAGGGGTCACTGGAGGCCCATACCAACGGTGAGGAAAGGGTTCCCATAACAATTAATTGAAAGAGGAGAGTAGTGGAGGAAAGAAGAGAGGGGAAGGAAAGAGGGTGGGGGAACGAAGAAATGGTGGAGGTTCTTCCCAGATCAGAGTGTTGCTGTAGACTATAAGAATGCTGTGTATTCTCAATCAACATTTTAGTCATTTAGCAGATGCTCTTATCCAGAGGCACTTAGTTAGTGCGTTCATCTTAAAATGGGTAGGTGAGACAACCACATATCACAGTCATAGTATAAAAAAGTACTTATCAGCAAAGTTGGGGCTAGTAGGAAAAAGAAGTGTCCCCCTCCATCCCTCAACGGATCTGGTAAATAACATGTCTCTGTCTCTCTGTCCAGGACAGAACCTGGGAAATAACATGTCTCTGTCTCTCTGTCCAGGACAGAACCTGGTAAATAACATGTCTCTGTCTCTCTGTCCAGGACAGAACCTGGTAAATAACATGTCTCTGTCTCTCTGTCCAGGACAGAACCTGGTAAATAACATGTCTCTGTCCAGGACAGAACCTGGTAAATAACATGTCTGTCTCTCTGTCCAGGACAGAACCTGGTAAATAACATGTCTCTGTCTCTCTGTCCAGGACAGAACCTGGTAAATAACATGTCTCTGTCTCTCTGTCCAGGACAGAACCTGGTAAATAACATGTCTGTCCAGGACAGAACCTGGTAAATAACATGTCTGTCTGTCCAGGACAGAACCTGGTAAATAACATGTCTGTCTGTCTGTCTGTCCAGGACAGAACCTGGTAAATAACATGTCTCTGTCCAGGACAGAACCTGGTAAATAACATGTCTCTGTCTCTCTGTCCAGGACAGAACCTGGTAAATAACATGTCTCTGTCTCTCTGTCCAGGACAGAACCTGGTAAATAACATGTCTGTCCAGGACAGAACCTGGTAAATAACATGTCTGTCTGTCCAGGACAGAACCTGGTAAATAACATGTCTGTCTGTCTGTCTGTCTGTCCAGGACAGAACCTGGTAAATAACATGTCTGTCTGTCTCTCTGTCCAGGACAGAACCTGGTAAATAACATGTCTGTCTGTCTCTCTGTCCAGGACAGAACCTGGTAAATAACATGTCTGTCTCTCTGTCCAGGACAGAACCTGGTAAATAACATGTCTGTCTGTCTCTCTGTCCAGGACAGAACCTGGTAAATAACATGTCTCTCTGTCCAGGACAGAACCTGGTAAATAACATGTCTGTCTGTCTGTCTGTCCAGGACAGAACCTGGTAAATAACATGTCTGTCTGTCTGTCTGTCCAGGACAGAACCTGGTAAATAACATGTCTGTCTGTCTCTCTGTCCAGGACAGAACCTGGTAAATAACATGTCTGTCTCTCTGTCCAGGACAGAACCTGGTAAATAACATGTCTGTCTGTCTGTCCAGGACAGAACCTGGTAAATAACATGTCTGTCTGTCCAGGTTTCCGTTTCACGTCCGTCCGCGGGGACAAAGTGGACATTCTCTACAACAACATTAAACACTCCCTCTTCCAGCCCTGTGACGGAGAGATGATCATCGTACTGCACTTCCACCTCAAGGTACCTGTGTGTGTGTGTGTGTGTAACCTTAGGCTTAGTACAAGATGTCTAACCTTATATGCTTTGTAATCAGGCTGTAGGTATTTGGTTCTATGCTTTCGCCTGGGGCATTTGGAGGGGTCTTGATTTAGTTTAGGCGTGTGTATTTGTGCGTCCATTTTGACTAATCCCACCCCTCTCGTCCTGCATCAGAACGCCATCATGTTTGGTAAGAAGCGTCACACAGACGTGCAGTTCTACACAGAGGTAAATAAAGTTTTTATCGTATGTTTTATCTTACCTTAATATATTGTCTTAAGATAGGATAAGACAATATTATCTCCTCTTAGGTGGGTGAGATCACCACAGACCTGGGGAAGCACCAGCACATGCACGACCGCGACGACCTGTACGCCGAACAGATGGAGAGAGAGATGAGACACAAGCTCAAGTCTGCCTTCAAGAACTTCATCGAGAAGGTGGAGACCCTCACCAAGGAGGCACTGGAATTCGAAGTGCCCTTCCGAGACCTCGGGTATGAGGGAGAAGGGAGGGATGGAGGGATGGAGGGAGGGAGAAGGGAGGGATGGAGGGAGGGAGGGAGGGAGGGAGGGATGGAGGGAGGGATGCAGAGTGATATGGACAGGGTAAGGGCGTTTTGAGAAGGCGTGTGAATATTAAAGGGAATATTCATCCATTTTGAATGTTGTACAGTTTTTGTGCATCTTTGAGCGATGTTCTATCGATTCCTGAGGACATTGCATGTTTTAATGTGTATCTGAGTTTCGCATCATATGATGAGTGAATCTTTCCTTTAAGGGGGGGGAAGCATGGAGTTGGGTGTTCAAGTAATGAACTGTATGAAACTGTTTAAGTTAATAATATCAGTCTCGTTGCGGAGGACATTACTGTGTGTGTGTGTGTTCAGGTTCCAGGGTGCCCCCTACAGGAGTACCTGTCTGTTGCAGCCCACCTCCAGCTCCCTGTGTAACACCACTGAGTGGGTGAGTGCTTATTACTGCTACCGCTGCTACTACAACTACTACTACCATTAGTACTACTACTACCGCTAGTACTACTACTACTACCGCTAGTACTACTACCACTAGTACTACTACTACTACTGCTACCACTACTACTGCTACCGCTGCTACTACTACCGCTAGTACTACTACTGCTACCACTACTACTACTACTACTACTACTACTACTACTACTAGTACTACTGCTACCACTACTACTGCTACCGCTACTACAACTACTGCTAGTACTACTACTACTGCTGCTACTGCTAGTACTACTACTACTACTACTACTGCTGCTACTACTACCGCTAGTACCACTACTACTACAACTACTTCTAGTACTCTTACTGCTACCGCTACTACAACTACCGCTAGTACTGCTAGTACTATTACTGCTACCTCTAGTACTACTACCGCTACTACTACTACTACTACTACTACTACTACTACTACTACAACACACATTAATACTACTACTACTACTGTTACACACATTAATACTACACCACACTAGCACTACTACTACTACACATATTAATACTACATCACAGTAACACTACTACTATTACTACACATATTAATACTACACCACACTAACACTACTACTAACACATATTAATACTACTACTACACATTAATACTGCTACACCACAGTAAAACTACTACTACACATGAATACTACTGCTACTACTACACATTAATACTACACCACACTACTACTACTACTACTACACCGCTATTACTACTATTATTACTACTACACACATTAATATTACTGCTGCTGCTACTACACCACATTAATACTACTACTACTACTACTACACACATTACTACTACAGCACATTAATACTACTACAGCACATTAATACTACTACTACACACATTGCTATTACTACTACTACTACTACAGAAATTACTACTACACACTAATAATACTACTACTACTACTACTACTACTACACATTCACTGATATAGTCAGCAGCACTGCTTGCATTCTCCACCATGTGTTTTAAACCAAGCTAGGCCTTGAGGCAGATATTTTATCTAATAAAATCCTTTGTAGGTTAAAGTTAACACTAAAAAGGTACATGCTCTCAGCAGTCTACTATATATATATATATATTTTTTTCTTCTCATCATTCCATCCTCTCTCGCTCCTTCCCCAGCCTCCGTTCGTGGTGACTCTGGATGAGGTGGAGCTGGTGCATTTTGAGCGCGTTCAGTTTCACCTGAAGAACTTTGACGTGGTCATCGTCTACAAGGACTACAGCAAGAAGGTCACCATGATCAACGCCGTGCCCGTCAACTCACTGGACCCCATCAAGGAGTGGCTCAAGTAAGTGCATCGATTAACCTAGACTCGTTTTTCTGACTAGATTACTAATCTACCGCCTTTCCTCAAAGTCCCGCCCACAGTGATTGATTGACAGGTCTGAAACCCTACCAACTCTGTGACTCACCAACATCCTTGCCCCCTCACCTGAAAATTTCGCCCACAGTGATTGATTGACAGGCCAAACTCTTAAAGGGATAGTTCACCAAAATTACACATTGGTTTCCTTATCCTAGGTGTCCACAACAGCAGATCCAATAAAATTTATTTGAGTTTGAGTTTATTTTTTACAGGGACAGTGCACATTAATCAACGTTTCAGTAAAAGTGCCGGTTTTAGCCAGCCGGCTAATTTTCAACCGCAGTCCCTGGGCAGGTTATTAAAAACAATTACAATATAGACAATAACAACATAGAACAAGACATAGCATACAGACATAGCAACATAGGACAAGCAAGACGTAGCATACAGACCGAGCAACATAGAACAAAAAGCAGCAAGACAAAATTCATAAAAGCAACAAAATGTTTCCACACCTCACAAGTTACAGACAACAGACATGGAAAGCGGCAACACACAGCTAGGGACCATGTTCACAAATCTGATTGACCTTTAGCCATGTCTTCAAGCATTTTGTGAAAGTGTGATATGTGGTGCAGTTGTGTGTGTCTGATGGCAGTGTATTCCAGACATGGGAAGCTCTCACAGAAAAAGCAGATTTACTAAAGGTGCTTTTCCTTAGGGGAACTACACAGTCACCTCTCATGGCAGACCTTGTGGATCTGCTGCCATATGTTTGGGTTTTCTGTTTAACAAAAATACTGAGTGGAGGGGGAGCCAAGCCATTTAGGATCTTGAATACAAGACATGCATCGGTGTATTGCACAAGATTTTCCCAACTCAGGAGCTCATGCTTTCTAAGGATGTGACAGTGATGATGGCTATTGGGCTTCCTATCAAGCACTTTGAGAGCCTGTTTGTAGACAGACTGAATAGGTCTTACTGTTGTACAGCAAGCTTGGGCCCAACTAGTCAAGCAGTATGTTAAGTGGGGGAGTATCATAGATTTGAAGTACAGTTTTGCTACCTCTGTAGTCAAACAATTTCGTATAAATCGGAAATTAGCTAGGTTGAATTTGGTTATTTGAATTACCTTTTTCACATGCTTTTTAAAAGAGAGGTTGGAATCAAGTATGATGCCAAGGTACTTAAAATCAGATACCCCCTGGAGCTTCTCCCCTGACACATAGACTTCTGGCTCAGTAGCATCTGTTGCCCTCTTTGTGAAGAACATGCAAACAGTTTTTTTCACATTGAGATGCAAACACGAGTCACTGAGCCACTTTGTAACCTGGACCATTACAGTAGTGAGTTCTTGTGCAGCTTGTTGTTTGCTCTTTGCATGCACATATATCACTGTATCATCTGCATACATTTGAACTTCAGACCCAGTACAGACAGAAGGCAGATCATTAATGTACAGGCTGAACAGGAGGGGCCCCAGTATTGACCCTTGGGGCACACCCACATCATAGCTAAGAGTGGGCGATAGCTCATTGCTCACTCTGACACACTGAGTTCTGCCTTCAAGGTATGATTTCATCCATCTCAAGGCATCGGGGGAAAAGTTGAACTTGGACAATTTTGTGATGAGAATCTCATGGTTAACAGTATCAAAAGCCTTCCTTAGGTCCAGAAACACAGCCCCAACAACGCCCCCTTTGTCCATCTTGGACTTCACATTTTCCAGAAAAAAGCAGTTGGCCATTTCTGTGGAGTGTTTCGCTCTGAAGCCAAACTGCATGGAATGTAATGTGAAGGGGCTGTTGTTGAGGTGGGCAATCAGTTGTTCTGCTACACACTTTTCAACAACCTTTGACACCACAGGTAGTATACTAATGGGCCTGTAGTTACTCACGTCAGCAGGGTCGCCTGATTTTAAAGATGGCCGTTATTATGGCCGACTTCCATACCCTTGGAAACACCCCGAGACCAATAGATGTGTTGGTGACCCTGAACTTGAAGAACAAACATCATTGTGGCAATTCATATCTTGCAGTAAAACTAAATATTAGTTGAATCTCATGAGAACAGGTTTAATGTTAAAGGTTCTCTCACTTAGAACATAGTCCTGATCACGTAGACCTTCGCCTAGACGATATCCAAAACAACTAACACACTGAATTCATACATTTTTGTGGTCTTTCTACTGAATGCCACAACTCGTGTTACCAATCTGGCAGGTAAAGTCGTTAAAGTATTTAATAATTTAGCTGTGAATTTCGGAAGGAATCAAGGCATTAGAATGTACCAGAGGCTGTCACAAATGGAGCTCGTTCTGCCCCCCAACAATTCAGGGGACACCGTCCCCCCCCAAGCCCGGAACGTACGGAAAGCACTGATTAACCAATCAACCAATTAGCAGTCAGTTAACTCACTGGACCCCATCAAGGAGTGACTCAAGTGGACTGGATCTGTGTGGCTCAGTTGGTAGTGTGGCACCTTCAATGCCAGAGTCGTGGGTTTGATTTCAGCTCACCGATACGAAAATGGAATCTGTAGAACGTTCTGGATTAAAAGTGTCTGCTTAATGTCATATATCCATCAACCGATCACTTTGTGGATTTAGTCTCCTCCTTTTTAACTGTGAATTCGTTTTTGGGGAAAGGAATTTGTTTTTAAATGGATGTTTGTGTTAGCAGAGTTTTACCAAGTGTTGCTCCTCAAAATAAAAAACGACTTTAAAGAAAAACCTGTCGCTCTCTCCTCTCCTTCCCCCTCACACTCTCTCCACCCCACCTCTCTCACTCTCCAGTTCCTGTGATATCAAGTACACAGAGGGGGTCCAGTCTCTGAACTGGACTAAAATCATGAAGACTATAGTGGACGACCCAGAGGGCTTCTTTGAACAGGGGGGGTGGTCCTTCTTAGACCCGGAGAGTGAGGTGAGGACTGTGTGAGAGTGAATGTGGAGCGTGTGAGAGTGAATGTGGAGCGTGTGAGAGTGAATGTGGAGCGTGTGAGAGTGAATGTGGAGCGTGTGTGTGCTATTAAAACATAGTGTTGTGTTAAAATGAAGATGTTGGACAAAAGTGTTTCTCTCTGTTTCTCTGTCTCTCTCTGTTTCTCTCCATCTCTCTCTCTCTCTGTTTCTCTCTATCTCTCTCTCTGTTTCTCTCCATCTCTCTCTCTCTCTGTTTCTCTCTCTCTCTCTCTCTCTGTTTCTCTCCATCTCTCTCTCTCTCTGTTTCTCTCCATCTCTCTCTCTCTCTGTCTCTCTCTCTCTGTTTCTCTCTCTCTCTCTTTGTTTCTCTCTCTCTCTGTTTCTCTGTCTCTCTGTTTCTCTCCATCTCTCTCTCTCTCTGTTTCTCTCTCTCTCTCTCTCTGTCTCTCTCTCTCTGTTTCTCTCTCTCTCTTTGTTTCTCTCTCTCTCTGTTTCTCTCTCTCTCTCCATCTCTCTCAGGGGGAAGGAGCAGAGGATGACTCTGAGTCAGGGGAAGACCAGACCTTTAACCCCTCGGCAGACGAGAGTGAGGCAGAGGAGGAAGACAGTGATGAAGATTATGACTCAGAGAGCGAGGACTCTGGTAATGGTAACAAGTCATGTTGAGACACACACACAGATGATTACTGACCCATACATAGTCCTCTCTCATTTTCACAAAAACACACACCACTTACATTGACTTACTGTCACACGCACGTACACACACACACACAAACATAAACGTACAGAGACTTAGTAGTGTGTGTATTTCAGACTACAGTGCATCGCTGGGCAGTGAAGAGGAGAGTGGTAAAGACTGGGATGAGTTGGAAGAGGAGGCCAGGAAAGGTAAGTCTACTCCTCTACATTCTCCCCCAAGGAGGGAAAAACCTAGCTTACCATCCCTGAAGCAAGAGGTACCATCGCTTGCTGGTCCATGGTATAGAAAAGGTGGAGAAACACTTGAAAATACTACTACTTTGTTATCCAATGTGAATTGGAACTTCTTCATTGAACGACCTATGACAGTTTTGTCCTCGTATGTTTTGATATTGACACTCGTAATGTGAAATCGGTTGCAAATGTTTTGATATTGACCCTTTCCCTCCCTCCCTCTCTCTCGCCTCCTCCCCTAGCCGACATAGAGTCTCACTACGAGGACACGGAGGAGACCTCGTCGGCCAATAGGAAGCGGAAGGGCCGCTCGTCAGCCCCACCCCCCATCGCCAAGAAGAAACGGCGCCACTGAATGATGACATCACCAGACACGGTCTCAACAAAACACACACTGCCAAAACATTGTCTCCTCCAATTCATCTTCGCTCTCACTTCCCTTCATCTTTCCCTCATACGCAAACACAAACACAGAAACACACACACGCTATACAATGTGTCTATAGAGGTAGTAGCATCCCCATGCGTTTGTATTAGGCAGTGAGTGTCGTGATTTAAATGGCCATATCGTACCTGACGACAGACGGACACAAACTCCATCTCTTTCGTTCTATTCCTTCTTTCTTCATTCCTCCTTCCTTTCCTTTGGCAACTCTCACTCCCCTGTTTCCAGGAGCCAGGTGTCTTTGTGTGTGTGTTGAAAGGGTTTTTATTGCAAACTATAGTTTTTCTGTTAAATTGTTTCTAAACCAATAGAGTAAGCAGTGATAATGATGACATACAGTATCTTCTGCAAAGCATTTTATACAATTTTGTGAAAACAAATAATCTTCTGTTCCCTCCCTCCTTCCACTTCTGGCATTCTACCATTCATCCTCTCATCTTCTTGGACACAGTTTATTTGCTGAGTAAGATTGATATCTTGATCGTTGGGGAGGGGGGAGCAGAGCCAGATACCAATATTAATTTTTGATGCCGTTTTCCAATTCCTTTGTTTTAATGGGGGTTTGTACAGACTGACACAGACACTCACAATGTCTCTCTCATTCCCCCCCCCCCTCCCTCTTTCCTCCCTGTCTCTCTCATTCCCCCCCCCCTCCCTCTTTCCTCCCTGTCTCTCTCATTCCCCCCCCCCCTCCCTCTTTCCTCCCTGTCTTTTTGTTCATCCTGGATAGATAGACTGTTGAATTGTTAATTAAAAATCCTGATGTTTTTTGTAATAAAATTCAAAAATAAATTGTGGTTATTTTTGTCTCATTCATTTAAGTGTCACTTTCAATGCTACCTATTAATAACTATGAAATTGATTAACCATCCTCTGTGCTACATTGTACACTTCTGAGTTGGTCTAGCACAGTGCTTCTCAATTATTTTCTGTTGCGCCCCCCCTAGGAATAAGTAAACATTTCGCGCCCCCCAACTGGAAATAGTATCATTTGTCTATGAAATTGTTCTAAGTACACCTCTGCATAACATTGTATCCTTATTAACATTAAAGAAAATAAAAAATAAAATAAAGAAATATAGATCAACTTACAACAAAGAATAACTTTATTAACATTGTTTTTTAGTCTGTAACAGAAAAGACTTAAAGTGCATCAATTTGCCTGAAATCTGCCTTATTTTAACTGTAAAATTTTTTTGACCATTTGATACTGAAAAATAAAATAAAATATAATCAATAAATAATAATAAATTCAAATTGATCAGCAACATGAACTCAGGAGCCCAATATATGAAACACTGACCTATAAAACAAAAATGAATAAAACCATTTGTGCTGATTTTTTTTTTTAGCAAAATGAGGAAGTCAGCATTAATGGCAAAAGGCACGTTTGTCTTTGAGTTTATCTACCAGCTGTTCTTTAAGATCGTTAGCAATGTCATTTATACGTCTGGCGACAGTGTCATTGGACAGAGGGATAGTTTTTATTTTTGCAGCACTTGCGTCATCCAGCATGACAGAGACCATGTCTAATGCTGCAGGCAGTATCAGCTCCTCTGCTATGGAGTGTTTTTTTTTTTGCACTGAGCAATTTGGTACGCCACCTTATATGATGCTAACAGTGCTCGCTGGTTTCCTGAAGTAGCATTCACAAAGCGGGACGATTGTTGGCAATATTCGGCATGTTTTCGCTGAAAAAACTCAAGCGGCTTATCAGCGTGATTGGGGTGTAATGTATTTAAGTGACGCCTTAATTTATTTGGCTTCATGCTGTCCGCTGCCAACATTTTTAGACACAGTAAACATACCGGTCTTTCCTCTTCCACCGTAGTCACAGTGAAGCCAAGCGCTACATACGCTTCGTCATATTTCCTCGTTTTAGCTTTCGGGAGACTTACGTTTGTCTCATTATCTCCGTCTCTCTCCGCCTTTCTTTTCATCCCTGTTAAATATGTTTCCATGGCGTCTCTTAAGGGTTTGTTATCTGCACTTCATATCTCATACTCTGTGCTTTTGTTCGGTGCAAAAAAAAACTACTCCCTGCGGCAAAAAAAAGCATGTTCCCCAGGGTCACACGCGCCCCCCCGGCATCGCTCCGAGCCCCCCCAGGGGGGCGCGCCCCACTATTTGAGAAGGACTGCATATGATGACCGGTCTTCTGTGATTTTGGATGAGAATAACCGTATTTATAGCGCTTTCCAATACAAGTAACAAAGTGCTTCACATCGTAAAATAATGAAATGAAAGTACTAACAAAGAATGGAGGAAGTTGGCTGGCTATCTTCTCTGCCACTTAACCACACCAGTTAAGTGACAATTGACAGGCGGTATGAGGAAAACTAACAATGGGACCAAATCTAAAGTGTGTAAAGGACAATTTCCTTAGTTAATACTCTTTGGGCCACAATGAGCTCCACAGACAAAAAGGAGGGGGTTAGAAAACTGCTTTGGTGTAACTAACTGAAGGTACACTACATGACCAAAAGTATGTGGACACCTGCTCGTCAAATGTCTAATTCCAAAATCATTGGTATTAATTTGAACTTGGTTCCCCTTTTGCTGCTGTAACAGCCTCCACTCTTCTGAGAAAGCTTTCTACTAGATGTTGGAACATTGCTGCAGGGACTTACTTCCATTCAGCCACGAGCATTAGAGAGGTCGGGCGATTAGGCCTGGCTCACAGTTGGCGTTCCAATTCATCCCAAAGGTGTTTGATGGGGTTGAGGTCAGGGCTCTGTGCAGGCCAGTCAAGTTCTTCCACACCGATCTCGACAAACCAGTTCTGTATGGACCTCGCTTTGTGCACGGGGGCATTGTCATGCTGAAACAGGAAAGGGCCTTCCCCAAACTGTTGCCACAAAGTTGGAAGCACAGAATCGTCTAGAATGTTATTGTATGCTGTAGCGTTAAGATTTCCCTTCACTGGAACTAAGGGGCCTAGCCCGAACCTTGAAAAACAGCCCTAGAATATTATTCCTCCTCCACCAAACTTTACAGTTGACACATTGGGGCAGGTAGCGTTCTCCTGGCATCCGCCATACCCAGATTTGTCCGTCGGACTGCCAGATGGTGAAGCGTGATTCATCACTCCAGAGAACACGTTTCCACTGCTCCAGAGTCCAATGGTGGCGAGCTTTACACCACTCCAGCCGACGCTTGGCTTTGCGCATGGTGATCTTAGGCTTGTGTGCGGCTGCTCGGCCATGGAAACCGATTTCATGAAGCTCCCGACGAACAGTTCTTGTGCTGACAATGCTTTCAGAGGCAGTTTGGAACTTGGTAGTGAGTGTTGCAACCGAGGACAGACGATTTTTATGCGCTTCAGCACTCGGCGGTGGTATCCTATGACGGTGCCACGTTGAAAGTCACTGAGCTCTTCAGTAAAGCCATTCTACTGCCAATTTTTGTTTATGGAGATTGCATGGCTGTGTGCTCGATTTTATACACCTGTCAGCAACGGGTGTGGCTGAAATAGCCGAATCCACTCATTTGAAGGGCTGTCCACATACTTTTGTACCACAGGAGGTTGGTGGCACCTTAATTGGGGAGGACGGGCTCATGGTAATGACTGGAGCGGAATCAGTGGAATGGTATCCAACACATCAAACACATGGTTTCCATTTGTTTGATGCCTTTCCATTTGCGCCGTTCCAGCCATTATTATGAGCAGTCCTCCCCTCAGCAGCCTCCACTGTTTTGTATATATAATGCATATTTTCACATGTCCTTTATGGCTTCACAAATAATTCTGGGGATAAGGATTACATGTTAACATATTGTAACAGGACAGAAGGGAGACAAGCTGCAAGCTCTAGTAGTAGAGTTATTTACCAATTACCTGGCGTTTCTGTATACCTCTACATGTTCACTATAGATATGTAGAAATCTGAAGAAGTGCGAAGGAGCTTCATTTGTTATGTACACAATACTGATGTCATAGTAAGGAAGTAGCCTCTTTCTATAGAACCTAGATCAGTGTTCCTTTTGAATCATCTGAATTGCCTTCTGTTATCCCTATTGTACAAGATTTTGACCTAAAATGTGGTTGTTTTTTTCCACACAGAAATATAACTAAGACTACCGCCAAAGCACAGTATCCAGTCATGGGCTGGAGTCTATTTCCTAATGCTCCTTTCAGGTGAGTCTCACCTCTGTTATTAGAATACTGTCAATAGTGCAATTTTATAACACTTTAATTTATTCATTCATTACGTTAATTTGAAAGGGACAATTCACATCAATCAACATTTCTGTAAATGTGCCAGATTTAGTCAGCTGGCTAGTTGTCACCTGTTGTTCCTTTTATAATTAACATTCATTCTCTTCATCTGCTTCCCATAGGGTTGTGTAGCCTGTCTTCTTCCTCACTCGTCAGTACCACTTTGTTAACGACCTTAAGACCTGGACTGAAGCACAGAGCTACTGCAGAGAGAAGTACACTGACCTGGCCACCAGAGACAACATGGAGGATATGAAGAGGCTGTAGACAGTGGTTACTGATAGGGCTGTATGATGACCGTACCAGTTGGAACTGGTCTTTCACTGGGAAAAAGTCCTACACAAGGTTCTGAACTTGTTTAAAATAATTTTTTTATACATTCAGTTTGTTTTCAGACCTAGTTTTTATTTCGTTTTCATTACAAATTTCTATTTCTTTTTTTATATGATTTAGTTTCAGTTTTAGTTTACGATAATTATCTTGGTTCTGCAGAGAATAATTTGTTTTTGCTCGTTTTCATTGCATAAACATATACAACCTTGGTTCTACAGAGAAGGAGAGACAGAGTTTGCAAACTGAGATGACGGACAAACTGATAATTTTGGAGGAAGTCATTACTGTGAACTGTTATTGAATGGAGGGAAGTGGGAAGATACCAATTGTTTTCCGGACGAACTTCCTTGTGTGCTGTGATGGTGAGTAGCCCTCTGTACTTGTGTATTTTAGTTTCCCCATGGACAGCAATGCATGACTAAGTGAAAATTCTAAGTGGAAGTTAGTATTCGCTCTTGAAAGATCAGGAACTTTGAAAGACACTGAAGAATTTTCATCATAACATTGAATTATCATAGTTAAAATGCAAACCCAGGTATAAATGTTTGTCCACTTTTATGGAGCAAATCCTAACTTCCATTTAAGTAAATTCTTAATTTAACATTGATGTCAATGGGAAACTAAGTTGGTCTGAAGCTCAGAGCTACTGCAGAGAGTACTACACAGACCTGGCCAGTGTGAGGAACCAAGCTCAGAACCATGGAAGTACAAAGCCCGGAGCAACAGCAGCGTGTGTATTGGTCTGTTCAGAAGCAGGGTGTGGTCAGATCTCCTCCTTCAGGTAACATCAACACGTTACAGTGCATTCGGAAAGTATTCAGACCCCTTCCCTTTCCACAATGTGTTACGTTACAGCCTTATTATAAAATTGATTAAATAAAACATGTTCCTCATCAATCTACACACAATACCCCATAATGACAAAGCGAAACAGGTTTTTAGACATTTTTGCTAATTTATTAAAAATAAAAACCAGAAATACCTTATTTACATAAGTGTTATAACTATAACATGCTATAACACTCGAAATTGTGCTCAGGTGCATCCTGTTTCCATTGATCACCCTGCGGTGGAAGAAAAAGACTGACACAGACTGAGATGGATGGAAGAAGGGAGGAGAAGGAGGAGAAGGGAGGAGGAGAAGGAGGAGAAGAAAGAAAGGAGGATGAAGAGAGAAGCATTTATTTATTTTCATGGCAAATATAGAGGAAATCTGCTACAGAAAGATGGCTTTATTCTTTGATACTTGTCTAACTCTTAAAAAGGATAACAATGTACTTCACTGTATACTAATTAGTTAATACTCTTTGTGATTCAACATTCATTGTAAATTCTGTATTTACGGATTTAATATACGTATACTTTACTGTACAACACACTATATAAACTAAATCAGCTCTTATCTAAATGTTAATATTATCATTTGTCCTGTCGCTATAGAAGTTTCTTTAATTTTGACCCCAAGAAGAAACTTTTGGAAAAAGCAACAATCACAGCAATAATATGAACTTATTTCTCATCAGAATATCATTAGACATGCAATTAATGTTATCTGAAATAAAAATGACCAAAATATACTGTTATTTTAGCAAAATGACAGTGAATTTGCATATTCTTTCAAACCAAAATATAGATTTTTCCTTTATATAAAGTTCAGATTTTTTCCAAAGTACAATCCACCTTAGTACTAAAAAGTTAATTTACCATCATTTGATTTATTTGTAAGTTTTCCGAATTTTGAAGAAAATAGGAATTTTGTCATGTTTATGTGGTAAAACTACTCCCATTTAAAGGCACCAAAATACACAAATATTTGAAATATACTTCATTTTATTGACAAAACGTTATTCAATTCACTTCAAAAAGTTATCCTGAGAGACATTGACCAAAAATATGGCTTAGTTTTCTTTATTTACTCACCCCACAGCCAGCATTAGCATCGCTGCTAGTGATACAATGGGAGTGGTAGGGCCTATGGCAGGATGCTTAAAAAAGCATGCACAAATCCTTTAAGTTACTTTAAACCAAATGGTATAGCACCCAAAATATCAAAACGAGTTGCTCATAAAGAATATTGGAGGATATTATAGGAATTGTTATTGTTTTTATAAATTTTTCTGTGAAGCGCATTGCGTTGCTGAAATGTAATATATAAATAAAGTTTGATTTGATTCAGAGGGTAGCTGGTTTATGTACTACACTTCTACCAAGTATTCATACCACTGACAGACTTTTACGAGCTGTTTTGACTGTAACTAAGCCTATATCTAAGGTCATTTACATTCTTTACACACCCATATCTAGTTATAACCAGTTATAACCATAGACGAGTACATCTGGTGCTCCATCTCTGCAGGGGATCTGTCCATCAGGTCAAGATCACTCCAACAGGTCCCCGTCACCCTCTGAGGATATGAATAATGTAATATTATGTCTCCAGAGAAACCTGGATTCAAATAAATACTTTTTTAGATTTGTCCTGGGATAACTACTTTTGGGAGAGTACACACCAATACAGGTCTCTATGTAGAATCACTGATCATTGATACAGGTCCCCCTCCACCCTCTGGTGGTATGGAAAACATTACATTATGTCTCCAGAGAAACCTAGATTCAAATAAAGGTCCTAATTATCAAATTACAGTAGGCGGAATTAGGTGTATTTTGTCTGGGGTCAAAATGACCCCAAAAGACTTAAATAAAAAAATCCATATTGATACACTAAAAAAACAAAAAATATTTGTTAAGAACAAGTTGATTGACAAAGTCATGAACAATTTGAAGAATTTATTAAACAACCTTTGGGCTATGATAAAAAAAAAAGAATCCTCTGGGGTCAAAATGACACTAGTTGGTGGCTTGAGGCAGTGCCGGACTATCGCATTTGGGGCCTTGGGGCACCGACCTCAGCCCTGGCTTGAAGGTTAAAGTTGTAAGTGTTCAGAAGGTGGTTCTGAAAGTATTGTCAGGATGATTATTTTCTTACAAAAACATGATCGGCGCTTTTCCCCCCACAATATCGAATGGAAATCATTATTTTGGGTTCTATTGGTTTGACTGTTTTTCTTTAACATTCTCCAGGATTTGACAGCGGACACCTCCCTTCTCACCTTGCTCAGTAAAATTAAGTGACTGATAGTGGCATGCAAATTAGGCTTCTCTGCAGTTTGGCGGAGCATAGAAAGTATGCTTAAAAAAAAGTGATAGCCAGGAAGGTGCGAGATCAGACTTGACCAGGAAAATAAAGCATTAGTGATTGATTGTAATTTAACAACAGTGGAGAGACACCTGAAAAAAAGGGGTTTCCACTAGTTACCACAGCTACAAAGTCAAAATGGCTTTTTGGTCTTCATTTAAGGTTAGGGTTAGGCATAAGGTTAGCAGTGTGGTTAAAATTAGGGTTAAGGTTAGGTTTAAAATAACTTTTTAAGAAGATAAATTGTAGAAAAAGGCGGGGTTTATGACTTTGTGGCTGTGATAACCAGTGACGACGCCTGAAAGGAGCATTAGGAAATAAATAGACACCCCAACCCATGACTGGATACTGTGCTTTTGGTGCGAGTCTTAGTGGTGGTGCGAGTCTTAGTGGTAGACTATGTATTTTATAATACGCTAAGCCCGGGCGGCAGTCTAGGGGCTACTGCACGCAGCTTAGAGGGAACATTGGGTGCAATCCATACGCACATTCTGTAGTGTGTGTTCATGTAAGGAACTAGCCCGGAATGTAACCTGTTTTACTGGAAAGAAGACAAGAACAAGAAATACAGGATGTGTAAGGGGAGCTAAAACTGGGGAGGTGTGAAAGTGTTACTTCATTATAAGCATCTCCAAACGCTTCTCCTTCACTTATTTCAAACGATCCAGCTAACGTAGTGGATCTCTCGCCAGTAGTTCTTCTGACACAGGGAATTGGTTGAAGGGAATTCAACTGTTAGATATGAAAAGGTGTGTGCCGCTCCTCCTGCTACTCTCAGGTAAGTCTCATTATCCTGTACACACACACACACATACAGACACTCTTACTGCATATAGTATGCAATACAGTGTGTGTGTGTGTGTAGGAAATCAATCTCCAATGGAGGCACTGGATTCTTGCATATGTTGAATTTTGTGTGCGTCCTTTTTCAGGGTTCCACCAACTGTCGTCAAGCCTCACCGGCCAATACTTCTTTGTGAATGACCCCAAGACCTGGACTGAAGCACAGAGCTACTGCAGAGAGAAGTACACTGACCTGGCCACCATAGACAACATGGAGGATATGAACAGATTCAGACAAGTTGTCAATGGATACAATGGAAATGTCTGGATAGGGCTGTATGATGATGTTAACAGTTGGAGGTGGTCTCTAGAAGATAGTGGTTTCTATGGAGACGGGGAGGCAGTGTTTAGGAACTGGGACAGCGGACAGCCTGATAACCAAGGCAGCGGACAGTATTGCACAGTGATGAGAGACAACGGAAGGTGGAACGACGAGCGTTGCTCAAACAAAGACATCTTCATCTGCTACGACGGTAAGAAATAACCGATTACATAAACCTATTATGCATTTTTTTGGACGATACACACACCTATGACCCCCCCCCACTGGGCACACCAAGTCATTTGAATGTGGACAATTGGGTAATATTTGTAGATACGTTGATCAATGAGATTACAACCTATATTCACCCACTGAAAAAGACAGCAAAAAGTTTGTTGAATTCCAAATGTGTTATCACGTTGCTTTCAACCATGTAAAAGAACCACCAAATTCCAATGAAAAAACATTGTCTGATTTTTGGTTTAGTTGTCACGTGTTATCACTGCACTTAATAACAATTTAAAAGCACAACACAATTCAAGTGGGAAAACAAGTGTGATTGGATATTTCAACCTTGTGACGTATCCCATAAGAGACATCAAAACGAATACTAGAAAAATAGAACCCCAAAATGTGTCCATGGATGTTTTACTCATCATAAGGTTGAATAAATACTGTTAATTTAGTTTGTAAGATAGCCTTAACTTTAGGCTATTTACTGTATTACAAAAGTCTACACAACCAAATATCAACATTTGAGAAGGAGATGTATCAACTGCTTGGATAGTTCGATCTGTGCTACTGGCTTAGTTTGTGTCCAGTGAGCTATGAAGACACACAAGAAGAGGCTGGTGGGAGGAGCTATATGAGGACTGGCTCATTGTAATGGCTGGAATGGCATAAATGGAATGAAGTCAAACATACCGTTCCCAACTATTCCATTCCAATGAGCCCGTCCTCCTATAGCTCCTCCTACCAGCCTCCTCTGGCCACGCACACACACACACACACACACACACACACACACACACACACAGGTCAAATTTGTTCACAATATCCTTTCCCAACAGGAGGGACCAATTCCTCCAATCATTTTAGTTTGATTAATGAAAGCCGAAGTTGGTCTGAAGCTCAGAGTTACTGCAGAGATCACCACACAGACCTGGCCAGTGTGAGGAACCAGACTGAGAACCAGGAGATACAGGTGTCTTGTTTTCTTCTATGTTTCATCACTAATATATGCCATTTAGCAGACGCTTTTATCCAAAGTGACTTACAGTTATGCATGCATACAAACATTTGAACTTACTGTCTTGGCATTGCAAGCCCCATGCTCTACCAACTAAACTACGAAGGAACAGAGGACCACATGGGAGTTTTTCCTGGCCACTGTGATCTCACTTGCGCTTTGCTTTCTCTTTCTTGTTCTAGGCCGGGTTACAGTAAATAAGTTATTTTGTGACAACTGCTGATGTAAAAAAGGCTTTATAAATACATTTGATTGATTGATTGATTGATACAGAGAGTGGCCAATGGTAGCAACGTGTGGATCGGCCTGTTCAGAGACTCATGGAAGTGGTCAGACCAGAGCAACTCTTCCTTCAGATACTGGATAGAGGGAGAGCCCAATAATTTCCAAGGAAGGTCTGAGGGTTGTGTTGAGGCATCGATGACTAACAATGGACAATGGAACGATGAGATCTGCATCCTTCCACAGTATTTTGTCTGCTACTACACTGGTGAGTGAAGTGTGTGTGAGTGTATGTGTGTGTGTGTTTTTTGTGTGTACCCAAATAGTAGAGTAATAATGAGAGCATGAAAGGACTTGAAAGACGGAGGATGTACTAAATGTGTGTGTGTGTGTGTATGTGTGTGTGTGTGTGTGTGTGTGTGTGTGTGTGTGTGTGTGTGTGTGTGTGTGTGTGCGTGCGCGTGTTGGAGGATATGCTGGAGTGCAGGTGAAATTCACCTCAACAACAGCGCTAACAGATTCTAACATCACCGAGCTGGTCTTGAAGAAGGTGAGTCATTCTACCTCACCCGTTAACCATCATTACAAGGCCCAACAGTTTTCTCTTACCTTAACAGACAAGGAAAAACTCTGGGCCCTAGTTAGTTAGGAGTTATTCCTGGTAATAATGATAATAATGTATATGCCAGGGTTCCCCAACTATATTTGGCCCCACAAGTTTTCTGATCAATTTGTTACATTTTTATTACTATTTGTTGGACATAAAATACTCTAAAAACACCAGCAAATCAGCTCCAAGTGATTTTAACTTTGGAAACCTACACCAAAGTATCATCCCCCCCCCCAGAACGGCCTTGAGTTGTCGGGGCATGGTCTCTACAAGGTGTGGAAAGCGTTCCATAGGGATGCTGGCCCACCTCTTTAAGGAATACCTGGGATAGGATAAAGTAATCCTTCTACCCCCCCAAAATTGTAAAGTGGTTATCCCACTGGCTATAGGGTGAACGCACCAATTGGTGAGTCGCTCTGGATAAGAGCGTCTGCTAAATGACGTAAATGTGCCCTTGAGCAAGGCACTTAACCCTAATTGCTCCTGTAAGTCGCTCTGGATAAGAGCGTCTGCTAAATGACTAAAATGTAAATGTAAATGTAAATAAGCCTGCTGAATCTAGTTGATGATTCCTGATATACACAGTTTAACATGCGCTTTTATCCAAACGACTTACAGTCATACATTTAGATGGTCAGATCATATGGTGACTATCCTTGTGTGTCTATCTCTCTTAGCTACAAGATGAACTGAGACAGCGAGGGATATCCGACTCTGTCACCCTGCGGTGGAAGAAAAAAGACTGACTCTGACTGAGGTGGATAGAAGAAGGAGGGAGGAGAAGGAGGAGAAGAAATGAGGGAGGAGATGAGTGGATGAAGAGAATGAAGAGAGATTTATGTCTTTTTTTCATGGAAAATGTAGAGGAATTCCGGCGCAGAAAGATAGTTTTATTGTTCAATTTTTGTCCAACTCCTAACAAGGATAACAATGCATACTGAATACCAATTCATTCATGCTATTTGTGATTGGAAATACAATGTAATAGCTGTAAGCACTCATCTAATACATTTTTGAACATGCTATATCAACTAAATCAACATTCTTCATGTTATTGAAATGTTATTGTCATGTTATTGAAATGTTATTCATCATGCTATTGAAATGTTATTCGTCATGTTATTGAAATGTTATTTGTCATGTTATTGAAATGTTATTTGTCATGTTATTCATATTATCTAAATCACACACAGTTCACACCAAGTTCAACACATAGGCAGATTGATTATTGGACAAATAATCAGTACTATCATCAAGAACCACAGTTCTCAACAGACCAGAATCAATCAAATTACATGTGGCCCATCCCATCTTGATTTCTAACCAATCAGCCTGTCAGCCTCTATCACTGACAGGCAGAATGACAAATGAGGCGGAGTTCAAGAATCGTAAAAATACCCTTTATAATATTGCATTATATCATAGCATTTGCATACTGGCGTACAGTTCAGCAGAAGCGTTTGTAGGATTGACACATATGGGGATTTTCTTTTAGCAGGGTCCAAAAAAATGTGGCTTTTATAAACTCATTTCATTTTAGGCCTACATGACAGTAGACATTATCCGAATATTTTTGAATACTACACAAATGAACGAAATGAGTGGCTACTCTGACACTGTCAAACAGATTAATAAAAATGACCGGGTCTTGACCTGGCCCAGGGCTAATAGAAAGAAAGGAGACAGATTGTACAATATTAGGAGGAAATGTATTATAGGCTACATTAGGATTCTAAATAAACTTCCCAGTGGCACTGACTCACCCAATGATGGAGATAACATGAATATGCCTTCTCACCGTACCGATGATGGTTTCAAGATAGGCCTGAGCTACTTTGAAAAACAGTGCTGTTCGTCTGAGTTGGTAGCTTCTACAGACAGATTAGTCTTCTCTTTTCAGCAGAAGGCATTTTCTTTCCTAACGTGTTTCCCACGATTGTATTTAGAAATTTGCGAAAGGCGTTTCGCTATTCACTGACGGCAACAGAGAGAAAGAGAACCAATAGAAATATAATCCATTGAAACAGAATCCATAGAAGGAAAGTGCCCATTCAAGTCAGGACTGGCAGCCATTTCGAGCGTACCCATGAGTTTACCAGTCAAATTGGCAAGGTGAGAATCTTTCTATTGATAATATCTCTATGGCCGCAACTCAACATGCTGTTCGATATTTGTCACACGTGCTGCACAAATTCAGTCAGTATTCAGACATTATATAATTTTATATATAAATATAAAATTATTTCAATTTTTCAGGGGTTGCGGCAACCCTACTTCCCTTGGCTATGTAAAGAATCAGAGTTCTCAACACACCAGAACCAATCAAATTACATGTGGCCCATCCCATCTTGATTTCTAACCAATCAGCCTGTCAGCCTCTATGACTGACAGGCAGAATGACAAATGGGGCGGAGTTTTTATCATCATCATTGACACTAGAGCTCAGGAATGGGAAAAGTTTCTCATTGAAGGAGCACCCAGTGAACGAATAGATATGAGCCTTGGCTTCCGAGTCATAAAAAGACACCAACCCTTCCTTGTGATCTACAAACACCCCCACCTTCTGGGGCTTCTCTCTCAGGGAGAGGACGATGGAGCCAGAATCCTCTGCAGCCTTGTACTCGTGCCCATTGGTCATCCACAAGGCCCAGAAGCCAATCGCAGGGGTCGGGAGTGTCTTCCCCTTCCTGTCGATGGACTCCCTGGCCACTCCTAGGCCCCAGTCAGTCTTCCCAGAGACCTGGACCTTTAAGTTCAAATTCAAGTTTTTTTTAAAATACATTTATATTTATATTTTTGTCATTCAGCAGATGCTCTTATCCAGAGCGACTTACAGTTAGTGCGTTCATCCTTAGGTACGAGAACCACATCTTACAGTTAGTTAGTACAACTTCCCTCTAATATACCCACAAAACTGAAAAAACCCTACAATGATACTCTGAGGGCTGATTTCTTACCTTGGAAACAATAATCTGAAAGGATTATTATGATTTCTTTGTTCAGTCGATATGGTGGTATATAGACTGATAAAATACATATCTAAAAGCCCCAAAACGTCAAATATCCGATAATGTCAGTCAACCGGTACATCGGTTTGGCTCTTATTTATTGTAATGTATCTCACCTCGAAGTAGAATCTCCTGGAGGAGAACCCTGTCCTCCCAAGGACACTGATACTGGTATTGAACCTCTTGGGGTTGAAAGGCAGGATCCTCCAATCGTTGACGTGTCTGGCCTGTTTCCCATCTTCAGACAGAGCCAGGAAAGGATGAGCTGTGTCGGGGTCCAGAATCACGTTCACTATCGGAAAATAACAATAAAACAGATATATAATTCATCCATTAATCAATTAATTAATTAATCCATTCATCCATCCCTCCATTTGTTCACCCATCAATTCATTCATTCATTCATTCATTCACCCATCCATTAATTAATTAATTCAGCCATCCATCCATTCATTCATCCATTAACTCAACCATCTATCCATTCATCCATACATTCATCATACGTTAATTAATCCTTTCATCCATCTATCTATCTATCCATCCATTCATCCATTCATTCATTCATCCATCCATCAATTTTTTTATCCATCCATCCATTCTGTTAGTTGTAATTAGGGCCAGGAGTTTTCCATGGCCACCATGTGGTGTCACCTGACCAGGCTATAGTTAGGATCAAAACAAGAACGGATAAATGACAGTAAAATGTAAAGTAATTAATTAAATGGTGGGTTAAGAGATCGATAAACGAGAGATGAACATGTGAATATGTGGATTGTAGATTGTAGCATGTTTTACCTGCATTAGTCTTCAGCAATTTCAGTCCTGAATTAAAAGAAAAGACTCACAATTGAAAATGTAATTGTTCATGATGTAGATTTAATAATATGTCATTTAGCAGACGCTTTTATCCAAAGCGACTTACAGTCATGTGCGCATACATTTTTACGTATGGGTGGTCCCGGGGATCGAACCCACTACCCTGGCGTTACAAGCGCCATGCTCTACCAATTGAGCTACAGAGGACCACAAATGTAATTATTGAAAAATCGAATGCGGCCAAATAAAAAATTACTGTAATTGTGTAGAACACTGGTTGAGTCAACGTTGTTTCCATGTCATTCCAATGACATTACGTTGAAGAAATGTGTAATAGACATTGAATTGACGTCTGTGCCAAGTGGGTCATGATTCTACAGTATTTGTAAACTTTTATAAAATTGATAATTATAGATAAATAAAGAATAGTAACCTTTATCCATGACTTTCTTCATCTCCTCTCTGAAGGTATCCTCCAGTTGGGACACAATTCCCCAGATGGTGTTTCCACCACTGCTAGCACTGATCTCAGAACAGATCTACAGCAGAGGACAGTTGGGATAGAGTTTTACTAAGGACTGACCTCAGAACAGATATACAGCAGAGGACAGTTGGGTTGAATTTTACTAAGTACTGACTAACCCTAACCCAATGAAATGTATGTTATGCATTATTTTTTACATCAGCCGTTGTCACAAAGTGCTTAACAGTAACCCTGCCCAGAGCAGAAGCTCAATGGCAGTAAAAACTCCCTATAGGGAAAAAACCTAGAAAGAAACCTGACTCAGAGGGGTGGCCCTCAGCTGGCTGTACCGGGTACAGTCAGCTGAGTTGAGTTCTACTAAGAGCTGACCTGAATTAACCCAAATCCTAGCTTCATGTGCACATCCCGTATTAACTCTAAGCCTAATCCTAACCCTAACCGTAGCTTCAACCACAACCCTAACCCTAGCTTCATGTCTACATCCCGGCTCAACCCTAACCCTAGCTTCATGTCCACATCCCGGCTCAACCCTAACCCTAGCTTCATGTCCACATCCCGGCTCAACCCTAACCCTAGCTTCATGTCCACATCCCGGCTCAACCCTAACCCTAGCTTCATGTCTACATCCCATCTCAACCCTAACCCTAACTCTAACCCTAGCCCTTACCCTAACCCTAGCCCTTACCCTAACTCTAACCCTATCCCTTACCCTAACCCTAGCCCTTACCCTAACTCTAACCCTAGCCCTTACCCTAACCCTAGCCCTCACCCTAGCCCTTACCCTAACCCTAGCCCTTACCCTAACCCTAACCCTAGCCCTTACCCTAACCCTAGCCCTTACCCTAACCCTAGCCCTTACCCTAACCCTAGCCTTTAACCTAACCCTAACCCTAGCCCTTACCCTAACCCTAACCCTGTAGTCAACTACATTCAAATCGACCACAGAAAGAAGCAGTAGAACACAGCTACCTGTTGTGGGGTGGAGCGGAGTTCCCCTTGTTTGTTGTTTCCGCTCTTTAGATCTGCTATTTCCTGTTCCAGCTCCATGATGAGCCAATCAGCTTGTTTCTCCACAGCTCTCTGTTTCTCCTGGATCTCACCGACGACGTCAGCCTGGCTTCTCTCAATGGAGCGCAACAGCGCAGTGAAGACCTGCTCACTTTCCTCTATGTCTTTCTGTGAACTAGCCTTTGGAATGAAGTGAAATAGATTCAGACAAATGAATGTACTCTAAAAAATAACCTATTGTGAATCTGAGTCACAGGTGTTACTTTATGAGGGAATAAAGCACACAATCAGACCATTCAGACTGTGGCCCAGAACTATATATCAGTTTTAATAACAAATGCAGCTATGATGTTGAAAGTAAATTAATTAAATGGAATTACTACAACTGCAGAAGACCCTACATAGATGAGAACAACAGTCTGATGCTTATCAGGGCCTGTATTCATAAAGCATCTCAGAGTCAGAGTGCTGATCTAGGATCAGGTCCCCCCTGTCCATATAATCTTATTCATTATGATGTAAAAGGCTAAACTGATCCTGTATCAGCGCTTCTAAGACTCTTTATGAAAACGATCCAGAACTCACTCTGCTGATCTCCACTGAGTGTTTGATCTCCTCCACCTTGTTCTGTCTGGCCTGGATCTTCCTGTTCACTCCTCCATCTGTAGTGTCCCCCTGCTCTGGCTATAGGGGGGAAACGGTTGATTTTAACCATAATCACAATGTTGATGAACAATTGTTTAATTGACCATACCAGATACAACTCTGGGCCCTGGTTATGAGTTCTAAACAGGGCCGGAAGTTTTTCCTAGTGAGGTCACACGATCAAGAACAAAAATCTCCTGGCTTTACGATTTTACTCAGCTGTCCCACACCACGCACCTCTCTCAATGGCAAAATGGGGTGTGGCGAAATGTCCTCTTGTGCCGATTTGAACTGGTTGATTATCTCGTTAATGAACGTGTTGACGTGAAGGTCGGGACGTTTCTTGAACGTCTCCTTACACAGAGGGCAGATTGGGTCCCTGATATCCCAGTAGTCAGAGATACAAGCTTTGATAGATAGATAGACAGATAGATAGGAACATTATTATTTCAATCAGCGGCAGACAAAAATACATAACATTTACTGTATGAGGCAAAATACGAAGTTGGGATCCATAGAAAGTTCCATAAAACATGGCTTACATTTGCAGAAGTTGTGTCCACATGGAGTGGAGACAGGGTGGACGAAGATATCCAGGCAGATGGAACAGCGCAACTGGTCTTCTGTCATGCTGAGAGAAGCCATATCTACACACAAACACGCATGCACGCACACACACACAAACAATATGATCAAATAGGCTAATAATGTTAGGTATCAATTTACATTGCGTTACCTCTTTTACCTTTGTAGTACATTTACATTTTGGTAAATTAGCT